ACTCGAAAGTATTCAAAAATTAAATTATAATGTTACTGAAATTTTGATTCATACTAACACTTTACGAAAAAACTTTTAAAACATCATGAATTTTAATTATATTTCCTCTGTTTTTTAATTACTGACGCTATAAGTTTTCTGTTTGTTTGAAAATGAATGATGTTCTCACAAATGAATGCAAAAAAAAATAACTTCTGAATAGAAGTTTAAAAAGAAAAAATTATTAGCACTGGTAAACATATCAAATTGCACTAATCCTCACTCATATAAGAGCAATATAGTCTTTGCTGTACAAATCCACCATGTTAAAGAACTTCATAGCGCCGAACCCAACACACGAAGAGCCGAAGAGGTCCATGCATAGTTTGGCTGTTCGCAAAATAAATCAAAATTGGAGCTTAGTGAATTTATGGAAGTTTTTAATAAGTTTTTTTTCAGAATAATTTAAATCAATCGATTTGTATCAGTTCATGATTTAGTAATGTCTGATTTGTCAGATGTTGAAGTCGTGGGCCGATTACAGAAAAAATGCAAATAACGGCCCCATTTTTAGACAAAAATAAAATAAAAATAGGTTTGTTACAAATATTCTTCGTCTTGGCAAATTCTTCAACTTCTAAATAGACCTACATATTTCTTTTTGTTGCAAAAAAACTATTTTAAAGATAAATCTTACATATCTTTATAATACTTAATTAAGGAAAGTTGCAAATTAAAATAGAAGAGGGTATGGTTTAAGACAATATGCAGATTTATATATATTAACGTAAGAAATAAATAAAATGTGTGACAAAGAGATATGAACGTCAACGGATTGGTAGAATCAACGGAGACTTTCATTCTCCGATATATTCCAAAAAGGTGTAAATTATTAATTTAGACAATATGGAACCTCACGTTCTGTTGGATCCATTTAATGCGTGCAGTGATAATTTTATAAATAAAATAATACTACTAGTATATTCAAAATAAAATAGCATTAAATGTTTAATTACTTGTCATGTTGGATCTCACTCACCGACGTACGTTCGTGTTCATGCATTATAGTAATATGAGAACCCTTATATTTTTATCACACGTTTATAGACCCATACGATGAAAAGTTTATTCGGATTTACTAGTTATGTTTTTTTCTTAGTACCTTATTCTACTTTATTTTTTAAAATTACATTAGACTTTCTATTTACTGTATACATGAATTATTAAATTATATACTTTATTAGTAATTATTAAACATAATTAGTAAAGTAGTATATAATTTGATCATCCAGCGATAAAAAAAATTAATTGTCGTTTCTTTATTATAATTCTCAAAGTTTTCTTATGTTAATTATTTTTTATTATACATGTCTAAAACTATTTATTTTTCTTATGCTTATTCGAATTATATTTATTTTTTATTCAAGTATTTCTGTATCTATTGTTTCTTATTTTTTTGTTATTTATCTTCATTGTAAATTAAATTATCAGCAAAAGAAATTTTATAGAAAATTGTTTTTGTAATTTAATACAAAAATATTACAGTAAAATCATTCCATTTCATATTTTCCCCCAAAAAAGTTCCCATCTCTACAATTCCACAATATTATCAGTATTAGTATATTAGTCATGATGATGTGTTTTTTTCTGCCTATATAAACACAAAGCAATTAAAATTCCAAGCAGCCATTTGCAAACAAAACTCGGTAATTCGGATGGTATACGATATACAAATCACATTTTTCTAATTTTATAAAGTTGAATGCTAATAACGGAAATTATGATCTTTTCGTTAAAGCCCAATGTACTGACAATGGTCAAAACCATTAAATTAATGCGGAATGCACGTAGCATATATATATAAAGCATAGGGAGAAAAAGATATAAACTTACAAAGACATACATGCAATATGATGGACCTACATTAATTATATATCTAAAATAGCAACTAATGAATGGGAGACACGTGTGCATTAATTTGGTAGGAAATAATAGAGTTCCATAGAGAGAGTTAAACTAATTCAGCCGTTGTGACCTAGTTCCATATTTTTTGTTAAAGGGCCTAGCTAGTTCCATATAACAAGAAATTTCATTTTAACTTCTTCTTAATTTCAGTTTTTTATATGACCATTCGTTGTCGTCTACTCTATTATATAATCTATATTTGCTTTAACGGTTCTTTGATGTACTTATAATTAATTTCTGCATAGTCTATTAGTATATGTTTTTTAAAGATGATATATATGATAATATAACAAACAGCTTGAGAAAATGTATAATGTATATGATTTGGCGTTTAGCATTCGACTGCCTTCTGGCATACGTAGTAATATTATGGGGATTGCACTATTTTAACTGTCATAGCCATTCAAAACAATTGTTTCCGTAAAAAGCAACAATTCATTTTGGATATATGAATTTGTTATCCGTCGCCTGATTAAATTAAATGATTTTTGGATTTTTCTAGACATTGAGATTTTGATAATGGAAAGAATTAAACATGAGAGCAAAAATAAAACTAATGTCCTTCGAGAAGTTAAATGGGGCACGGAATCCGATCAGACGTTAATAACTAAGCCAAAAATCAAGCTTCGTTGCTCTCTAGTTTCAATGTTCCTTTAATTAACTAAACAGGAAAAGGTTTAGTTCCCAATATAGGAATTAATGGATCAGTTGGTTAATCCTTCGGGTGAGCCTAGTGGTTCGAAAGTACAAATGTAGCTCGTTGAGGAGCAAAAAATATAGTATGATATTCTAGAGTTTTTTTTCTATAATAATTGATATTCTCACATATTTCTACAAAAATTTACTGTATTTCTATTGTTTAAACTGTTTGAATTCTGCATATTTGAATTGTTTTGGAATAAATAATAAAATATTTTTTATTTCGAAAAAAAAATTAAATAATTTTTTAATTTGTGTATACGAACTTTAAACACCATTAATTAAAAAACAAACGAAGTGAGTAGATTTTAGGTTTTCCACATACATTATGATTTAATTACAGTTATCATTATTTTATTAATTGTTGTTTAATTTTTCTCTTTAAATTATTAAAATAATAAGAATGAATTCAGAAAATAATTATAAGTATACTTAAGAAATAGAAAAACTATTTTGAAACAAACTAAGTTTTTCAAGTAAAACAAACTATTTTGAAACATTTTTTAATAAAAAACCGAAGGATTATATACAAAAATTAATGTATCCTAGAGGCATTACAAACTCAATTCATATTTTGAAATGGAGCTCGTTCAGGAACAAAATATACACAGCTAGTAGTATATTTCACAGAAATACGTCTAGAAACTGCAGGCATACTGTAGAAGCTTTATTTTTCAATGTTAATTTTTTTTTTGTAAGATTAAATAATATAATAAGCACATGAGATATATATCTCATTATTTTGATATTGGTATACTTTACAATTTATTAATTCTTTTATTTCCTGCATTTATGATCAATTGAAATGGTCAATAAAGAAAGGATTATGTTATATTGATGGTCATGTGAGGAGAGAATAGTTAATTTTTTTCTTAGAAGACAACTCAAAGAAATTAAATATAAAAGAGGGAATATTTGGGAGAATGAAAAGGGAATTAGAAGCAAACCTGTAGGTTCTTTAGAGTTTACTTGTTTTTGTTTACTCAAGGAAACAAACAAAACCTGCTTTCTCGCTGAATATTTCTTAGGTATTAGTAATATATATGAATTTCATGTATATTAATCTAAAACAATTATACGATACAATAATAGATTTGATGCTTATATGGTTTGTGTCTATATACACACGGAGCGCCTTGTATTGTACACACGAATGTGTATGTGTAGCCATGATTTGATTTGGCTCTCTATAAATTGGTCAAACAAGTAACCGGCTGATTTTATGGTCTATATATCTCTACGAACTAAATGTCTATACGAGCTAATCATGAACTGAGAAAGCACTGATAATTAATGTGTATTTGTCTCTTTAGGTATAGCTGAACAATCTATGGTCGGAAACTTGAATGTATTTGATTACAAAATCGTATAAGAAAATAAATAAAATATGTGAAAAGAGAGAGTGAAGTGAGAAGCGAAGAGAGTGGGGGAGAAATATAAAAAGGAGTCAGAGAGGAGACAGTCTCTCTCTCTCTCTCTCTCTCTCTCAAACATATGTATCCCGTCGTCTCCGGGGTACCAAAATCAAAGCACTCAATTTTAATATACTTTTTTAAAAATATTTTATAGTATATGTTTTATGTTTGTTTTCTTCTTCTTGTTTTTATTTATTTATTTAACTTTGGCTTTTGCTTTGACTATAGATTTAGATAGGACAGAAGAGAGCGACCCTTTATTCTCTCTCCTCTTGTACTCTTCTCCAACATTTTTAATTCATATTCTTCATGATAATCTGTGAACATGTAATTTTACATCAATGGAGTTTTTGATTTATCACTCAAAGTTGTTAAGGTTACATAAGATAAATTAATTTTATTGGACATCCCACATATACAACGATTAGAATGTAAACATTGTTGACAAAAACATGCAACTTAATAGCTTGTGTTAATGTGTGATGATTAGTATGTAAATCCAAATAATTTATATTTATGATAAAATAAAAAAGAAATATACATTGTTAAAAGGTTTTTTTATTCTACGAAAATAGTCTACATTTCAAATTTCTGTAAACTAAATTGACTTGTTATACAGTCTTTCAATTGTTTTAGCTATGAGAAAATAAAGTATCAATAGTGAAGAATGTAACGAATAAACTAAATTAAATTAACGACTTGCTAATTACTACTTTAGCATCAATTTATCTAGCCGTAAAACATAGTATTATATTGGTATATTATGCCTCCCATAGGTTTGCCTGGTGATAGAAAAGGTGAAGAAGGACAAATTTTAAATATCATCATCCCAAAATAAATAAAAAAGTTACAATATTTGACCGAATTACAGTTTTGCCCTGTCCCAACTATCGTTTTCCAAGATATACTCTCGAGGAACAACATGTCATACATACACAGTTACACACACATACATACATGTACATACGCACACATATCTCCCTCTCTCTCTCTCTTACCTGTTTTAATTTTCCTGGATTTAGTTTTATTCCTTTTTTCTCTTCTGCCTTTGCTTCACAACACACATACCTCTCTCTCTCTCTCTCGTTTCCTTCTTTCTCTCTCTCTGCGTCTTACTTTGAGCATGTTTGTTTCTTCAGGAAGATCATTACTCAATTTCTCTCTCTTCTCCTCCTTCTTATTCCTCTTCAAAGCTCCTCTTTAACTTCATTCCTCTCACTTTTTCTTTTCTTTATGAGATATAGAGAAAAAAATCAAATCTTTCAGACACCCTTTTGACTTCTTTGCTCAAAGAATCCTTCTTTTATTTTCCCCTAAGAGAAAATTATTTTAAATTCCGAATCAAAACCCTCCAGAGAAAAAAACAAAGGAAAAATCATCACCCATCATCATCATCATCATCATCACCATCAGTAGCAGCAGAAATAGCAAGAGAGCTGGTTTCTTAAAGGTTGTTGGATTATGTCCATGGAAGGAGTTTTTCTAGAGAAACCAAGATCAAACACAACCACTAATCTCCCTGATCTATCTCTCAACATCAGCCTCCCAGATATTCATCATCATCTTCACCACAATGAATCTTCCAAAGAGATTTCTAGAGGATCATCCCAAGCCGACAACAACAATCTCATCAACAGATCATCAAACTTCGAGCTCTCCTTATCTCATCATAATCACCCTAGTTCGAATCAAACCACAAGAATCATCCATTGTCCTGATCGAAGAAACCTTAATCTTTCTCATCATCAGCATTACAACAGCCCCATACTCAATGGTGGAAGTCTTCATCAAAGGGTCGATGAAACCGATATTAATAACCTCCACCGTCCGATTAGAGGCATCCCGGTCTATCACAACCGTTCATTCCCTTTCCACCAACAAAACTCTTCTTCTTCTTTGCCTTCTCTTGGAGGAGGAGACTTGGATCAAATCTCAATCTTAAACTCATCTCCCGGCTATAACAACGCCTACCGATCATTACAATCTTCCTCGAGGTTAAAGGGTGTTCCTTTGCATCATCATCATCATCATAATCACTATGGAGTCGTTGGATCTTCAGATTCATCTTCTCCTCATCATCATAACCATCATCATCATGGGATGCTTAGATCAAGATTTTTGCCTAAGATGCCGACAAAGCGGAGCATGAGAGCTCCGAGGATGCGTTGGACGAGTAGCCTCCACGCGCGGTTTGTTCACGCCGTTGAGCTTCTAGGCGGCCATGAAAGTACATATTTAATTTTATATACACTCACATTTATATCATACCCGCATTCTAAAGAATCTTTCTTTGAGTTTTTTCTTCAATTTTGTTCTCAAAGTTTGAATCTTTACTTGTTGTTGTGAATCTAGGAGCGACTCCAAAGTCGGTTCTTGAGCTCATGGATGTGAAAGACTTAACTTTAGCTCATGTGAAGAGCCATTTGCAGGTAAATCTACACTTCACTTGAGTTTATGTCAAACAAAAATATGCTTGAATTAATCAATCTTTATTTGTTAAATTTTGGTTTTTCTTTCATCTTATTATTGGTTCCTTTCCCCTATTACGAGTCTAGTCAAGTTAGTTATTTACCAATCAAGGTTCTCTAATTAGGGATATTTCATAGTTTTCATCACCATCATGTCTCTCTCCTCTCCGTTTCACAAAAAAAAAACAGCTTAATCAAGAAACAAGATTTTGTGTACTTAATATTCATCAGGGCAATGAATAGTGTTAAAAGTCTTTAAAGCTTGTGCTCCAACTCTAATGTCTTATTTTTATTTTCTTGTTTTGTCTTTGCTTTAAGCTTAGTCGTTTTTATGAAGAGATGGCACGATTGCCAAGAAAATGAAGCAGTTGAATGAATTTAAAGAGAGAAAAGAGAGAGTAGTTATAGCTTTAGGAGACTGATATCTTTCAGAGTATTAAACAATTGAGATGATAGAATTCTTTTTGATTACAATTCTTATTTTAAAATAAATTAGGAAGAGGGGACAAAAGTAGTCATCATTACTCAATGATAATAATACAATCTTTCAATTACTCAACCTTCTTTCAGACATCAACCTCGTGGTCTTAAATTATAAATAAATAATTAAATGTACAACACTAGTTCCAAGACAAACCCAGAAAACCACACATTTGTAATTATATATTATTTATTTAATTATATAAAGTTCATATGTGTCTGCATATATGTCTCCCGTTTTGTCATCTGTATCATATTTTCAATTTAGTTTATCAGGATCTTTTGTCCGTTGGTTTTTGGTTTTTTTTTTTGGTATCCTTAATTAGATTTATGGTTTATTCTCTAATTTAAGAGCTCTGATGTCTTTTACTATTCCTCTTCTCTTTTTTTTTTTTTTGTTATTGCAGATGTATCGAACTGTGAAGACCACTAACAAGCCTGCAGCTTCATCAGGTACGTATTATTCCGAATAATTCGACCTGACTTTACACACACACACATAAATATATATTCACATTTCTTTAATATAGCTTTTTACAGCTTTATATATGCTAAAGACATGGACTTGTTTAATACTAAAAAAATATATACAATAAAGCTTTGGATCCCCCAACAATTCTTAATCAGATTTTGGTCCAGTGTAATCACTATAATAATGAATTGATCATAATCATTATAATCAATTAATTTTCAGTTAGAATTTGAATATGTGATTCAATATCTGCATCTATGTATTCTAACGTAGAAGTATTACTATTATTGATATTTTTTTTTGTATTCGGTTCTACTATTTAGTTCCACTATTCCCTTTTCCCAAAATAATTGAAAACAAACCCTAAGATATTGGTCAAGCTCAAGGCTTTATCTTTCTTTTGATTGAAACCCTAAAGTTAAGTGGTCAAGGTTCAAAGCAAACAAAACAAACATTCGTCACCAATATTGATATTCTCTAAGAAAACGAAAAAAAATCCATAAGGGATTTCATTATGAACTAGTAAATCAAACCCAAATCAATATTCATACAGTGAAAGAGATATCAATTCTTTTGATACTCGAATTAAATTTATATATTTGTTTTACACAAAAAAATTATTCATATTTAATATATTATTATTTGGCAGAAGTCTAAAGTTTTTTAAAACTATTTTGGGGGGGACATATATATTAGATATTAGTCAAGCCAATAGCTGAGGAAACATTTATATATAGGAAAGCAATTTCTTCACTGCATTGTCTATAACCAAAAGCTTACAATATGTTTTGTTTAATTTTAAACGAGAACCCTTAAAGGGTAAAGCGAATTGAGACGAAATTTGATAGAAAGTTAAAATTAAGTTTCAGATGGGTCAGGAGAAGACGAAATGGGCATAAATGGAAATGAAGTTCATCATCAATCATCGACAGATCAAAGGGCACAATCTGATGATACTTCTCTTCAACAAGAAATTGACTTTCCTTCCACACAACCTCGTTGGAGTAACTCTTCACGGTACGTTTACGTGTTATGATCTTATTATCACACACACGATATGTATAAACTTATAAACATGATTTTCCACCAATTTAAGTGAGATCGACGAAATTTGATATAGGGTTTAGGGTTCTCTTACCTAATTGTTCCTACTTCTTACCAAGTTCATAAATAGAACAATTCTGTGGTTTATCCCATATATCTGTTTTCATCTAACAAATATAGATTTTTGGATGATATCTTCTGTTTGTTTTGTTCATTTCAAGTTATAGTGGTGGTTTTGGTTACAATTTTAAGTATGTGTAGCGAGGTTTTCTAAATACGTTGGTTAGGTCCTTAACTCCTTATGGTTCATGATAGAAGAACTTTGTTCATCATTGTGGGATCAAAATTAACTAACATTCAAAAACGTAATTTGTGACTAACACTTTTCTATTATAAATTAATAGACTTAAAAAAAAAAAAAAAACGGGAGTCAAGTGATTTCTATTGCTTTTTGGATTTGAGAAAAATACAGTAAAACCTCTATAAATTAATACTTACTATAAATTAATAATTTTTGTCTATTCCAAGTCGGATCAGTGTAAAAATTAACAAAATTCGATAAAATAATAAGATAATACTTTTTTTAAAAAGTTCTATGTAAAAATATGGTCCCAATAATAATATAAATTAATAATTATATATTTAGGCATATATTAATAATATAATATAGTAAACTATGATAATATTGTTGTTTCAAGTTTATAAAATTTGTTTGAATTATCTTCTAAATTTATTATTATGATATTTTTTGAATGAATTTTACATTGTTGAAAATATTGATTTTGTTTTTTTGATGAATATTAAAAATTTAAACTAAAATTATCTCTATAAATTAATATTTATCGATTAATTAATAATTCTATAAATTAATAAAATTTGAGAGTCCCAACATTATTAATTTATAGAGGTTTTACTGTACAACTATTATAAACTGTAGCACAAACAATCGACCTCTTTTATTATTTCGATAAAAATATATACCTAATTTATATATAGTTTAAAAATAAAAAGAAATAAAAATTATCAATGTATAAAAAGTTTTTTTATTAATTTTTGTTTCTTTTCTTTAAATCATATAATAGAGAGACATGGCCATTAAGTAATAACTGCTCAAGCGACATAGATACGGTGACCAGAACATCATCAACATCAATGACCTCTCACCATCAAAGATCCAACCTTCAAAATCTGCAGGTTCTAAAAATAATTCTTACATATATATATAAATAGGTATAGTTTTTCTTAGGTCTTTCTATAATCTAATTAGGTTAACTCGCAGGAGCAAAGGTTGAACGATCAGGCAAAGAGGTGTGGAGATCTTAGTTGTAACAATCCAAGTTTGGAGTTCACATTAGGCAGACCAGATTGGCACGAGAAATGACTTTTCTTGATCCGTTTCGATTTGAATATATATGTTTCGCTATCCCTCTCTATATATATTATATATATATACTCGAAACATGCATGCATGTGTGCAGTTATATCGTTGTGATGATGAATTTCTCAGCGGAAAAGAAGAAGAGCATTTAGAGAGCCAAGGTGCTCAAGAGTGTTGATTTTTGCAGAAAGAGAGTCACTAAAAAGAGGAAGAAACTTTGGGGATTCTTCTTCTCAAGTTCCATTGATGATTTGATTATAAAGTGGATGATCAATGTATGAGTTTTTGTTTTGGTTTTCCGGGGTTTCTTAAATTTACGAGGTTGATCTCGAGTGATCATAAGTTGCATTTTTTGGAAGATCACCAAAATTGGTGAAAGTTTGGATTTTTTTTTCTATAAAGCCTCTTCTTGGGTTAGAGGGTTTGTAGTTATCTTTGGGATATCTTGCAGATGAAATGTAGAGAGAGATCTGTGTTGAGATTTCATATGTATACTGATCATTATTCTTAAGTACATAAAACACATACGTATACATACACAAATCCAAAATCAGAATCAAGCAGACACTGATCACAAATGTTCAAGATGGAATTGAATGATTCTTCTGGTTCTCTGCTTCTTCACATCAAGCTCAGTAGATAAAACATTTATATATAAATTTCCATTAACAACACACTTGACCAAAACTCGGGGCTTATCTACAAACTCTGTAGAGACTAAATTTAAAAGGCTGAAGAGAGGGATTCTCAGCTGGATGATTCGATGTTTACATCTCCGTCTTTGTGTTGATGACGACTGAAACTGCTACCTGAAATGGCTAATCCCATCACTGAAACCGATTCCTTGGCGAAGCGCAGGCTTCCTCTTGTTCCCAACCACACAGCATAGAAAAACCCAATCCAACCTGATCAATGCAAAACTCGTTTCGTTAAGACCTCAACAAAAGGAAGGAACTTGGGATTTCATTTCAAGATTCCGAAACAGAACCAGAGCAGAGCGATAACCTGAAGCAATTAAGACGGAAACTACGGCTGAAACTGTAGCGGTAGAGATGACGAATGCAGCAACGGATATGGCTCCGATGTAAATACCAGTCAAGCAGAGAAAGAAGAAAGCCAAGAAGCCACCAGCAACAGCAAGTGAAACCAGAAGAGAGATTATGATTGCGTTGGCTGTTGCAGCTACAAGGAAGAGCGTGAAGACAACCAACGCCATTGTTGTAAGAAGAACTATTGTTCCTATCTGCAAAACAAACAAGGTTAACAATAAATTTGACTCAGATGGGTTCAACAAAGCAACAAACTTTTCATCAATGGTGAGAGTTACTGGACCAAGACGATTTAGGGCACAACTTTTACTTCAGGAATCGAAGATAATTGAAATAGAAAAATTGTCTCTAATTAGGAAGCTCAAGTAATTCGAAAATCGAATCATCGAAGGTACGCAAAGACATTTCACTCAAATGGGATTCAATAAAGTACCAAACTTTTACATGCGAGCCAATGATGATCAATGGTAAAAGAGTTAATCGAAGAAATTGAGGGAAAATCGAATGCTAATGTTCAGAACAAAGCCAATTTCAACATATGTCTAGAGAAGGAATCGAATCTTATCTGATTATGAATCAAAAAACGAAATCAAAACCCACTTACAGTGATGACAAGCAGTGCACGAAGCGGGCTTCCCTCACGAGTCCATTGGAGAATATCGCGTGAAGTTTTTCGAGAAGCTTCTCGAAGCTTGGGGCCATTCTCGGCGACGGAGTTTCTTATTCGTTGAAGCAAAGAAGACGACGAGGAGGCATCACCGGTTCTCGAATCCGGAAACAGAATCGAACCGATCGTGATGCAAATCAAGGAGTAGAGGCTCTCCGAATCATCCTTCTCCTCCTCCTTCTCAACCTCCACGTATTCCGATTTGTCGCGACCATTCATCGTCCCTCCGTTGACGATTTCCCCGACGTCGACGCCATCGCCACCGACAGCATCGGCGTAGGATTTACTCTTCTCCGTCTCGTCGAGATGATCTTGCCCCATTTTCTCAAGACTGTTGGTGAGATTTAGAAACTAGACACTTGTTTCGATCGGATTTAGGAATTGGAGTAAAGGGGGAAAAAAAACTTTGAGATTTTAACAGAAAAAATGGCGGATAAAAGAAGATGGGAACAGCTGTTTAGTTTTAGTTATCCGCCACGTGTGCTAGCCTAATACCAACGTGCCCTGAAACCTCCGCCCCGATAACCGGACTTGATAAATATCAACAGCGTGTCCTCAACGCGCTACACACGCGAGTGGCTTATTCTCTTTTATGGTTTTATCATTTGGGCTTGTAAGGCTTCTGCCAAGGCCCATTTCCTTCGTATCGTATAAAAGATTTTTATTTCCTTTGCCGCCAACTCAACCGTTTAATGATTTTCTTTATTGATGTAATACTTGAAATTATATAAATGTTTTTAGCAACAATTAATCAGTTCGATTAATGGTTTTCCATATCTCGAAGACACTTCAAAATCCCCTTTGAATGGAAAAAAAAAACATATAGTTTCTTCTCTAAAGTGTAAGAGAGGGACAAAAAAAAAGGAAGAAAAGTTGTGAATGATGATCAAATGTAAGAGAGAGAGAGAGACCAATAATATATAATCTAATGAATGAACTCCAGAGCTGCGTAGTAGGCGAGAAGCACAGGTAGAGAGACCAACATCCCAAATATCACCCTACATTTTTATCAAAATTAAAATTGAATTTTTTTATATATTACAAAAAATAGACTGAAAATTGTTTCTTTTCATTAATTGGTCTTACGCTGTGCTTAGAACATCTGCATGTAATCCATATTCCTTAGCAAAAATGAACGAAGTGATTGATTGTGGCAAAGCAGCCTGTGATTTCACAAAATAACTATTGATCAGTACACTCAGAAATTTTAATTTTTGTATCCAACATGTGTAAAAACCAAATTACCAAAACTTAATCACATACCTGAATGATGGCGACGCGGAGGACATCGCCGTGGAGGCCAACAGCGATAGAGCCGATGGCCATGGCAGCAGGCCCGGCAATAAACTTCAAGACCATCCCCATCACAGTCAAGCTTGTTCCACATACTATCAACTTCTCTTGAAGCGCCATGAATATTCCTGCGTATAGATATACTCACTATGATCTCAATATGGGTACGTACGTAATATATAGATGGAGATTTGCATGAACATATATATATATATATATATATATATATAAACGTACCCATGTTGAACATGGCAGTTCCTGTTCCTGCTTTTGACATTATAAGAATTGATCCCTCCATTATGCCGGGCATCTCAAAATGCCATCTAATTAATTCCATTAATTATTACAAAAGTTTATTAGTGTACGACAGCATAATCAAACCAATAATACTCATTGTTTTAAAAGTTGGTTTAAAACTCTAGTCATTAATTATAACAAACGCAAACGTATAAATGCAAAGAAACAATGGGTTATTCAGGCAATTTTAACGGTTGCTTAAAATGTTAGACGACGTCTAATTAATGTAAATATACTATAAAGAATATTCATGTTCACCTGTTGGAAATAAAAGCCCATGCGATCCCAATGATACAAGAATAGCAATTCGGATTCGTTGCAAGCTTCAGCCACACGAGGGACATGACTTCAAGGGACGACTTCTCCTCTCCCACAACCACAGTTTCTCTTTTACCACCTTCGATATTGATGTTATCTGCCTTATTATCACTACTAAACCCGGCTCTTCTAAACTCCAAGACAAACAGTAAGAGTGTGAGCCACACGATTGCTTGAAACACCGAGGATTGAACTACGAGATCAACCGCCTGTTGTCCGTACATCGCCTTAGCCAGTGGAACACCCACGACAAGGGAGTTGGTAAGAGTGCATAGAGAGAAACTGGTTATGGACCAACAATAGCTTCCTTTGCTGCCATATTTGGCCCAGACCGCTAAGACCGTGACTATGAGGACCTTAGAGAGGACATCGGCTGCAATGAAGCGGTAGTTCATGTCGAATGGGTCAACATGAGCCGTGAACTCGATGGTGAAGAGCGGTAGGGTGAAATAGCAAACGAGCCGGTTTATGGCATCGCATTGATCGCGAGTGAATATGTTCCACCATTTCACCGAACCGTAGCCTAAGATTAAGGCTACATAGAGTGGAACCATTGCTTCGATTACCTTGTAGACATCTCCCCCACTTATCATGGTTTTACCAGAAAAAAAAATGTTCTAGTTATAACACAAATTTTAGTTTATGGTACTTGGGAGTTCGCAAGAAATAAGCGAAGGGAAAGAAAATGAAGCTTGTTAAGTTCTTTTGTAGATAGTGAGGTGGTAAGACATAACCAACACGCTCATTTTATAGATACATTTTCAGTTATATTTCTGTATGAGAAAAAATGAGAAAGATAAAAAAAAAATATATGCGATTTCCATGTTTTTACTTTAATTTAAAAAGAGCAAAGTTTTGTTATAAAAATAAAAATTGTTATTTGTTTAAATGATGGTTACAGGTTTTTATAGGTCATATGGCATAAATTCCTATAAAATAGTTGCAAGCATTTAATTTTGAGTATCTATATCTTTAAATAATAACAAAATACACTAAATTAAAATTAACCTCATATTTTAGCCATTATTTCAACTGAGAAAAAGAGAGAGTTTTCGTTATCAATGTATTTGACCAGACCGTGCAGTAGCATATGATTCTATTCCAAGTGTTTCCTCTATACATTGAGTTTACTATTTAATATGACGTAAACCATATTAGTTAGCTACAGACTGAAAACCTTCACAGTTATTATTAGTATAGGAGTGTGTTTGTTAGACACGAAAAAGAGGCTGCATGCAAAAGTTCGCATAACCGTAATAGGTATTATAATCAACATTTACACCAATATGTTTCATAGTTACATTTTACATAGATGATAATAAATTTTAATAGGTAAATTTGCTTTAATGGCGATTGGTTACAAACTTACAACTGTAATTAATGAGCTCATAATGCTTATTCATAAAATCAATCGCATCTCTCATATAAACGTGTCATAACTATTAAACCGTCTCTACCAATATTTTTATCTAGCTGTCGTAACCACAACCACATGTGTGAGCATTACCAACTATTTTGTAGAATGTATTTAAACTAGATTCACCCCATATATTTCTTCTTTTTTTCCAATAAATTATTTTAATATCCTTTCATAAATGGGAGCAGCATATCATATGCTATTGCAAGTATTATAAGTAAAAGGGCATGGAATATCTTAAAATACAAATGCCGAAATGAGTATTTGTGCCTACGCACCTGGCGATAGCAACCAATTTCATATCCGACAAAGTGAGAATAGATAAACGAGTGAAACTAACTATACGTTGATTTTTTTTTAAAACTGTTTTACACTTTTACGTTGATTTTATATTGTCCTGGCAAGAAAAAAATCATATGCTTCCAAACCAAAACCATGAAATGTTTTTATTATTACTAGAGAATCATGCAGAAGCATAAAAAGATCTGAAAGCACATATTTATATTTTGATTTGATATAAACATTTCATGGTTTTGGAATGAACAACAAATATGGGAGAACGTGGATGATGCTTCTTCACTGGTGAAATTGATGGATCACATAAATAAATGTAATAATAATGGTAGTAGAATAAGTTCTATTTATCACTTGATGGCTGCAATCTATAATATGCTTTCATTTCTTTTGATATGTTGATACAGTCATGTTAACATTCATTCATCGACCAGTTTTTCTTTATTCTGCTTCAGCTATGTCGAAATAGCTAGCATGATTTGAAAGATTATTCCAAATTTACACCATTTTTTTATAACTTTTGACGTCATGATATGTTTTTGCCCAAACAAATAAACTGTTAAGTTTTTGAATCATATGGTCTACAGTATAATCTTTCCAGACCAGAAAACATTGTATGTTTGTAATTAGTCATCTTTCTAAATTAGACTTTGAATTCCCAAAAATAAATCATTCACCGAATAATTTGTCAAAATTAACTTGGACTCTTTGAATTAAGCGAAGTAGAAACAATTTCACGTCGTTAAAAGTTACAAATCAAATCAGAAGAAATAAAACAACGTTGAAGGATAAGATGTTTTGATTTTGGTCGAAAAGATGTTCACGTTCAATCATTAAAGACCGAATTTAAGTAGTAGATAACAGAATGGATACCATACAACAACACTACATGAATTTTAATAGAATGAAATTCATTCGTGATTAAAAAAAAAAAATTATTTATCAATGTGTCCATCCACACACTAATCTTTCCTAGAATTCCGTGTGCAAAACACATACAAATCTTTTAAAAAGGCATCTGTTCTTTAGACTTCGAGAAAAGAAAAGAAGCTCCAAGTGCATGTGGAATAAATCCTCTGTTTGAAACGACTTCACTTCTGTCTTTTCCTTTCCTTTTTAAAATTTTTCTTTGTGGCTCACAAATAATCTGCTTCATCACTCAATATATGCTACAGGCTACAGCACATCAGTGTTGTTATTCTGGAACATTCGTTTTTCAGAGAAGAGAAGAAGGAAGACGTTTCTAAACATTGAGAATGCAGAATGTTTGAAACATAAAAGTTGTGAGAAGTATGAGCCACATCAAAACTTATTGTTGGCATGTTCTCAAGATCATGAACTGTGGTGAATACAAAGTCTTAATCATCATCATATTAAGAGATCAAGACCAAAAGCTTTGTTTGTTTTTGCTTATCAATTTTCCAAGATTAAGCATATAATTTTAAAAAAATTGTAATGCAGATTTTAAAACAAACTTGGACGAATAATAATCATCACTGTACAGAGTCAAATCGTTTTGAGATTGATTTTGGCGGTGTAATTTGGTCTGGCGGGAAATTTTGATGAGTCAACCGGACGAAATTGAACCGAACCAGCCGGTTTTTAATTTTGTTGGTCCCTGACGAAAAGTCTCTCAAGTCCGTCACTTAACTTCCCAGGCTGGTTTTCTTTCGTGGTCTGCTGTTTCTTTTTGACGCTGGACAAAAAATAATAAAAAATTTTAAAAAGAGAAAAATGAAGAAAGAAAATTGAAATTCCTTTCTTGCCCCTCTGGTTCATCTCTTCTCTCGAACATTTTTCTTCGGTTCTTCGTCGAGTTTTCTCTGTGATGGCGTGTCCTAGAGACTCAATCACTTACAACGCCACGCGCTGCGCGTGCGGGATCGGTCAGCTTCTAAACCGGAGCTCGGGAAGCTGCGAGATCTTCGGCTGGCCGTCGGCGATCTCGACGGACAAAGATGTCAGCTACAGCGGGATGTCGTTCGCCGAGACTCTATTCGCCTTCGACAGGATCCGGAAGATCACGCAGTCTCAGGCTGTGTTCCTCGAAGCCACGCTCGTGATGCTCCTCTCCTGGCTACTCTTTTGCTTCTTCCTCAGATTCACCAAGCTCGGCGACGGTCGTAATGTCTGGTTCAACCTCCGTTGGTGGATTACTCGCCTCGATGTCTTCTTCTCTACCAGGCATTGGCTCGTTAGTGCTTCTCCTTCCTTTTTCGCCCGATTCAATGTTTGTTTCTCTCTTTCCATGAGTAGTAATTAGGTTTTTATGAATCTCGCAGGATGATCAGAAAACTGTGAAGAAACGGAAAACGGAACTAGGTGGAACATTATCGGTTGCGAGCTGGATAGTCTTCATAGGATTATTCGCTGCGTGAGTTTTTTTTTTCTCTTATCCACTAAAGGAAAGCTTCATAATCGATTTCTGTGAATCTTAGAAGCTTGACTTGCTATTCAGTTTCTTCTCAGGCTGCTTTACCAGATCATAACCAAGAGAACCATTGAAGTTCACAACGTGAGAGCTACAAATTCTCCGGACCTAGCCTCGTTCGAAAACGATCTGGAGTTTAACATCACTGCCGTCTCTGACATGAGCTGCTCCAACTTACGCGGAATCGGGAATGTGGTCACCGGTAATCCCGGATTCAGCGACTTCAAAGTTGCTTCTCTTTCAAGTTTGGGGAACTATACTTGCAAGAACACAACTTCAGGGCCAACTGTGAATTTCAAGTGTACTAGATGTCGTCTCACCAGCGACTACATCTACATCTCGTGGCATTTCGTTGATCTTCCTGGTTCTCCTGCCGCTGCTGTTGGGTTTCAGTTTAACTTCACTTCTAAGAATGGAGCTGACAAGAAGCATGTGAGTTTTGTTAGTGGTACCCTGAGGAACGGAAGCATCCTCGATGAAAGACCGGTTACTTTCCGTGGAACCGAAGGGAATGTGTTGAAGTTTAATCTGTTTCCCCGGATTTACCATCATCTGCATGATCTTAAGCTAATCCAACCTCTGTTCCACGAGTTTATCCCTGGCTCAGTTTACCGAGAGACTACACAGCTTCAGGCATCTTTTGGGAGGTCAACGGATGGGATACTCAACACTACATTGTTCATCAACTATCTCTCTGCTTATATTGTTGAGATCGACCACGAAAGCATATTCGGTCCTGGTAAGTGAAAATTACTCCATTTACTTTGTCCAATCAATTATTTTGAATTTCTATTTCTTATGAACTTTGAGATAAGTTATGTTACACCGGGATATAGAGGCATGTGTTTCCTCCCTGTTGCTTGATTTAGTATGTGCAATAAGAGAATACTATAGCAGCTTAAGTTGTAACTAAATTAGTATCTTTTTTTTTTTTTTGTCTTCTCTGTTTGCTTTTTTACAGTTAGCTTCCTTGCCGATCTTGGTGGTCTATATTGCATCAGTATTGGCATATTTTTCTACATACTAGTGCAGGTTAAGGCCTTTCCATCTTCTCTACTTGATTAATATTTCCCTTTCTTCACATTGCTTTTTCTCCCTTCTTGAAGGAGACTTTTCAAAATATTGGTAATGTATCAATATAAGGAAAACTTAAGCATGAAATTAGCGAGTGTGCACTATCTTAGGAATATTTCTAGTCCTTTTTGAGAATATCCTGGATGGTGGTAACTTGGCTCCTCTGAATAGTGTGAGTACAGGGTCAAGAAGCTGCGGAATGAAGATACCATATTCAGGAGGATACGGAATCGTCGTAAAGCTCTTGCGCACTGGGATAAAGTAATTGTTTTTCTCCTCTTTTTTTTTTCCTTCTTGCAATCTCATCTCTTATTGTAATAAGTTTCTCATAGAATACTCCTCATTTAGCTGAGAAGATATGTTGCATACACATGGGATTGCAGCATATTGGTCGATGATGCCATCAAAACGACAAAGGTATCAGGAATCTGTGGTTTAGTGAGACCTTCAACATCTCCTCATTGCTCTGATTCGGAACATGGACCACCAAGAACAAAAATGCTGCATTCTATTATGTCAAACAAGAAACCTGGCTTAAATATTGAGAAGGTAACTAACTATTGATTTAGGGGTTTCCCTTTCCTTTCTGAGCCCTTTAGAGTTCTTAATTGTCTATTCCATTCTGCAGAGTGTAATTCCACAACCTGCAAGCCTGGAAATGAAATCTTTCGAATCGGTTTCTTCTTTGGCTCATGGAGATAATTTCTCAAATAAGAAGACTATAAGCCAGTCTTCTCAAACCCATCCACCTTCTCGTAGTGATGACGATATAATCCCTCCACCTCCTTCAATGGGTATGGCTTACATTTATACCATTTTTTTCTTATAATTTAAGATCCAAAATTTTCCTATCGATCTTATTTTTGTGGAAGTAGCTGTGTCGTATGGTTTGGGTTTTAGAAGTAGATGTGAATATATAGATGTATCTAAACTGAGCGGTTTTTTAGGAGAAAACTTGGGTTGCAACAAGGATCTAAATCAATATCTTTGGTTTATAATAGTCTCAAATCTGAAACATCGGACTGGTGGTACTGTTAATGTATTGCAGAGTTCAGTGGAGGGTCTTCGGGTTCAGAAGTGGACGCAATCGACATCAATAAGAAATTTCAACTTCTCTACGACTACAACGTACTGCTTAGGGAAAAACTTATAGACACTCAGTCTTTACTCAATGCTTTGGCACCCAAAGCATCATCATCTTCAGCCACGGAATACGATGCCTAGAACCATAAGGTTGTCTAACATGTATTGTTTGTATTCTCTTTGTAACACCCCAACATTTATAGAAGACAAAAGGAATGACTAATGTTTGTTGTATCTTTGTGAATATACCAAATTGCTAGTAGTAGCAAATTTATTTTTTATGATTCCACAAGATTGAAACCGCAGATTCGAATAAGAACCAGAAGAAAAAAGCTAACCAATAGATATTATCATCATCGAAACGAACAAGAAAGGTTTCTTCAGTCAAGGTTTACATTTATTGAAAGTCTCGAAAAAAAAAACATGCTTATAATTAGATAAAAAAGGAGAAACTAAACATCATGATAAATCCCTGAGACATGGTAATAAGCTTAGAGGTGATAAAAGGAACCAACCTAACCTCGGGAGAAAGATTCATTGGTTCAACCTTAACCGCTTGAGTTAACAGTATTCCAGAGCTGAACCCACTTAACCATAGCATCAGCAGCTTGCGTGAAGGCAGGATCATCTGAACCCAACTGCTCTTTCACCGCTTTAGCAAGCTCAATCACACAATCTTCAACATTAAGCGCAGTCTCAGGCAATTTCAAAGACTCAAAAAAGGGAACACTTTTCTCCATCAGCTTCATTCCTTCCCATTTCTTCCTCAAGCTCTCAACTGCATCTCCTCTCTCGTTTCTCCACACATAAGGCAGACCGGTTTTCACACCATAACCCAAATGATCAGAGATATGTTTCAGGCACATCCCACACCAGACATCTTCAAGTGTTTCCCATCTCACTTTCCCTTCTCCAGCCAATCTGAGTGCAGGCACCAAAGCTGGACCCACCAGCTCACGGTTAAAAGCGATGTTGATTCCGCTTATGGGAAGCATAGCCTTGAGTGGGACAGTCATAACCGCATCAACATAAGAAGTGTTCCTTTGCTCTGTCTTGAGAGCTTGTGTTGGAGCATCAAGATCAGCTAGGTTAAGCCAAAGCCCACAAGAAGCAGCACAAGGGACACCACTCCTAAGGCTGAAAGGGTACCCACGCACAAAATCAGCTCCCTCGCAATAGGGATCGTAAAGGGTATTGAAGAAGAGAGGCGTGGCTGGGTTTTCGAGGTTGGTCACGTGCTGAGAAACAGCATCCACTAGGAGCCCCTTGGGATCTTTAGCCGGGACACAGTCATCATCGATCGAGACAATGTACTTCTTTTTGGATATGAGATAGCCGAAGTATCTGCAAGAATAGCCAGAGAACATCGCGGAGTTGGATGAGCCCACAACTTTGTCCATGTCAGTCTTCGAGTAGACATCCACATCAAAGCCTGCTGGGATGTTGAGTTCCTCCTTGAGCTCAGGATCTTTGACAACAATCAGATGGAACCCGGTGAAAAACGGCCTCCAGCTGCTCAGGAACTGTGTCAGGTCAGCATTAAGAGCCCCAATGACAATGTCGACCTCATTCTTGTTTATCTCAGCCGACGACATCTTTGATTCTCAACAATCTTCGAAGTAGTATGGAGATAACTTTAGTCTTCAAGTAGCAAAGTTCCAAGGTAATCTTCAAAAGCGTTCTTCTGCAGATACATAAAAACTTGAACTTTTTCAGGAAACTACCAAATAGAATCAAAAAGTTAAAACCTTTCCATAAGCAAACTAGAAAACAGTGATATGAAGTGATCTGTACCAATAACTACAAGATAGAATAACAAACAGTGTTTTAGATCAGTGATTATCAGATAGATAGAATCTAATCCAAACACATAACCCACATAGCCTAGAATTTTAATCGAGATCTACTTCTCAGTCAACTCAGGATCGCATGAATATTGTTACGGTAAAGAAAAAAATAATGCGATCGATTGGGATCAACAAGTGGAACGTTATAGTTGAAAACCGATTAGATCTACTAAGATCCTACTATCAACGGAACAACAGAATCATATCGTCTATACAACACAGAATACGAAGCTTCACATTTCGTTCAAATTAAGAATCGAGCGATACCCAGAAAAAAATAAATTAGTTTGCAGATCAAACAACGCGATACCCAGAAGTGAAACAATTAATCGACGAGAAACGTTTGTGAGAGATGGACCTGACTCAAGCTTTGGAGAGAATGCAGAAGATCCGAGGTTTTTTCTTCTTCTTTTTTTCAGAGGGATGTATACAAATCGTGGGTATGCAGTAGACTTATCACGTCTCTATAGAATTGGTCTAAAACGTCTCGCGCATTTGCTGCTGCGTCCCGCAATTTCCTCTTCGGTCGTGCGTGTCGTAACGTTAGGGCGCGTCAAAGTGTCAAAAAAGACTCGATTCTTCTCAATCAAAACCCATAACCGAATATAACCGATCGGTCTGAATTTGGGAGAAGAATAATTTTATACCAGGGTTCCGGTTTGGTTTAAACGGTAGTGAAGTAAATTTACTAAAGCTCATAACCAAACCTAGTTAATTCTTTTATGTTGGACCCATTTTGTGGGTTTACTGAAATACCCGGACCAAACCAAAACGAACAACATTCACTTTTAATTTACGGACTTCTAAACCAAAAGCCAGATCAAGAACCGGATCATTTATCATACTCAAAAGTCAAAAACCAGTATCTAACCTCAAATACCAAACCTATTCTAACAAAAATTGAGGGTCTAGTTTAGTATTTACACCCAATTCCAGACCAAAGAGCCAGATCAAGATCAATACCGTACATAAAAGAAAAGATCCAGAATGGATTAATGATTATACATTATACTTGAAAGTCAAAACCCTTATCTAACCGCAATACAGACAATTATTATACTCAAATTCGATTAAATTCAACAAGAATGAACTAGATCAGTTGTAATACTCAAAACCCGGTTAGGGACAAACATCAACTCTTTTTCTCCATTGAAGACAAGTCTCTCTAAAAAAAGCATTAAACCATTACAAAGTTACATAAAAAAACGAGAAAGACTAAGAAGAAGATGAAAGTTATAGAAAGGAGAGAAAAAGTAGTGCAAAGGTTTCATTAAATGGGCAGTGTGCATTTCTTCTGAGAATGTCCAAGTAAATGGCACCTTCCACATTGCACAATTCTCTTCGGTCTCTTCAAATTCTCAACTCGAACCACTTTCTTCTTCGGTCTACCCGGCGGTCTCCTCGTTTTCGGCGGCCGTATCCTCAAGCCTCCTCCAACCTCGTCTCCTTCCTCCTTCCAGAAGCTTCTATCCGGAACCTCCCCAATCATCATCGAGTACGTCTGCTGATAACCCGCCACCGTGAAACACGGTTCCGCAAACAGCTGCACATTCCGACCGCACGAGATCAGCGCCGCGGCCGCGTGAGCACACGGTAGTCCGTATAGCTGCCAGCGCCTGCACGAGCAAACCCGTGTACGTATATCCACAATGTTGGTTCTCTCCGTCGACACAATCTCGAACTCGACCTCGTTGGCACGCAACACTTGGTAACACCTCGCATCCGAAACAGCTTCTGTGATCCGTCTCTCCGCGGAAGGCACGAGTATCGAGTTCCACCTCATGCTCATATCGCGGCGAGAATCGAACCAAGACGATATCTGATGGCGGATGTGTTCCATCATCTGTATGATTGGGAGCTCATGGCATTCGAGAGCCCAGTTGTACAACACCTCGGTGATCCCTAAACCGAAATGTCCGTACCGCACGCCTTGGAAATACGCTACGGCCCAGAGATGCGGAGGGAAGAGCGCGAACCACTGAACCACGTCCTGCGATATCTCAGCCATCTCGTTCATCTTCGATTCGAATTCCGCCGCCGTGAGCGCGTAAACCGCGTTCCAGAAGATGTTAACGAGCTTCGTGTTCTTGAATGTATCCCGGAAGTTCTCGCTCACGTAACGGAGACAGAACCCGTGGAACGCAGTCGGGAAATGAGTGTCCACGGCCTCCACGATTCCGATCTGTCTCTCCGAAAGTATGGTGAGCCTCGGCATGTTCTCGGTGTTCATCCCGAGAAGCTTCCTCAGCTCCGAGAGAAACCACGACCAGTTCTCATCGCTTTCGTTATCGACAACCGCGATGGCCAGAGGAAACAAACCGTCGTCCGCATCAACAGCCGCGGCGCAGAGGATCGCACCCAAGTACTTCCCTTTAAGGTGTGCTCTATCCAACTCAAGAAGAGGCCTACAAGCACTGACGAACCCGGAGATACAAGCTCGATACGCAACAAACAACCGCTGGAAACAATTCTCCGGTCCCGAGGCAGAGACAGATGCGAAGCTCCCGGGGTTGACTAGCTTTATCTGCTCACAGTACGCAGGAAGAAACCGATACCCTTCCTCATAGGTTCCATGAAGCGCAGCCATACTCCTCTCTTTCCCGCGCCAAGCCTGCATATAAGAAACCGCAACACCATGCTCGTCGCGTATATCTTGCAGTATCTCCTTCGGTTTATACTGAGGATTATCTCTGATCCGGGCCTCTACCGATCTAGCAACCCAACCAACCGATGCTTGCTGATGATGGAGATCACGGACGCCTTCACATGTATGCTCACCGTTAAGCGTCCTGACTGAAAACGTGGAAACGCCGGGGCATTTTGCGGCGTGGATACGCCAGGGACAACCTTCTTTGGAGCATTTGGCTATGAATCGACTACGGTCTGATTTCACGATACGGAGATCGAAATGCAGAGCTATAGCCAAATCTTTCAGAGTCCTTCTGCAAGTTTCCACATCGGGAAACTCTCTACCGACTGCTAAACTGTGCTCTGCTGTCAGAATATCGTCGGAATCAAGTGTAATTAAAGCACCATCAGCCATTAGGCATTGCATCTGAAAAGGGTTTCTTCGTCTTCTCGATTTCAATGCCAAACACTTGTCATCACCTACTAAAACATGCAAAAAGAGGTCGAATCTCAGAGTAGTAACTTAATCGGAACACACAAAACCCTAATTCCATGCTTGGATCATAAGCTCAATTAACAAGAACAAAAAAAGATGACTTCTTTAGGTCATTAAAAGAGACCCATTTCCAAATCAATAACATTCCAAAGATCCCAAGGCAATGAAATACGAGGATTGATTAAAGGGAAATTAACACACAGCAAAGCTGAAACCACCTTTCAAGAAATTGGAAAACTAATGGGGATCTTCGTGTGAGTGCAGCTCCGGCAGCGATAGCCACCGAATCACGTTTGTTTCGCAGTTTCTGACTTGGTGACCGAACTCGGCGACGAAACTCGGCGTTAAGCCACCATAATTTCAAGCCGCTAGGTTTTTCAGCGTTGATAAATTGCAGACGGCGACACGAGAAATGAAACTAGGAAGAGATGGGAAAGTGGAAGGTTAAACTAAAGATTCTACCACGTGTCAAGTTTCAAATGGTGTAAATGTAACATTTTTTTTTTTTCATATAGTAAGGATAATAAGGTTTGTTCACAAAACAAAAGGTAAGGATAATGATGCTCAAAAGTATTTATCTCTTCTGTATCCTAATATCTAAAACCTAACAAATTATATGTTTTGTTACAAAATTAACAAGAAGAAACAGAGCAAATGTTTTGTGATGCCAAAAAAAAAAAAAAGTTCAAATGTTTAGCTGATTGAGAGAAATAAAACAACTCCTTTCTTTTTCTGAAAATGTATACAGTTTGTCTAAAATTCACTCACTTGATGAATCACTGACCGACATGTATATATTAATTTAAACTCATCGATCATGTAACATCAATGAATGGCTTGTTTTTTTTTGTTCTTTAGACCAATTCCAAAAGTGTTTCTATAAAGATCCGAACAACGTAATAGATTACTTCGACCGGAGATGCCATCAATTCCAGTTAAAACATAACATCAAAACTTAAATTTTTATATACATAATTTTTTTTTAAAAAAATGAACATATGCATTTGAAAGATTTTTATTTTTGTAGCTAACGAAAACTATTTAGAATTAGATATAAGAAAATGGCAGTAATAAGAATGGCTCTCCATGCTTTAGGGATTTGAACCAAAGTTGCAAAAACGAAAAATAGAATTTGTAAAAGAAACAACCAAAAATGTCCGCTAAAAAAAACCGAAACTTGTTCCCTTTCTTCTCGCATGGTTCATCGGAGAATTTTAATTGTTCATGCATTCTGGTTGGCTTCAATTTTTTCCCCCTCTCTCTCTCTCTCCTTTCGATTTCTTCCTCTGTTTCTGTTCATTACACAACCTCCCAAAATTTCTTTTCCTTTAACGTGGGTCCTTCAATCTCTTGAAGGACCCCACCATTGTTAATCTCTTCAAGAAAATAATTTCCCTTTTTTTTTGGTTATTAAGCTTTTTACATATTTTTTTACACGAAAACCATGAATTGTTTCCCGTGTTTCAGTTCACACAAGAGCAAAAACTCTTCTAGTAAAAACGAGACTAACCAAAACGATGAACACGATTTCAGACCACCTGGTAAACATTTGAAAGTTGTTCGATTTTACAGATTAAAAAGATGTCAGCATTTTTTTTTAATATGAGAAACCTATTATCCTAGATTGATTCGATCCGTTTTGTTTGGTTTCAGTGGCGACGACAAAACATATAGAAGAAAGAGAAACAGAGCAATTGCCGGTTAAAACGTTTAATTTCCGGGAATTAGCGACGGCGACGAAGAATTTCCGGCAAGAATGTCTTTTAGGAGAAGGTGGATACGGTAGGGTTTACAAAGGAACTCTTCAATCTACTGGCCAGGTCTGTTTTCAAATTCTTCATCCCCCAAATGTTCACAACTTCTAGTTACATTTTCGATAGCTTTACAAAATGGTAATTATTTCGCATGTTCTTTTGGGCGATCTTTGCTTCTAAGTATAATTTTATTGCTCTGTGAGTGTAGTTGGTAGCTGTAAAGCAGTTCGACAAACATGGTATACATGGAAGCAAAGAGTTTCAAGCTGAAGTCTTGTCATTGGCTAAACTCGAACACCCGAATCTTGTCAAGCTTATAGGATACTGCGCTGATGGAGATCAAAGACTTTTAGTCTTTGAATATGTCTCTGGAGGTTCCCTTCAAGACCATCTTTACGGTAAGTTTATTGAGAAGTGTTTTTAACTTTACGCTTTGTTTGGAAGCTGATGATAATGGACTTGATATGCAGAGCAAAAGCCAAGCCAGAAGCCGATGAATTGGATAACAAGGATGAAGATTGCTTTCGGCGCAGCGCAAGGGTTGGATTACTTGCACGATAAAGTGAATCCGCCGGTGATATACCGAGATTTGAAAGCTTCAAACATCTTGTTAGACGATGAGTTTTACCCTAAGCTTTGTGATTTCGGTCTGCACAATCTAGAGCCAGGGACAGGCGATAGCTTGTTTCTTTCTTCCCGGGTTATGGACACTTATGGTTATTCAGCGCCTGAGTACACTCGAGGGGACGAACTCACTGTCAAGTCGGATGTTTATAGCTTTGGAGTTGTGTTGCTCGAGCTCATCACCGGTAGAAGAGCTGTTGACACCACTAAACCTAATGATGAACAGAATCTAGTTGCTTGGGTAACACGCATGATCTCTTTCTTTTTATCTTTGAACCCATCTTGTTGGCATCTTTCTGATGATTGTTTTTGCGCAGGCACAACCGATATTTAGAGACCCTAAAAGATATCCGGATATGGCAGATCCTCTCTTGAGGAGGAATTTCTCGGAGAGAGGGTTGAATCAAGCAGTGGCAATAACATCAATGTGTCTACAAGAGGAACCAACAGCTCGTCCTTTGATAAGCGATGTGATGGTTGCGCTTAGCTTCCTTTCCATGTCTACAGAAGATGGTATTCCAACCGCGGTTCCAATTCTATCCTTTAGGGACAAGAGTATGTCGATTGCTTTAAGCAGACACGGTTCTTGCTCTGTAACTCCTTTTTCTCTTCCTCGGAAAGAGGATGATAACGCATCCAGTGTTTCATCGGAGTCAGAAGATGAAGATGAAGAAGAACTAAGAAAGAGTAAGAAGAAGCAAGAGGAGGAAAAACCCGCTACATGTTATGATGATGAGTCTGATTCAGACTTTGAAAAGGGTCAAGAAGAGAAACATTCTCAGTTAGAGAAACCGGGAAGCTCTAGCAGCTCCTCCGACTCTGGAAGCGAGAGAATAAGAAGGTCCACTGATGAAACTAACGTAACTGCACAGAGCTTGAAGATAAAGTACAGTTATAGCTCTGAGGAAGATGATGACGAGAGGCTTAGCAGTAAAAGCAGCTTTAAATCAGACGAAGAAATCACTTCTTTCCGGTATGACTGCGATAGAGATCATGATGATTCGACGATGAACACAAGCAGAGGAATCAATAGTCTTGCTCATGATGATGATGATGATGATGAGGAGGAGGAGGAGGAGAATCATGAAACTCATCTTGAGCACATTCATAGCTCAAAATCTGAAGTCCAAAGTGTTTCTTCAGATTCAGATGAGGATGACAAGGAGAAGAATCCTGAAACTCAGTTTGAGCACACTCATAGCTCAAAATCTGAAATCCGACGTGTTTATTCAGATTCAGATGAGGATGACAAGGAGAAGAATCATGAAACTCAGCTTGAGCACACTCAGAGCACAAAATCTGAAGTCCAAAGTCTCTTCTCAGATGACGATGCAGGCCAAGGAAGTGGTGGGTCGTTTTTGCATCGGTTCGAACCAGAGAAAGAAGAACACATTTCTTCTTCTGATGAAGATTGAATCTTTTCAAAAGTTTTTCTAAGAAGTGGATGATTAAGAAAGTCATATTTGAAATCATATTTACAACACGAAAAAATGTTTGAAATCCCTTTTCGTTTTGAAACAATCCAATTGTCTTGTCATATAAATCTAATATACATATGTCTGCATTTCTTTTTAGAAATATGAAACCCAAACAAGTTTTTATGTATATATCTTGAATACTAAGTACATATGTTAGGAAGAAAATGTTTACAATTTGTTATCTATCCACCTTTTCATGTTATTAGTAAATACTAGAGATTGTTCCGCGCTAAGCGCGGATTTGTTAAATATTCTTTTATTTAGATTATCAATATCAAAATTGTTTAAAATATTCTGCTAATTCTCAAAAATAAAGTTTAATTTTAAAAATTTTAAATAAATATAAGTGGTAAAAATCTAATAAACAAATTAGATGACTATAAATATATTTAGTGAAAATAAATATAACAACTAAAACCCGTTAAATGACAAAATAGAATGAGAAAATGTCAATAGCCAAAAACAAAAACAGAAAATTATGCTGAACATTCTAGATGCTATTTTAGTATATTTTGCAGTAGTTGACATTTGAAAAAAAAAATTATTTGAAGAAAATGTGAATTTTTTAAAAACTATTTATTAAACAAATTTTATAGAATTTTGATACAAATATAAAAGAAATATGCAAATTACCATATATAAGGAGGCATTGGTATAAAAGAACAATAAGCAATCAAGGTTGAAAAACCACCAAGCAAAGACTTGTAAATGACTAAATGTAGATGTTACGACCATGTCATCGTGTTTGGGCATCATTGTTGAGCATGTCTCGAAGCCAACGCGGATCATGTCTCGCAACATATGATTAGTATCACTGATCTGCAGTAACATTTGTACCTATAGTGCATAGGTATGTGATTTAACATCCAAAAATTAAAGAACTACAGAAGATTGAGAAGACCAAAAGTGATAAAGAATCCACTAAAAACAACTGAACTTGTAATTATGCTGTATTAATATAATTTACAGACCTTAACAAATATACACTCATCTTTATGGGACGATGACCATCACACAACACAAATAAAGCATAGAAAATTAAAATGTAGATTCACCGTTATGAGAAGTAAAATATACAATGTCTTTTCACATAAGTTTTTTTTTCTTTGGTTGCAAAATTGTAGCTTATACAATTACAGCAAGTAAAATAAAATAAAATTCTAACTCAACTTAGATAACTGATCAATGAAGTGTTTATTCTTGGATCCTCCGAATCAATAGTTTGGTAATTGGTTTGAAGATGAGCTGGAGAGATTTGCTTCCTTAGGCTTTTGGTTAATGCATTGAGGAATAATAGAGTGATGCTTCTTTAGGTCCTAAATAATATTTACCCTGAATCTGTTCTTTAACAATTGTTTCTCCTGAAAGCTTCTGATTGGACCCACTGCCACCTTTTATCCTATTCATGGGCCAACATATATGCTAAATAATAAGCATTTATACCCCTCTAGTGTTTGAGAAAGTTGATTGATATATCTACGACTGTGTGCAAGAACTCTCGCTTTGCTTAAAAAGTTTGATGGAACTTGTACAGTTATATTTCACCAACATTTGGTTCTACTTTATGTAAAAGAAACAATGTATAACCTCGTTTACATTTATGCAATTAACCTTACTAATCAAAGAAAAACGTTATGATAAAAAGTTTACAATTTCTCATTGATTTTCACTTCTTTGTTCTTTTTTGACTTTGCATTTTGAGTGTATAAATATTTTTTTTTTGCACTTAAACCTAGAAATGAGAGTTAGTGCACCATTATTAGAAAATAAAATCAACCTCCAATATTTGATAGATTCCTTTACGTATGTACGATAGTTTAGTTCTTGAGAAGCAAGTTAATGGCTCCTATATGCAGCAATGATATACAATATAAGATTGTTAATGTTGATAAAAGCTAAGGTACATATATTTTTTGTTAGTTTTACCTTAACGTAGTATAACAGCGATCTGGAGAAGCTGAAGTTCTCCAAGCAATTAATCTCTGATTGATCCTCTACTTATTTTTAAAAGACTTTCTATATGTTCCAATCAAATTCGATATTGTTAATTAGAAAATAACAAAGTTATAAAACAAAGGACATGTCATGAGAAAGCAAGAGATGATAGAGCTAACAACCTGGGTAATACATGAGTCATGATCCCGTTGAATCTAAATTTATAGAAGACATTAAAAGTTACGACTAATTAGTCTCAGAGTTATAATGATAAAATATAAAGATGAAAAACTTAAATTTAGAGGAGATTTGACATACACACCACTCAGCGTATTTTGAAAAGATACACTTACCCTTGTTTGAGTAGTCCTGTATGAGTTTGCCTGATTTCTCCTCCTAGACGGAATGCATTGTAGAATTTGGAAGTGAAAATTGCATTACAAACTGAAGTGGAGATAATAAAACTAAATCCATAAGTTATCTCACGGGATTTAACCATAGGACATGAATGGAATTTTAAAAAGAGATTGTGGCATTATGGGAGACGATGAGTTTAGGGTTGAAACTCTGATTTAATTAAAGATATTTAGTATAACGTTTTTTGGAGAAGCAGAGGAGACATATTCCTATTTTTTTTTGTAAATAGTGCTTAATTGAGAATTTAAAATGCTTAATTTATATTTAGAAATCACATTACTGATTTTGTTTAATTTCTTAAGAGAAATAGAACTAACATGGTATATTTTTAGAGAGTTTGATTTGCTGATGTGACTAGCCTAAGGAGCCCTAAACAGCTCTTTTTATTTAATATAGATGTAAAGCTATACTAATTTTATTAGTTTAGAAATTACATGTTTATAAATTACTATAGTTAAGTGGTGGCTATACAAACAATCTAAGAAAAGGTATTTTATAATTATATCATATATTTTGTCAATTTTTAAATTGTATATTTAAATAGTAAATAAAATAAAACTCGTCAAAATCTTCTAATATCTCGACCTAATGAGATATGTTATGTAGTAGATGAAATGTTGAATGAGTGAATCTGGGATGTGGGAACATTTGAAGTACATTTCTAGATTTGCTTATTGTAATGTTCTTAGCAAAAACAAAAATGTATATACATATATCTTGATGGCTACACTTGTACTACATATATATAGCATATATGTAGCCAGATATAAGAAAAAAACAAGAAGGCATGATGGCACAATATCATTTGCATTCGATGATTATATTTTGCAAAAGAAGTTGCTCAAAAATCAATAATGTAGATTGCTTTGATTACAAGGGGATATAACAATTAATGTACATTCTAATCATTTAAGTCATCATTATAGTAGAGTTCTTGATGGAAGATTCATTATAGTCTATAAACTCCAATTAACTATTCTCTACAGAACATTGAAAAACAAAAAAAGTAATTTGTTTTTGTGATGAACAAATGTGTAAGATAAATCGAGATTCGAACTATATAGTTGACTAATATTTGGGGAAGATTGAATCTAGATAGATTTTCGATTGCTCTGACTGAGATCATATTGGATCAATGAAACTAAATGTAACACATAACCAACGAAATTAAGCTCCATGTTCTAGTTTTTAAATATCCATATTTGAAGTACAAATGATACGTCACCAAAGACAACAGTCTACCGAACAGTAGTTGCGCTCCCAAAAGAAAACAAAAAATAAAATCTATCACTTTCGTCTCTAGCGAACCGCAACTTCAAATACACACGTAAACATCATTGTAACTTCACAACAAAGTCAGAAAAAACACATAACACGACCACCACCAAATTTTATTCGAACAAAGATTACCAACAAAACAAACAACAAATACATTAAAAACATTTGGTGGGTTATCATTTTCATATAGTATACTACATTTACACACATACTCTTTATATATAAATATAAGTATTGTAAAAGGAAAGGCTTTGGTAGAAAATGAGAGATAGAATGGAGAGGCTTGTGGTGCTTCCTTTTTCCGTCGGATGTATCTCCGACTCAAGTGTTGCCGTTTTATCTCCTCTCTCTAAGCCCCATCATCATCACTCTCCTCAAGGTTCTCTCTCTCTCTCTCTCTCTACATATATATATATATATACATTTATATATATTGATTCGATATCTCATGTATCTTTTATGTGATATCTTGATGACTTGATGTGTTTTCAAAAGGGACTCGCGATCAAGAGGAGGAAGAAAACATGAAGAATGTATTCAAGTTCCTTGCAGTTACTAAACCGGAGATTTCTACCGGTATTAACCGGCTTTTCAAGAGCTTCAAGACAATTTCTCAACTCTTTGGTAATATTTATCTCATGTCTGTCATTTATCGATATAACGCAATAGTACAATTAAATGGATACGTATGGTCATTTATAAAAACTTTTATAAGTTTTCTTTTGCTTCATATACATCCGGTACAAATTTCTAATAATTAATACTTGAACGTAAATGTATCGGTATAAATATTGTAGCTTACAAGGAAGAAGAAGAGAATGAAGATGGCGAGACGTCAGGAATGGAGATAGGAGTTCCGACAAACGTAAAACACGTATCGCACATCGGTTGGGAAAGCGGTTTAAACGCGGTTTCAGGTCCCGGTAAAGGATGGGATGATCTCATACCGCCCGAATTGCTTGCAGCCGCTGCTACTAAACAAAATCTCATTCCTCATCTTCAACCATCTTTATAAATCCATTCCCTCTATTTAATTTTTTTTTTTTTTTTTTTTTATGTTTTGTTTACGAATCTAGACATATTTGATACATATGGGATATGGAGAATCTAATCTATGCTATAATGTTTGGTATGCCGTTATTCGATTATGTACATAGTGGTTATATATACTCTGTCAATGTTTTGTATGTTAAATCGTTATAAAACAAAATATTTAAATTCACTCGAAACAATTTAAATCAGCTAAATTGTTTCAGATCTTACCAATTTCTCTAATATAGTTTTGATACAACTATCTAATTTTTAATTTAACTTTAAGCAGAGGAGTATCATTTCAACAAAGAAAATACTACTACCTTTGTTTTATAAATAATGTCATTTTATAGTTTTGTTTTGTAAATAGTTTTGTTTTTGTTTTACAAAAAGTGTCGTTTTGTATTTACAATGCAAATTTTTAAATAAAAATTCAATTTTAATTTTGTTATATTAGTGTATTAATTAGAAAAAATTGTTTAGTGTATTTATAAAAGATAAAAGATACTTTTTATTAAGTTTTTTTAATTTGTGTGAAAAGTGAGGCGAAATGATATTATTTATAAAACAGAGGAAGTAATGTTTAAGCTAAATTAACTTCTAGAAACAGTTCGTAATCCTAAACTAACAATGACTTGTGTGGGGCCGTAAACGAATCTTCGATGTTAGGGTAAATAATTAATTAATAGTAAATTCTAAAATTTAACTCTCAGTCAAATAGATTCGTAAGGAACTTGCCAATCAGTTAGCGACGGACTAATTAAAAGCGAAGGATATGAAACGTGTCATCATAATCTGGGAGATTACAGAGAAAACATTCCTAAATACAAATCTAAAACCTCAGAGGATCCAACAAATGGCTGTTTTAAGTTATTTTCTTAGGTTAACGCTTTTTTTATGCCCCTAAAATTCCGAAGATGGTCTACCAAATTAAACTCCTAAATCTCCGTTAATCTGTGTGTCCTCTTAAAAGATTAAATTAAAACCCCACTTGATGATTATCCCACTAATCCTTTAATAAATTAAATTTATTTTTTTGGTTCAATCTATCGATCTCTCTCTCTAGATTTTGGGGGTTTTGCTCTCTCTCTCTCTCTCTCTCTCTCTCTCTACCTTTCTTTCTCGTATTTTTCTGTCTCCCAATCGAGAGACGGAGGGAGAGAGACGTAATTGAAATCGATGGGTTTAATCGTGGATGATAACGACGGCGAGCTTTTTATTCCGCCGCCGAATTTCTCGATGGTCGAAGACGGCATTTACCGATCTGGGTTTCCTCAGCTAGAGAATTTCGGTTTCTTATCAACCCTGAATCTTAAATCTATCATGTAAGATTCTCTTTCTCTGATACTATTGATTCTGAATCTCCGGAGGAATTTATTCAAAAGAATCTCAAGTCACGCATTGTTGTCGTTGTTTATTTTCCTTAAATTGACTACTTTTCACTCTCATGGCTTTTTTTTTTTAATTCATAATTGGATATTAAATTTGTTGTCACTGAAATTGACCCGCAGAATGATTTGATTACAAAACGAGTTTTCTTTGTTGGGTTTTTCTGGAAAACAGTTATCTGTGTCCTGAACCATACCCTGAGGAGAATCTCAAGTCTCTTGAATCCAACAACATTAAGCTTTTCCAATTTGGAATCGAAGGCAAAACGGTATGCTTTCTTCTCTCTATGTGTGTTTTTTCTCCCCAGATTCTTTTCAACCTTTTGAATTGAATCTTTTGAGCTCCTTTCTTCTTCTTCTTTCTGTAAATTTGAAGTCTGGATTGTTGTTTTACTATTGAATTGAAATCATTGAGTTGTTCAGGAACATATAAGTCCCCTCTCTTGTTCCTGTTTTTAGTCTGGCTTATATAGCTTCTTTGAATCATGGCAATGTCTTCTATATCTGAGTTTGGATTGTTCTACGCCCATAGGACCCTCCAACTCCTATGCCAAAGGATACAGTGTTGAGTGCTCTTAGAGTCCTCGTTGGTAAGGAATCAAAGGAGAGACCCATTGATGTCTTGTCTTAGCTTATCCGTTACCTCTCTCATTAGTTCTTCCGTTTGCTTGCTTACAGATGTCAGAAACCATCCGATTCTCATCCACTGTAAGCGCGGAAAGGTAACCCAACGAAACCAAACCCCTTCTCTCGGTTTCGTAAGATTTGGGGCTGAGTCTACGTTTCTGCATTTGTTGGCTAACTGCAGCATAGGACAGGTTGTCTTGTGGGATGCTTGAGGAAAGTTCAAAACTGGTGCTTATCATCGGTTCTTGAGGAATACCAGAAGTGTGCGGGTTTGAAATGGAGGCAGAGAGATTTGAGGTTTATAGAGGATTTCGAGGTGCTCAGATTGAGGCAATGTCTACACAGCATTATCTATCAGTACAATGGCTATGGTCTCAAGAGGAGAAAGCTGCTGTACCAAGAAGAGAATGTTGTCCAAGAACAGCAGAAAGCTCAAGCCACCAAAGGGTGAAACGGATTGTATTTTTTTCTCTCTTATCTAGATTTTTGATTCTTTACATTTTTCGTGATGATGATGATGATGATTCTTTTGGGTTTAGGGTAGTTTTGAAAACCTTACGAAAGCAGAGGATTTGATTTGGTCTTTCTTTTCTTTTCTTTTCTTTACAGTTAGAGAAATTCATATTCTTAATTGTTCATAACAAAATAACAACACATGTGGCTTTTGTTTACGCTAATATATAGTATTACTATCAAATATCAATCAAGGATACTCGTGTTTCCGTTCTACCATAGAAAAAAAAAACCATCTTTCGTGTGACTCAATTAATCACAAGGAATAAAAGCCTCCTTTCATCCATATCCTTAAAAAAAATCCGAATGAAAGATTAGAGTCACATGATTTCATGAAACTATACATGTTATAACGTTGCGTGCTAAGCTCGAAGAAATGAAAGAAAGGTCGTTAACCAAAGCAGTAACTTGTAGCAGAGATTTTGTCCAAAAGAGAACGAAATCAAAACCTTGATGACATTGACGAGTTTGTTAAGCTGTTCTACTACTTGTTGCAAGACTTTGTCAGTCCCGAGAACAACTATAGTAAACATAGCCTTATCTTCGTTCCTTACACATAATCAGAGCTGTACATAGTAAGGCCGGTTTTCCTTTTTGTTTTTCTGAATTTTTTTATAAAAAAAAAGATAAATTGAGTAAGGGATATAATAATAAGGATGATGTTTTTCTACCGAGGGGATCGTTTTCATCTGATATAAGGGAAACAAAATAAAGAGTGCGGCGCAAGCAAACCCTAATCTCTCTCTCTCTCTCGATCAGAAGATCTGGTTCAGTGTTTGAAGCAAAGGTAATAATAATCCGGGTTCTTCTAAGTCTAGGTCAAAGGTTGGTGGATCAATTAGGGTATAATATTCCGAATTTGAATGTCGTAGATAGTAAGTAACTGTGGTTGAATTCAAACTTCTGATGACTTTTACTGTACCCTTATGCTCAGCGATGGCAGATCAGAGCGTTCCCCACCCGAGTGGACTCAAAAAAGGTACCTCTTTTTTTTTTCTTTTTTTTTTCTGTTCTCTTTTCATCCCCGGGTGTATAATGTCTCTCGCTGAAACTTTTTGCACCTTTGATTGTCTGTCTAGTGGGATTTTGTCTTGAGAAGTTGGCTACAACTCACAGCTATGAGCCAGATTCCTTTAAACTCCACAGGTTAGTTCATGATTGATATTTCTCACCTTGTCTTGGAGAATTGGTATATCCATCTCATCTCATCTCATCTCACGTGCAGGCTTCCCTCTCCAAGGCCTGGAGAGCTCCTAGGGTTGATTGGAACTCACAAAACCGGCAAATCAACTGCTCTCAAAATTTTGGGTGGGCGACTCAAACCCAATCTTGGCCGCTTCGATGATCCTCCGGACTGGCCAGAGATTCTGACTCACGTAAAGGATTGTTATTTCAAAAGCTACTTCGCCGATGTTCTGGCTAAGAAACCAAGGATCGTTTTCCAGCATCAAGATTTCACTGACCTAAGAAACGATAGGTTTTTCGTCGGGGAGACGCTTAAAATGTATGACCAGAGAGGTAAGTTGGAGGAGGTATGCGATGCTCTAGATTTGAACAGTCACCTGAAACGGAACCTCCGCAGCCTAACTCCTGGATTGCTGCAAGTTGTTACCATCGCTGCCAAGGCCTTGCAGAAAGGAGATGTATACATATTCGACGAACCATCACACTTTCTCGACGTGGCTCAGAGACTCAACGTTGCCCGAGTCATACGTTCTCTCCTAACCCCCGACAACTACGTGATTGTTGCGGACCACGACCTTACTCTCGTCGACTATGTCTCGGATGCCATTTTCTGTGTGTATGGGAAACCAGAAGCATACGGCGTCGTTACTAAGCCCTATAATACCAGATCAGGAATCGAGGCTTACTTGGATGGGTTTGACCTCTTGGAAACTCAGTACATGAGGGCTGCGTCTCCCAGTGACTTTGTGGCTCGTAAGACTGCCCCAAAGGAGTTCCACAACGAGGGCTGTCCAAGGCTCCAATATCCAGATATGACTTCAACTTTTAAGCGCTTGAAGCTGCAAGTGACAGGAGCGGAATTCAAATACTGGCAGATTTGTGTAGTTCTGGGAGAGAGCGGTACAGGGAAGACCACCTTCATCCGAATGCTGGTATGAGTATATCATGAATGCCCTTTTCATATCGTTCGTTTATATATTATATATATACATACTCTTCTTAACCAAAAGACTTCTCTGTATGCCGGTTTGCATCCACCTGACGAGGTGAAAGGTGTAGAACCGTGGTCGCCTCCGTATACGGTGTCATACAAACCGCAACTAACAATCTTGAAGAGCGGTTGTACAGTCAGACAATTGCTAAAAAGACTTCGCGTCGACGATGATGTGCGTCCTGGGTTTAAGACAGAGGTGCTAACACCGCTTCAGATTGACCAGATGATGGATCGGGATCTGGACACACTCTCGCCTGGAGAGACGCCCAAGCTTGACATTGCTTGCTGCCTTGCCAAGGTTAGTATAGTGTTTTGCCAAATTAAAGGGATGCTGTTTTTTGTGAGCATCATCAATTTGTGTTTACTTGTATCTCAAGTTTTCCCTTGCAGACCGCGTGTCTCTACCTGATCGATGAGCCAAGCGAGTACCTGGACGCTGAAGAGCGAATCGTCACATCAATGGCCATAAGGCAGCATGTTCTAAACATGGGGAAATCCGCGGTTGTTGTGGAGCGCGACTTTATGATGGCAGCCTATTTGGCAGACCAAGTGATTTTGGTCGAGCCACCAGCAATAACCGGGTCTGCTACTTCTACCTCAAGGCGGCCATCAACAATAACCGAGTCTGTTACTTCTACTTCAAGGCGGCCATCAACAATAACCGAGTCTGTTACTTGTAATTCAAGGCGGCCATCAACAGTACCCAAGTCTGTTCCAACAGCACCCGACTTTGTTACTTCTTCTCCACACACACGTTTCAATGGGATGCGCATATTCGCGGAGCAACAGAATATCACATTCCGAAAGGATCGGCTCAGCTTCAGGTTCTTACCAAAGGTCAACAAATTAGGATCGACCGAGGACGAGGAACAAAAGCGTGCAGGCAACTACTTGGACCCGAAATTGAACTGGGCTTGAAAAGTCTGACTACCAATACGTATCTCAAAGGTCTTTTCTCCGGATCAGTACCAAGTTAATTTGGCTTATTAGGTAAGTTAGGCAGTGTTAAGAATCATTAAGGTCGTATCTTCTCTCCAGTGTTGTGTGCTCCTCCTCACTTCTGAGGTCTGCAAGTCTATTCCAGACACAAGACACTTCTTTGGTTCTGTTTCTTTGCCATTTATGGTGTCTTTTTTTTATGTGTGTTTTGTTGCTTTACCTCGTGCTCTACCTTATTATTATACCTTTATAAACTATATCCTTGGGTTACACTGCCCATCAAATGCGAGTAAATTTTATTTTCTTTACAGTTAGAGAAATTTATATTCCAAGAGAAATTAACAACCCATGTCGCTTTTGTTTACGCATATATATACTATCAAATACTATCAATCAAGGATACTCTTGTTCCCGTGGCCTTGTTTCACTTATTTGATTTGTAGTATTATTGTGGGCCTCAAGAGTAAAGATATGACCCATGATCAGTAATATAATTTCATTGGGTTCTGTCTGGGCCTCTACTTTTCTGAAATTTCTGTAAGTTGGATAACAAACTACGAAGATGTTCTTCAAAATCATATGTGGAAGTTCAACCATTCGATCTTGGAGAGGTGAATCCAATACCAATTCCTTAATCTATGGACTTTTTGCCAAAAGTCGAGTAAAATTTGCAATCTCCCTGTAAGTAGACTCAACCACTAACAAAAAAACCATAAACCAATGCTTCTGATTGTTCAAATGGTCGAATGATCACACACAATCAAGTTAATTTTCATTTTGATTTTGATTCTCTTAATCCCCAGCTTCTCTGTTTCTAACCATTAGTTAAGCCAAATTGTTTTGGTCTAGATGCTTTGAAAGCTTGAAATTCAAATAACAAGTTTCTGCAATGAGTACAAGACATGAAACGTTTCTCTAAGCTTTGTCGAATCCTCACTGATGATTAGAAACAGAGAAGCTGAGAATTAAGAGCAGAGATTGTAAACAAGCAAGCATACATAAAAAGACATTTGAAATCGGTGAAACAAAACTATCTTCACCAAAACCAAACCGATGAGACAAAAGTAGAGCATCGAGAAACCAGAATCAAAAGGCACAAAGTGAGTGAAACAAAAAGACTTTAGTTATAAGAGATATCATCAGAGATATCAGTTACTTTATAAGATAGCAGTTTATATTCTGACATCAACAACTTGAAGAAAGAAACCATAGAAGAAAGATGACAAGTTTTCATAAAGGAATTCGATAACAAACCCCTCCAATTAAACACACACACACACGCACGCAATCCAAATCACTTCTTCAGGCTTCCTCTGATTCCGGGTTTGGGTTTGGACGATTCAGCAGGTGCAGCTAGAGCCTCGTGCAGGTTCCTCGGCTCCTCGTAAGGCATCTTCGGGTGCTTCGATTCGTGGTGGATCTGCATCGTCTTCAGATCCGGCGCGGTGATCTTGCAGTGAGGACACTCGTACTTGGCGTGACCGCCTTTCTCCTTACCGGTCCTGTCGGCGAGCCCCGCCCTTCCTCCGCCTCTGTTGGTCAGCGCTGCATCGGCTTTCGCCTGGAGCTCCTTCGCCGTGTGCTTCTTTGGCTTCGCCTTGCCTGTCATCGTCGATTGTGGCGGCTACGAGAGATGAGAAATCGAATGGAATGGGGGGGGGAGCTGGAAACCCTAACCCTAATTTGTTCAATCGAGAGAGAACGATTTGGGGGCGACGAGAAGTTCGATGCGAGTTTATTATTTATCTCTCCTTAAAAGTATGGAAAAGGTATTAATAAATAAATAAATAATTTAAAATAGAAGAATATTTATCCTCTATTGTCAAAGGTTTTTCTATTGTACGGTACGATGCACATTAAGACTTTTGCTCCCCTTTTGCTCATAGTCGTTCAATTTGGTCGTAGCTTTATTCCTTTTTGTCACTTTTAAAATTTGTAAGAAAAAAAGAGGAATCATTGTAATAATATCTGAAATACATTTTCAATAATTGTGGAGCATATGAATAATAGTATACCAATCGTTTTACTGTTTCTTCTTTTCATTAGCTTTGTTTACTGTTTTGTGTAGCTAACAAGATCCAAATATTTGTACTGTTTTGTGTCATTAATATGTAAAAATCCAAAATCCAAATCCAAATCCAAATTAAGAGGAGGTCAAAGAACTCGGAGGATCACGGTTCACTTTCTTTAGAGTTTTTTTTTTCCTTTTGTTTTGTTAAAAGAAATTGATCAGAAACTTATAATTTTACATACTATCCAACTGCATCTTTTTGAGCTAATTATTTCAATTTTAAAAAAGGGTGAAAACACTAGTGGATAAAATAATTTACCCATACAAAATATTTCTTCCTTGGGCTAAGCACTTCTGGTACAAAATATTCAGTCTGATCTCATTGAAGAAACGTGGCACTACTCAAGAACACGAACCAACACGTTTCAATAACTTCATGCAGATCAAAAATATAAGTTTGTATTAGGACAGCGACGTTTATCTATTTCATGTCATAATAGAAACCGAGAGAGTCTTGAATCCTACCCCAAGCAAATAAAAAAAATCAAGAAAATAATAAAGCGAAGCAATGGAAGAACTAGACATCGATCTCAAAATCCCTGAGCCTTTACGAGCCGACTGGTTCATGGCTCTTGTCGACATCCAAGCCGATCTCATCTACAACGCACTCGTGGTCCTAACCTCACCTCTGTTCCTCCTCTACCGATCATACCGCCGCGCAACCGCCACGGTCTCCGCAGCGGAAAAAGCGGTTAAACGGGTCCCGTCTCGGATAAAGGGTGGCGCGGCGCGGGTAATTAGGAGGACGGGGTTTGGTTTAATGGGTGCATGCCACGTGTCAATGGTGATGGTGGTGGCGATGATCGTGGCGGCTGTTATCGGTGTTGGGATTGTGAATTTGTACTTAGAAAAGCCTGTGGTTGTGAGAGAGAGACTCTTCTTCGACTACACTGAAGACAACCCAAGTGCAGTTTTTAGCTTCGATAAGAGGAAGAGACCGTTTGGTGTTCCTGTTGGCCACAAGCTTCATGTTTCGTTACTTCTTTGGATGCCTGAATCTGACCTCAATCGAAGACTTGGTTTATTTCAGGTAAAAAACCAATTTCTAATTAAGTAATCAGATGTTTCTGTCGAATCATGTGCTAATTGAATTACCAAAATCATAATATCTAAATCGAGTTAATTTGATCATTTTTTTCTTGTGTCTACATCTTTTTATTTGGCACAGTTGAAAGTAGAGCTTCTATCATTGAAAGGGGAGACAATCGCGAGATCGAGCCAACCTTGTATGTTACGGTTCAGAAGCAAACCCATAAGACTTGCACGAACATTTGTGATGAGTGTCCCACTTGTTGCCGGAATAGCAAACGAAGCTCAAACAATGAGAGTCGATGCGTTAACGCACCAAGAGAAATGGCCCAGGACAAAAGCCGTGAGAGCCACTCTAATCCCGCGTGCACATACTTGGACACTGCCTCAGTTATATGAAGCCGAGATCGTTATAAACTCGAATCCGCCATGGATGAAACGAATGGCTTATAACTGGAAGTGGACTCTCTGCGTTTGGACTTCAATGTACATATACGTCGCTGTCCTAATGACGCTTCTGTGGTATTATAGACCACTCTTGTTCCCATACATTGCCTCAAGAACGGCTGCAGAGATCGAACTAGTCGAAGAAGAAGTAATAAAAACAACAAGATTGAGGGAAAGAAGAAACAAGTCTCGTCGAAGAACTTTCACTACGACACAGGAAACTTATATAGAGTAATAATCCGTAAATAAGTTTTGTTGTGTGTGTGTGTGTCTCTGCAGAATAAAAACCTGCTTTTGTAGCAAACCGGCAAAATAGTAAATAACAAGAACAAAAAGAGTTGAAAATCAAGCAGAGAGAAGCTTCAACAATTGGTCGACGAAACTCTCTCTCGGAACTCCTTGATATTCCTCTTCACTGCCTTTAACCACCTTCTTCAATGTAACAACTCCTTCACTGAGCTCTCGTTCGCCGACTATCACCATCCAAGGGATTCCAGATTCCGTGGCGCGGTCGAAATGCTTTGACCGTCTTTTGCTCACAAGGTACTCTGCTTTTATCTTGGCTGCCCAAAGCTGACTTACCAATCCCGCAGCTTCTGCTAGCTTATTATCCGCCATGATACTGACCAGAACTTGCGTCTCTGTGGATCGAATCACCTGTTTGTACAACCAATTATAGCTTTAGTTATATAGAACCATAACAGATCAAAAGCATATACAACTTTTTACACGTCATCTGTACCTGTTTTTGTTGCTTTTGAAGTTCTTCCAATATGTTAAAAACTCGCTCGATACCTAGACTCATACCAACTGCTGGGACTTGCCGTGTCCCGAACATTCCAATTAGGTTATCGTATCGCCCACCAGCACCGATCGATCCAACCTAAAGAAATATCGAAACTTTATTAAGAGTGTTCATTCAATCTTAAAACGTAGTATTATGAGTGATTGGACATTTTACCTCAGCTCCTTTGCAGACGGCTTCAAAGATGACGCCCGTGTAGTAATCAAGACCTCTCGCAAGACTCAGATCAAAGACTACTCTGTTACTGCAGTTTGATCTTTCAAGCGCTTCAAACATAATGCCCAAATCTTCAAGTGCTTCTTTTGATGACTCGTTGGTTAAAAGCTCGCTCCCTTCTTGTCTGAGTTTCGACAGCAGTTCCATTGGCTGTCCTCTTTCCTTAACAAAAGTGCCGATTCTGTCTGCTGTCTCCGGAGATAAACCCTTCTCCTCCACCTAACGAGACACACAAGTCAGATGACCCGAAACGACAGGTTTTAAAGTAACGGAATCTATAAATGACTTGAGAAAAGAAGATTCTCACCATTTCTTTCTTCACTTGCTCAAATGATTGCTTGTCTAACTTGTCGATACTGGAACAGATGGTTCTGAATTTTTCCGGTGGTACTCCACATATCTCCAGCATACCGTCAAGCAACTTCCGGTGACTCAGCTTTACCTATTCAATACAAAGAATTTACTTCTTCACTATTAAGAGCAAGACTATATTATTCAGAAGAAAGCATTAGAAGAAACTCGCCTCGTAATCTCCAATTTGTAGTTCATCAAGCATTTCTGTCATGATCTTTACAATCTCAAAGTCGGGTCCCATCCTTTCAAACAGACCAGCAATATCGAGATCGCATTGATAAAACTCCCTGTATCTTCCTTTAGACGGATTGTCCCTTCTGTACACTTTAGCTATTTGGTATCTTTTGAATGATGTGATACCATTCATAGCCACATAGCGTGCAAACGGAACCGTTAAATCATATCGTAAAGAACAAAGCTCTCCACCCTGTATCACGCAAGTTTAATAAGCAAAGATGCTAACATTTACAATTCCTCACACACTGACTTAACCGAAATCGAATTGAGTTACCTGGTCAGCGATATCATAAATCAACTTTGAGTCTTCTCCGTATTTCCCCATAAGCGTCTCTCTCAATTCGAAAACAGGTGTATCAAGAGCAGTGGCACCATGCCTCTTGAAAACGTCTTGTATGATTGAAAACGCTTTTTCTCGGACTGTCATTTGCTCCTTCGCAAAATCACGAGTACCCTGACATGAATCAAACGAATAAAGAAGAGATTGATTACATAGCAATTAGAAGCATCCACGACAAGATTGCATTATAAGTGAAGGTACTGCTCCAACTACAATAGACTAGCCACATTCTAAATTTCTAAAGCCGCTATTATATGAACAAATAGATCCTATGTTTAGCTAACTAAAGAAAGATGCAATCAGACAAAAGCCAATCTTCATTACCTTCGGGAGCTTTGGGAGTCTCCTGTTTTCATTACTTTCTACGATCTCTTTTACTTTATCCAAGAAGCAAGCAAAAGCACGATCCTCGAGGTTCAATAGACCCAAGACTTTCTCCACCCAATGCTTCAATGTCTCAACCTTATCACCAGCGCTCGTATCTTCAACGAGCAACATGTCTTTGATAAACTGGAGAAGTAAGCTTGTCCCTTTACCCAAGACTGCTTTTCTCTCACTCTTCTTCTTCTTATCACTCTTCTTATCTGTTTTCGGCTCATCCTCATTAGCATCAACACTCTTCTCAGTGAACAATTCTCCGCCTTTAAGTGCAAAGAAGGCAGCCACAGCTTCCCAACCAACAATTCTATACACAGCCCCAAGAGACTCGTTCACAAAATGAGCAAATTTGCAGTAGTCTTCATCAAAGAGGGCATCGTACGCTACCTTGTGAGCATTCTTCAGACTCTCGTAATCCAGACCGGACTTTTCGAACAAACTCAATAAACCATTCCTCAAATCCTCGTTTTCAACAGACTCGAATGACAATTTGGCACGAGCAAACGAACACTCTCCGGTATTTTTGATCGCCACGGACAGAGCAGACAACGTTGCTCCCAAAGCCTCACCAGTTCCTGAGCTCCCCGAACCAAACTTGCCTCCTTTGACACTTGAATTCAGTTCTACCCTAACAGCAGCATGAACATTCTTCACAACATCACGGAATCTCCCATGAATCCTCGTGATCTTCGAAACCGCTTCGACTTCTTTCTTCCCGACGAGTTTCGACCCGTTTAGCAGAACCTTGAGATCACCAGCAACCGCGATGGCGTCTTTGTCCCCAAACCCGTCTCCTGAATCCAACGAGCTAAACGACGTCACATCAGCCTTTGTAGCCTCGCAACTCAAAGCAGCAACCGCATCTACAATCTGGGAGAGGACCGAAGATTTGTGGTCGATAACCGAACATATGGCGATCAACGGAGCACAAGACTTCTCCAGCACAGTACATTCTCCTTCGGTCAAATCAATCTCGGAGAAATCAAATCCCTCCGCCTTCGAATTCAGACTCTCGGAGATCTTAACCGGAAGATCCGTACGGATAGCAGATGAAGAGGAAGCTGATAGGAGAAGCTTGTTTAGGAGAACAGCTAAAGAAGCTCGAGCCTCCTCTACCGTCAAGCATTGAGGGATAGCGAAGGAGCTCTTTTGGGAAATTTGAGGGTTTTTGGTGGACAATCTGTCGAGCGCGGAAGAGTCGATTCGGACCTGAGAGACGCCGGCGGAAACGTTGTAGACGGAGGAAGAAGACAGAGAAGAGCCCTTCCCTCCGAGAGAGATCGTTGCCGCCATAGTCGATATTATGAGTGAGTGAGAGAGCTAGGTCAAGCTTGTTTTTCTATATAAATCGTTCTATACTAATCCAATTAAAACCCTGCTAATCCCAACCAAAATGATTTTAAGTTTTTTCTTATAAAAAAAAAGTCATACTTTTCTCTCTTCATAAACAATGGTGCCATAAACAAGTGGTATGTATTTAGGGGTTATTAGTAAATGGATTTGTAATAATCGTTAAAATTTTAAGATTTCTTTATTATTGGTAAATGAATTTTAACATTTATTAAAATTCATTGTGATTGGTATACAGATTTCTAATTTTATATACAGTGCCAAAGTAATAAAAAAAAATTAATACCAAAGCAATTAAAACTTTTAATACCAGATTAATATTGGTAAATGAATTATAACATTTATTAAAATTCATTGTGGTTGGTATAAAGATTTCTAATATTATATACAGTACCAAAACAATTAAACTTTTAATACCAAAGCAATTAAAACTCTTAATACCAAATTAATAAACTTAGATTTTCATTTACACATTTTGAGTAACAACAAATCAATCTCGTGATTATCTATATCCTTTTTTAGCCAACAGAGTGAATACTTGTGTGTATTATATATACAACATTTCCAACCTACAAACTTTTATAATCATACAAACTAGTAAGAATCTTAAGGAGTTGCAAAGATGGTCCCTTCAAAATTCACTCTTTTGGCCTTCATAGCTCTGTTCATTCTACTTTCAGGTTAGTAACATTCATTTTGGGACAAGAATTGTTTTAGAACCCAAAAAAATGATGTGTGTATGTATGTGTCTCATTGTAGGTGGTGAAGCAAGAGAAGCTGTGTGGTCTGGCAGCAAAGTAAATTCGCTGTGTTGCAGCGAGCAGCAACAGTTTGGAAGATGTGATACAAAAGAAGCTGACGAAAGATGTGAACAGATGTGTCTTGCTGGTTGTTCACTAAACAAAGGTGGCGGTTGTCAAGCTGTTCCTTCTGGTTCTGCTTGTTCTTGTTACTGTGCCTGATAACTTGTTGATTCAGACCTGAAGAAAAGCAGTAGATGTATCTCATGTCTGCTTTATGTGTTCTTCTTTTCATATTCAATAATGAAATATATCAATAAATCATTGTCACTTTATCTCTTAGACATAGAAATGTTGCGAGAAAAAATAAACACACATGCACACACACACAAACCAATTTCCTTTTTTTTGGAAGATGATCAAATGCAACAAAGATAAAATAGAAAATAGAAGACACTCATTTGTTTCATTAAACGGATAACTCAATCTGCGAGACGAGAATCCCATCAGTATCTGCATAAACCCATTCTCCATCACAAATCCGAGTTCCCGCAATATTAACCGGAACTCGTTGCTCTCCAAGTCCCTTCTTGCTCGCCTTTATTGGATGAGATGCCAAAGCTCTCACTCCAATATCACAACCGTTGATCTCATCGACGTCTCTGATGCAACCGTTCACAACAATTCCCGCCCATCCGTTGTTCTGAGCTTGAACCACCGGATTACCTCCGAGTATCGCACATCGTTGACTCCCTCCACCATCCACCACAAGAACCCTACCGTTTCCTAATAACGTTCAAAGGATCTCAGATGAGTGAATATGGAAAGTAGTCAAAAGAGATTCCCAAATGGGAAACCCCTCGAGGAATGAACTAGCCCAAGTTAATCATCATTCTCTCTTTTTCTCAAAATATAAACCCTTTTCATCATAAAACAATCATGTCAAAGCTCATATCATTATGTATCTCAACGAGTCTCTCTCTCTCTCTCTCTCTTCGAATAGTGAAGTTGCAGATCAAGATTTGAACTTTGATTTCACAGAATCATCATTTTGATTACCTTTCTCCTCGAGGAATTGACGGATTAAGCCATTGTCTTCAAATACTTTGACAGTAACTGCTGGACCTGAGAATATTTGTCGACGCCCGTAAATCTGGAAAATGGGTTGCAAAGCTCGAAGTTGACCACTCCGAATCAGCTCTTGATTCGCGTCGCAAACTTCCGCAGTGGTCACGAACGCCATCTTTCTTCTTCTCTCAGCTATGATCAACAGTTGAGACTTGAGAGTGAATCAATCAAAAACTAATCTCAGAAAAATGATTTAACAGTTTAAATATGAATATAGTACACTTAATCGGCGATTCGCTCAGTCCCAGAAGGCAAGAATCTAAAAAAAGTAATCGAATTTTCGATAGCTTGAGTATGATCACCGAATCTATTCCTATTTCACGGGAAAATCGAGCAAAATTCACAAACTTTTGAATATATTTCTGTAAATTTACCAGCTGGGTATAGAAGGAGGTAGATCCAACTTTCAAGTCTCGTTACCTGGATCGTACGAAATTCAGATGCAAAAAAAAAAAAGCAAACTCTTTACAGTGTTACTATTTCAGAGAAGAATGGAGGTGTTCTTTGAAGGAGATCAAAGTCGAAATTTGCTCTCACTTCTCCATTATAAATTATTAATTTAGCTTTTGAGGGAGAAAAAAAGGAATATTTGGTACAAATCAGATCACAGATAGTGGTGAAGCTTATCTTTTATATATTTTTAGCCGCCATGGAATCATATGACATTACTTGACAATCTCTACTTGTGGTCTTAAATTTTACTTTCTCAATCTTTTTTATTTCTTGTTCTGTCTGTTCGATGTATTCAAGAAGTTAAAAGTTTAAATATTGTTTGGATGCAAACAATTTCCTTCATATCCCTGTAAATGAAGAAAATAGAAAAATCCCAGCAGGAGATCTTGTTACCAGTCATGTCCGGAATCAAATAGAGTTTCATCTTTTATTACAATAAATGTCAGAATGAGAAGAGGAAGATCCAAAAAAGAAGTTTAGAGCTTGTGAATGGTTTTCATGTCTGCAGCTTCAATGAGAGTTCCTTCCTCAACATGATCCCACCACTTCATCAAGAAATTGTCAACCACCAATCTGAACCACGGAGATAGTATCACAGCTTCATCACCTGCATCTGCTTTCTTCACCAGCTCCTTAAGCTCTTCCCTGCTCACGTACTTTATGTCAGCCACTTCATCTGGGTTTGGTTTAAGCTTCACATCCCGCACGATGAAAAGTAGATAGTCAACTGCAAGAAATTCCACAGAGACACTCAGATCTATAACCATAACCAAAGGCTGTAGAATCAGAATAGTCAAAAAAGAGAAATGATCAAACATGAATGGTTGTTTACGTTCGTGCTCGCCCCATTTTCCATCAGAAGGTGCCTTGTAAAGCATGCGTCCCAAGGCAGTGAACTCATTGACTGGTACATCTTCAGCTACGATACCGAGCTCGTCGAGAAGCTTTCTTTGTGCAGCATTTCTTACACCTGGTAAGGAAAAGTCAAATAGTGGGAATCAGTACGTAATAGATCCACTCGCCATTGAAAGCTTCAAAACGTTTTATAAAGTAATGAAATGAGACTTAGGCGTTTCCCAGTGAGATACCAAGCACATTTTCTTCAATAAGCTCAGATTCACGGTAAAGAGGATGGCTGCAACAAGTGTTTGTCCACACAAGTGGGAAAGTAACTTTTGTTTTTGACCTTTGCTGTCCAGAAGAGAAGAAGAGACTTTTCAGTACAATTGCATGGTACATAATATGAAGCTAGCAGATGAAAACCCAACCAACTCTTGGTAAATAAATGCAACCATCATTTAATAAAGATATGTAATTTTCACAGGCTTGGCTAATAAATCCCTTGAATCTAGATATGACCCAATACATTGCCTTACTACAGTATAACTTTTTATCTCTACAAGTGTCTGTTTTCAGACATTATAGAACAGTCAATGCAAACATAAACTATCTTGTCTATGCAAAATTCATGTTAAGTTGCATGAACATTTTAATCTAAAAACGATGGTAATGAAATGAGTTATATTCACATCAATAAGCAAATACCTGGAGAAGCAACTCATATTTGGAGTTGAATAAAAACACACTGAAAGCCCTGTGAAGCAAATTCTCAGCTTCAATCTTTTCCATCAGATGACCTGCAGATTTGATAAGGAGTCAGTATTATCCTTGATCAACTAACATTAAACACTTTAATAAAGGTAACTTTCAACTAGGTCGAAACTATATTACTAAGCCACACATTCCAGCAGACATCCGCGACAAGCACATGTATATCAATGAAGAAACACGAAAATGGCTCCAAAGCAGCTGATGCTACCACCATTCTTCCCAAAGAGACTAAATGGAGAATCAAACTCACTTACAGTTATATTTAGTGTCATGGCCCACCACACGATCATTTTCATCAACGAGAATGCATCTGCAGAAGAAAAGAATTAAAAATAATAATCGAGGTTAGATTGAACAAATGATCAAGCCGCCATGTGAGTTACAGCAGCTATGAAGGAGAGATTGAATAGATTATATATCAAACTAGGATAACTCATCTATTCAAAAAATTCATCCATCATCATGGAAAAAAACTTCGACATCAAGCAGTCACCCATATTCGATGATAACTCTCGGTCCATTCGTTGCATATTTTACATTCTTTTTCCGCTCGTTCGATTAGTATTGGCAGTATCAATGATAAGAAATCAACAGGAGAAGAGACTGAGAGTCTCAGCTTAAGCTTTCTCTAGGATTTTCGACCAATTTTAGATTCGTGGAACATTAATTGTCTCATTTCTAGACAGATTTCGCTTAATAAAGTAATAAGCCCAGAATGTCCGTTCCTCGATAAACTAAACCCAAATCAAAATCGAAGAAAAGGAATCGAATTTCTCACTCGTCCTCAAACATGAGTCGTCTCTGAACAGCATCCATTCCGGCATCGTTGGTGTCAGTCATGGTGATGGCTGAGAAAGCGCGAAAAGATAGGTGAGTCCCCGCCGGAGATCGGATCCGAGAAAGACGGAGAGGGGCAAATCGGGAAGAGGAGAGAGGAAGGAGGGATCTGAGACGAAACCAAGGGAAACTATATAGTGAGACAGACATTCTGAGGTGTCTCTGTTTCTTTTCTTCTTTTATTCTTTTTTTAAATTATTATAGGTGAACCGGATTCGCGACAATTTTGTATTGTTATTTACTGATACGGTTAGAAAAAAATCCACTATTACCAAAAACACTCGTTCACAAGAAACTAAAAAACAAAAATCACCAAAAATTGCTGTTAACTACCGCCAAAATCCGGTAAAATTCACCAATCCCAATATCCCATAATCTTTTGTTATTGTCTCTACTAATTTCCACTTCTACTGAAGTGGAATCTTAAGTGTATAAAACACAATCAATTTCAAAATCCTTACAAACTAGAGCAGAATTTGGAGATCTCTTCTTCTTTGCAAGCCTCCACCTTCCCCATCAATGTATGCTTCCTGCATTTGAGGGTAATTACTCTGAACTGATCTTCAAGAGAGCAGTCGCATAGCTTGAACCAGAATCATAAGCGGCTTGAAGTCGCTGCGTTTCTTCCCTTTTTAACTTCATCTGCCACAATAGCCTTTGGCCCTATTTTTACTACTCTTTACTTGTATTTTACATGTAAGGCAATTCAACTACATGTCTCGAGTAACATACCTTCAGGAGATCGATATACTTTTGAGCTTTAAGTATTGCTCGTTCTTCAAGAGACAGAATTTTCAAGCAACAGCTCTTTAAGAACCACAACCCCTTTATCTAGTTCACCAGCAAATTTCTTCAAGAAAAGTTCCCAGGACTCTCTATCGACTTTCCCGCTCATAACAGCCATTGTTACAATCTTAATCGCATCTTCCTCTTTCCCTAACTCCTCCAACCCATCGAACAGTATCAAGAACGTCGTTCTGTTAGGAAAGCAGCCACTCTCCAGCATCTCTTCAAGAAACCTGACTCCTTCTTTGACGTTCCCGTTCTTGGACAAGCACTCGATCAGCACGTTATACGTGAAAGCATTCGGCTTACATTTCCTCTCGAACATGTCGTCCCATAACCGACCCGCCTCCGTCAACTCTCCCTTCTCGCACATTCCAGAGATCAGCGTGTTGTACGTCAAGAGACTCGGTATCGAGCCTTTCTCGAACTCGTCGAACAGTTTCCTCGCTTCTGAAACTCTCCCGTCTCTGCAGAGCCAATGGATGAGAGTGCTGAGAAGAGCATTATCAGGCATACAGTTGTTCCTCAACATTTTCCTCCACAGGCTACACGCTTCATCCACCTTGTGGTCTTCACACAGCGCGTCGATAACTCTACAGCAAAGTGAAGAATCCGGCATGAAAGTTCTGTCAAGCATTTCATCGAACATGTTACGTGCTTCCCCGGATTTCTTCTCCTTGCACAAAGCTCTGATCATAACTCCATACGTTACTTCATTCGGCTCAATCTCGTTCTTCTCCATCTCATCCATCAACTTAGCCGCCTCAGAGAATCTTCCTAACTTACAGTAACCATCCATCAGAACAGTGTAAGTGGTCGCATCAGGATCCCAGCCACGATCCAACATCTCTTCCAAAACCTTCTTGGCCGCTTCCATATCACCTCTCGCAACGTAACCACCTAAAATCGTTGTGTAAGTCACCAAATTCGGCACCAAACCCATCGATGGAATTTCGTCGAGCACTTTATATGCACTCTCTATGTCATTTTTCTTGCAGAGAGCTTTCACGAGTAGATTACAGGTGAAGATGTTGGGCGTGATGCCGAAAGACTCCTTGCTGTTCTTAAACATGGCGTGGACCAGGTCGAATCTCTTGTTCTGGATTAGAACGTTTAAGAGTGTGTTTAGCGATCGAACGGAGCGTTTCACACCGTAATCAGGGATCCGAAGGAAGATCCTCACAGAAGTTTCGTATCGACCCGCGAGCCCGTAGTTTCGTAGCAAGTCGATGAAAAGATTCTCGCCGCATCTAATCGGCGGGTAAGACTTCCGAAGCTCTGCCATTAGGGACTCCACGGGATCGAAAGCACGAGCACGGGATAGTTTGAAGAGGATTGAGTGGTAAGTATCGTAGTTATGGGTGAAACCGGGATGTGATTTGCCGGCGTAGAGGAAAATCTGGAGAGCGAGATCGATGTTCTGCTGTTGGGTGATCATGGAGGCCAACCGCTTCGGGAATAGCCTCTGCGGCCACGGTTTGATCGGCGGCTTCTCCGTGCAGTATTGCAGGAGAGAAGCGGCGGAGGAGAAGAGACGAAAAGAAACGAGTGGCCGGATGCGCGTGGCGTTCACACGGTGGATGAACATCGTTGCCGTTTCTGAGCGGCGGCGAATCTACGTGAAGGGATGTCTCATTGGGGACAAAGGCGACGATATGATTTTAAAATTTGCCGGTGGCTTTTCAACAAACCGGAGATTCGGTTTGTCTTAAACCGATCTGAATTATTTATTGAGATAACACAAACATTTTGACAATTATTGACTAATTGTTTCAGTAATGAAGAAGTGGAACAAGCTCAAGAGTAACTTTCTTGCCAATGACGATTGCGCCTGCTTCTTCTAGATCGATGTCATCCACTGTTTTCCCCTCCGGCAAAGCCCAATCAAAGAAGTAGAGCAAATTCAACAGGCCCAATTCCACGGTGGCGATCCCCATCGTCATCCCTGGACACAGTCTCCGTCCAGAACCAAACGGTAAAAGCTCAAAGTTCAGTCCCCTGTAATCTATTGAACTGTCGAGAAACCTGTCGGGGTTAAACTCGTCTGGGTTGTTCCAGAGTTTTGGATCGCGTGCGATCGAGTAAACGTTGATCATGATCTGTGTTTTTGCGGGGATGTCGTAGCCTTGGATCTTGATGTCAGACAATGTCTCTCTTGGGAGCAAAAGTGGAGCTGCTGGGTGTAGCCTGAATATCTCCTTGACCATGAGTTTGAAGTACGGAAGCTGGTTTACATCTTGTTCTGTAATTCTCTGTTTCTTGTCCCCGAGTGTTGTCCGAATCTCTTCTTGCACTTTCTTCATCACTCTCGGGTTTCTGATGAGCTCAGTCAATCCCCAGATCAAGGTCACTGCGCTCGTGTTTACTCCTGCAAGAAATATGTCCTGATGAAACATAGAATTATTTAGTCACTGCAGAAGTCAAACGAATGGGTATAGATATGAAAGATAAGTCTAGAGATATGGTTCAGATAATTACCGAGATGATTCCTTTAAGATGATCCGTTGTGAGCTTGAAAGAGTCGCCATCTTTATTATCTTGCTTCTTCATCATATCGATCATCACGTCGACTACATCAGGGGTCTCAAGTGCTGTCCTTTCAGGCCTTAGATGATCATCGAGGACATTTTGGAAGAAAGTGTCGAGTTCCGAGAAAACGCTCTTCAGTCTCTTGTTATGGCCTGTGATCCGGTCAATGAGCCAACCAACTCCTCCGGGGAAGAAATCAGAGAACGCAGGGGCCCCATGAAGTAACTCAGACTTGTGAACAAGCTCTTCGATACTATGCTCGTCGATGAACTCACACTTACGGAGATTCTGTCCGAACGCAAGCCTACAGACAATACTAGCGACTAGTGTGAAAAGGGTCTTCTTCAGATTCACCGGGGTTCGTGTTGAAGCCGATTCAGATAATTTCTTGACCAACAAGTCGTTTTCTTCCTCTCTGATGTACCTGAAAGACTGAAGCTTTTTCATGCTGAAGAGCTCGACCACAGCAAGCTTCCGCAACGCCCTCCATTCTTCACCGTAAGGCGCAAAGCCGATGTCTTTGAAGTTGTAGGAGACCGTCCTGGTCGAGACTGTCTCTGGTCGGCTACAACACTCAAGATCCTGTGTTTTGAGGACTTCCTCGGCTGCTTCTTTCGATGTGATCACCACCGTCGGCACGAACCCGAACCAGAGAAGCATCACTGGTCCGTACTTTTGGGAGAGTTTTCGAAGACATAAGTGAGGCATTTCTTTGAGGTTGTGTAAGTTTCCGATGATGGGAAGCTTATTTGGCCCCGGAGGAACATTTGGTTTAGAGAAGATTAACAAGGAAGTCAAATAAATGGGTAAAAACCAGATAAAATAGAGAAAGATGGACATTTTTTTTTCTCTTTCCTTGCTCTGTATTTCTTGAGTGAAGAGCAGAGTTTCCAGATTCTAATATATATATGTAGAACTAATCATTAATCATAACCATGAATTTTGTTGATGTGTCACACTTTATAATTCTGGAGATGGCACGTATAAAATCATAGCGAAAGATAATGTGTTGTAGAGAGATATGCGACAGCAACTTCTTAACGAGTTTTTTTAAAGCCTATATAGGACAAAGCATTTTTATTGCTTAGGTAACTCTAATTGTTGTTTAGCAGGCTTATTTGGTTGATGCTTGAACGGTTGATGAACCGGCAAATAAGACTAAAAGACGAAAATCACGTAGAAATTAGAAAACCATCAATTCTTGGCCTTACATTGTGGGGATATAACCGTCATTTGCACAGAGCTGCAACAAATATCCATCGAAACAGCAAGACCAGAAAGTACGCTGTTACCCCCAAATGTCAGTTTTCTTCTTCTTTAAATTGAGGGTATTATTGACAACGCAATAAAAATCCAAATATTCTTAAACCGGATAGCGATATCAAACACTACAAAAATATTTAAAGACTATTTTGTAAGAAATATTCGTCGAAACTCGAAAGTAATTGAGGATCACATTCTAAAAGTTTAACCAAATAACTTGAGTGTGTTTTTGGACTCGACTCGATCTTCTTTGACAATGCATCTTGCTCTTCCGATCGCTCCATCACCGACGGCTTTTCGCTACTCCCCGGCTTCGGCTACCGCCGCCGGCGGAGTTGTCCCTGTGAAGCAGCGCTGCCGGATCTCGAATCCCAGCGTCGCGACGAAAAACGGATTCTGTTCGGGTGTTGGTGTTTTAGATTCCTGGAAGAGGAACGGTTCCTATGTGGCGAGGTGTAGCTTAGAAACAGTGAATGTCAGTGTCGGCCAGGTGACGGAGGTTGACAAGGACACGTTCTGGCCAATTGTTAAAGCCGCCGGTGAAAAGATTGTTGTCCTCGACATGTACACTCAGTGGTACGTTCCATCACAAGTTCTTGTTGCTGCGAATATTCGCTTTCCTTGATTGCAATCTCGTATTTGGAATTCCTTTTTTTTTTCTTCTTATTTGCATTCATTTATTCCGTCAGATTCTCTGGAAATTGGAGATCCATGTACAGTTTGATCGAAATCTTCACTTAGAGCACTTAGATTGTTGACAGGTTTTGGATCAATCATTGTAAACTACGGTTTCACGGCTGTTTAGTAATTTGTGAAATGACTTTTGCTCTGTTGGTAAATTGTTGTTCTGAAAACTTTATTTGGCTTATACTACTCATGTTTTCAATCCCCAATTCTTTGCTACGACATGATCGATGTCCTGGTCTAACCATCTCTCTTGCTTCTCTTGGCCATTATGAAACAAGAAAAAATGTCTGAACTTTACTCTAGCTCGTCTTTTCTATGAAACTCACTTTGCTTCTCACATTGTGTAACTTCCATAGTTTATGGATAATATTTGTATTTGATCATTTGCTAACTTGCATTCATCTAACTTTAGCACTTTCAATTGTATTCGAAAGTTACAGTATCTTTTGGGTTTACATCATTCATTTTTTGTTTGCAAGCATGTTTGATACAAAAGTATATGAAAAGTAGCACTTTCCTTGAGAATTAGTGTATGTAAAAATTTTGAATAAATAAGCCTTAAAAGTTGTTCCGCTTCACATCATCATGAATGTTTGAGATAGGTTTCCCAATAAATGTTTTATCTTGGGTGTCTAGAGAAATCAAAGTTTGCCTTTCGTTTTCAATCCTTATTAAATCTCTCTGCAGGTGTGGTCCTTGCAAAGTAATGGCTCCCAAATACAAAGAGCTATCGGAGAAGTACCAGGACATGGTGTTTCTTAAGCTTGACTGCAACGAAGAGAACAAGGTTTGTTCTTTGTGCTGAACGTGTCTATATACACTTATGTATATTGTTTCTTAAAAAAAAAAACTTGAGAACAAAAACTCTTGCTTGCAGCCGGTGGCAATGGAGCTAGGAATTAGAGCGGTTCCAACCTTTAAGATCTTGAAGGACAACAAGGTGATAAAGGAAGTGACTGGGGCCAAATTTGAAGACTTAGTTGCAGCCATTGAAGCAGCAAGGTCAGGCTGAGTCTCTCTCTCTCTATCACTCCTACTGTAAAGTATTAGGATCATTCTCCATCTTCATGTGATTGGTTTGGGTCTATGTATGTAGCTCTCTGGTGTTCCCTTAACCGGAATCGGTTTTAATTTAACAATGTATGTATAAATGCTGGATATGTGATGAAATATGATGAGCTAAATGTTTATGTATCATGAGTTCATGACCAAGTGGTTTGGCTAGTTTTGATTGAGGTCAACGATGTATTCCCCATTGCACAAGCTTGATTTGATGGCTTAAAATTTTGATATTAATATTGCGGGCCCGATTGTTGAAAAAAAGATGCATCTTGTTCATTTTTTGGCTTGCATGTATGATGCATGTGCTTTGCTTTCAATGGATGTTCCAACTACATTGTTAATAAGTCATAACTTCATTTTAGTTGTTCACCAAATCCAACCTAGCCTAATATTTTTATTTTAATCTATTTGGCATATGTGAAATAGGCTAATGTGTTTGGATCTATACATATTTTATGGTAGAATTTGAATGCAATCATTTAAAATACGTGTTTTCATCTAGGCAAAATAACAAAATTTATACCCTGCAAATTGATAGATTGAATAGACACACATTCCAAGTACATATTTATTTGATCTAAATAAAAAGTAAATACATTTTTCTTAATATAAAAAGATGGAAAAATATAGCCGAGAAAAAGAAAATGAGATAAAAACGACGAGTTCAGAAGGGATGGGGTAATACGAGCTACAGATCACAGAATAACACGTGGCGAAATCTGGAAGCGAGTTATAATCGAAAGAAACGCGATCCGAGTCTCACATCTGTCTCTCTCTCTCTCTCTCGCTGGAGTGAACTGTTCAGCTCTTTGGTTTCATCGAGAGACCCTAAACCCGATCTGCACCAGGAAGAAGAAGAAGAAGAAGAAGAAGAATGGCGTCTTCTTCGTTATCCGTCACGTCTCCGGCTGCTTCCGTCTATGCAGTCACCCAAACATCGTCCCACTTGCCTCTCCCAACCCGCCCTCACCTCCCTCGCAAAGTTTCTTTCCGTCTCTCCGCCAAGCCTAAGCTTCGCTTTCTATCCAAGGTACGCGGTTCCTTCCTAATTTCTTCTAGATTCGTGCAATGTGAGTTTTATAGTTTTTCCGGGTTTTGGATAATTTCTATCTGCTCAGGTGTTTGTCTAAATTTTTTCGCCGAATTGATTCTCGGAAAATTGTTGTCTGCATTTTCCGATTCGATTCTGCTGTGTTTGTTCGGCCTAATTTAAAATGCAATGAATCATTTTCCAGAGAAGATTAAAATGCGATTTCCAGAATTATGGGCACTCGTGATTTGGGATTTTCTCCATTTGGCGGTCATCGTTTAAATTCGATTGAAATCAAAAGGAATGCACCTTTTGTGATTACGGATTGTATTTGGTTGTGTCACTCATGATTCTATAGTTTTATGCTAGCTCGAAATTAATTCTCAGGGAGATTGTTTGGGGGATATTTCTCTAATAAGCTAGTTTAATAACCTATCGTAGCAGTTCATCTGCAAGGCCATAAGCATAACTGTTTCTTTTCTCTCAGCTTCATTCGTCTCTGCGCCCACAAGTTTGATATTCTTTTTGTATCTGAAATTGCAGCCAAGTCGCAGTAGCTACCCTGTGGTGAAAGCCCAATCGAACAAGGTAAGCTCCTTTACTTACTCATCTCTTTGAAAAAGTGTTTCTCCAAAAAAAAATGTTCATTTATGGACTCTCCTCTTGCCTTTAAAGGTTGGTAGCGGTGCATCATCAAATGCTTCAGCTCCTGCAAAAGTTGATGGCCCATCAGCTGAAGGAAAAGATAAGAACTCATTGAAAGTCTCTTCTTCTTCTTCTTCTTCACCTGATTTAGCTACAGAAGAGTCTATCTCTGAGTTCCTTACCCAAGTTACAACTCTTGTCAAGTAAGTACAGTTATCTCTGTTCTATTCGTGTAAACCATGATCATTTTTTAACCATGCTTGAAATTAAATACTCACCTCCATCATGCAGGCTTGTGGATTCTAGAGACATTGTCGAGTTGCAGTTGAAACAACTCGATTGTGAACTTGTCATTCGAAAAAAGGAAGCTTTACCTCAACCCCAGTCCCCTGCACCGTATGTGATGATGCAGCAACCAAACCAACCATCTTTTGTGCATTCAATGGCTCCTCCTCCTGCACCTGCTGCCTCACCTGCACCTTCTACTCCAGCTTCCTTGCCTCCACCATCCCCACCTACTCCAGCTAAATCATCGCTTCCCACTGTTAAAAGTCCCATGGCAGGCACATTCTACCGCAGTCCAGGACCCGGTGAACCACCTTTTATTAAGGTTAGGATCTATGCTAATTTTTAATTGTACAAAGACTTTAATGACCTGTTCATTTGTAAATAGCTTGGAACCTATTTGCAAAGCAGCGAAAAAGTTAATATCTTTTCACTTGGCTAAGGATGTTCATAGCACATTTGAAAGCAGAAGAATAAAAACGATATAAAATCTGATAGGATAGTCCAGCGGATGTGTCAGCTAGCAATTAACTGATGCAAATTTATGCCTGCTGCATTTCACTGTCTGAATTCGTACTATACGACTTTCTTGCTGTTTTAGGTTGGAGATAAAGTGCAGAAGGGGCAAGTTCTATGCATCGTGGAAGCCATGAAGTTAATGAATGAAATAGAGGTGAGTTCTTTAAATCTTCTCAACATGAACCACCATCCTTGTTCGTATCTATATATTCAGTATTTACCCTAACTATTTCAAATCATCCTTTACCAAATCTTTTTTTGTTTCCTCTATTCAACCTCACTTAGCCATCTATTTCATATTGTTGTCCATATCCTCCAATATGATCGCCCTCTAGATAACTTTACGTTACAATATCCAAACTCTGTTATTCACTTCTCAACTATGTTTTGTTGAATACTTGTGCTTAGCGTGTAACCATTCTAATATGATTCCATCTTTCCTAACTCTTACCTGCTCTTCACCTTTGGGTTATTTATTTATTTAACTCTGATACTTGAACTTCTTCTCTTCAGTCTGACCAATCGGGAACTGTAGTCGATATCGTTGCAGAAGACGGCAAGCCTGTTAGCCTCGACACTGTAAGTTTTCTCGTTTCTCCATCTTTACTAAAGTGAAACACTTTCTCTAGTTCACATTTTGTGTTTTTACGCCCTCATCAATAAATTTGAAATGTTATATTGATTTCTCGCTATAACAATGTTTGTTTTTCTTCTTTTCATTTTCCTGTTTTTACAGCCTCTTTTTGTGGTTCAACCGTAGAATCGGCACCATGAGAAATGGAGAAAAGAGGCTACTAATGTCAATCTCTGTGCTTTGGTAAAACAATTTCTTGAGACTCTTTAAGAATATGTCCTCTTCGTTGTTACTGTTAAAGTCTGATAGGTTTTTAGTTTTATGCGGAAGAATGTGTTTTTTTAGTTTCTATTGGTTAAGAAAGATGAAGAGGGCTCTGTTTTACTTATTTACATACACAGTACACGACGAATTCTTGGTTCTGTTTTATTGCAATTTTCCTATTTCTAAAATTTAATCCCCGACGTGTTTGGTGATGATTTCTTTGGACTCGGCCCGGCCCGGCCCATATAATGTAAGGGACTTATGAGCAAAATAAAAATAATCTGATATTTTTCTGTTCCTGACGAATGACAATTAATGAACAATAATGAAACTGAGTTAACAAAGAAATCTGGAAGTCCAAAGAATATAATAATTCTCTTAAAAGAAACGGATTTTGATGACTGAGGAAACTTCAACCAATTTCTTCTTCTTCTTCCTTCTCACAGAAACTGTCCTTTGATCCTTCTTTGACGATATCTTTCTTATTTTAGTTTACTCAATCAATGGCTACTAGTCGAGATGTCTTCTTCCTCATCATCGCTCTCTTCTCCTCGACTCTCTTCCTTGAGCTTTACACGCTACCGGATCCGTCGTTTTACGATTATCTCCGGGAGAGCGGTCTTCCCGCCGGCATAGTTCCAAAGGGAGTCACCAATTTCTCGATCGACGTTAAAACGGGGCATTTCACGGTCGCTCTCCCGGTTCCCTGCGATGCCAAGTTCGAGAACCAGTTCCACTTCGACTACAACATCTCCGGCGTCCTCTCCGATGGCCGGATCGGGAATTTATCTGGTGTGACGCAGAAGGAGCTTTTCCTGTGGTTTGCTGTCAAGGGAATACACGTTGATCCAGAGCGCTCTGGTTTAATCCACTTCGATGTCGGTGTCGCTGATAAGCAGCTTTCTCTATCGCTCTTCGAGTCGCCTCGCGATTGTACCGCTGCGGAATCTCAACTCCATACGGCTGATATCTCCAAATCTGGTGATCCGAAGGTACGTCGTTGCAATTTCGTTAGCAGAATTTGGGGATTTTGCTGGTCTCTGTATCGGAATTAACTAGCTAGGGTTTTTAGCTTTTCCTAAACTTCTGATTCTGATTCTGATTACTCTGATTCTATATCGAGAATTACTGGTCTAGTATGTGCTTCTATAGAATCTTTGAATCTAAGCACAATTCTGAGAAAGAGCCAAGATTGTCTCTATCCTTGAGAAGAGAACAAGTTCATTAAATTTTTGATGTAACTACTTTGATTCTGAGAATCTTTATTAATGAATATCGTTTGGGTTTTGTTTCTTTAGAGATGAATTGAAACTTGTTGCTGAGGATTAGGAATCAATGTTCTTATTTTGTTTGCCTTTACACTTACAATGCAGAAGCAATCTGGAGATATCCAATCCATATTTGGACCACCAAGGAACCAATGGACAGTATCGTCGTAGGTTTTCGAAGGAGATGCAGATTCCCCTGATGATGTCTCTGATATGGTGTCTTGTAAAGAGTGTGGCTTGTAGTTTTTTTTGGTGCGTGTGGTATACCATATCATAGTATCAACAGTATAAGCTTCAGTGACTGCAATAGACATACTTAGGAGGACATGAATACCTTTGGTTTGTTACATATTAGGGGTTGAAGACATATATGTATACATAATATGGTTGTGGATTTATTTTTAATCAGACGCTGTTGTGTTTTGTTATCAGTCTTTTCTTGGATTTACTTAGTAAAAAGAAAGGAAGTTTTGATGATATTATTCATGAATCGTTTTGTTTCTGGTGATTCGAAGCAGAAGTCAGTGAATGATGAATTCATTAAAGCGTATGATTTATATCAAACTAAAGGTAAGGTGGTAAATCACATTACATAATATCCAAATTTTCAAAAAAAAAAGCTTGCAGAAACGTTGGTTTATGTCTAGAGGAGGAATTTAGCAGACGCGCCAAAAAGCACTATCCCTGCGCGACTCTTCTGAAAGGCGCCAAAGACATCATAGCCTTTTTCTCGATGAATCGTTCTTTCAAGCGTGGTTATAAGTGGGGCCATCAAAAGTCACATAATTCCTGAAGTGTTTAAGTCAGATGAAGAGAAAGCGATAAAGTGTTTCAGATCAACTGTTCAAGCGTCGTCTTCCGTCACCGCACGTGACACGTGTGAAAACTATAAAAAGTAAACAAAACAACGTGAACGGCAGGATTCGAACCTGCGCGGGTAAAACCCACATGATTTCTAGTCATGCCCGATAACCACTCCGGCACGTCCACTTGTTGCTGACCAAACTGGCGAAACAGTATATTAATCGTCTTTCAACTCAAGGACTGACTAACACAGAAAGGAACAAGGGAATAATAAATACAGTCAAATGGGTAAAGGATTATTCTCTTTTTTTTGTTTTTTGGGGTAAGGGATTATTCTCCTTATCAAAATGTTACACTTTTAAAATTTCCCAAAAATGCTATGGGTGAAGTCTATTCGTATAGTAATAACAAGTAAGCAGATTTGATCAAAGACTCACTGGTCTAATCATTTATTCATTTCCACAATACTGTAAAGAATGACGAGTGGCTTTACGATCTGTAACCTTATCTCCATTGTCGTCAGTCGTCACCAAGGTGTCCTAGATAATCACGCAACTCTTTATAAACATTTGATGACAGGTAACTATTAAAAATTTAAAAAGACAAGAAATTAGAAAAAAAAAACAACAGTTTACCACTTCAAACGATGGAGGAAATGAAGCCATGCGCCGCAAACTCGCCGCCGTTGACGCCGTTAGGATTTCTGGAGAGAGCCGCCACCGTGTACGGTGACTGTACGTCCATCGTTTACGGAAGTAACACCGTTTACACATGGAAGGAAACAAACCTCCGTTGCCTCCGCGTAGCGTCGTCTCTGTCTTCAATCGGAATCGGCAGGTTCGACGTCGTCTCCGTCCTCTCTCCAAATACTCCGGCGATGTATGAGCTCCAGTTCGCCGTTCCCATGTCCGGCGCAATCCTCAACAACATCAACACGCGTCTCGACGCGCGCACCGTCTCTGTTCTTCTCCGCCACTGCGGATCTAAGCTTCTCTTCGTCGACGTCTTCTCTTGCGAACTCGCCGTCGAAGCGATCTCGATGTTGACTGATCCGCCGATTCTAGTCTTCATCGCCGACAAAGTAGAGGAAGGAGGAGTTGCTGAAGTGGCCGATCGCACAGAGAAATTCAGTTACTCTTACGATGATCTTATCGAGAGAGGCGATCCGACTTTTAAATGGATCCGACCCGAAAGCGAATGGGACCCGATTGTGCTCAATTATACTTCCGGTACAACTTCAGCTCCTAAAGGAGTGGTACACTGCCACAGAGGGATTTTTGTAATGTCGCTTGATTCTCTGATCGATTGGACCGTACCGAAAAATCCGGTTTACTTATGGACCCTACCGATATTCCACGCCAACGGTTGGAGTTATCCATGGGGAATCGCCGCCGTCGGAGGAACAAACGTCTGCTTGCGTAAGTTCGACGCGCCGCTCATCTACCGTTTGATCCGTGATCATGGCGTCACACACATGTGCGGAGCTCCGGTGGTGCTCAATATGTTGTCGGCGACTCAGGAACCTCAGCCCCTTAATCATCCCGTCAACGTTTTGACAGCCGGTGCTCCGCCGCCAGCCGCCGTTCTCCTCCGCGCCGAGTCAATCGGTTTTAACATCAGTCACGGATATGGGTTGACGGAAACCGGCGGCTTAAACGTTTCGTGCGCGTGGAAGCCACAGTGGAATCGGTTACCGGTGAGCGATCGGGCGAGGTTGAAGGCAAGGCAAGGAGTGAGAACCCTCGGGTTTACCGAAATCGACGTGGTGGATCCTGGATCGGGCCGGAGCGTTGAGAGGAACGGCGAAGCCGTCGGGGAAATAGTGATGAGAGGAAGCTCGGTCATGCTTGGCTACTTGAAAGACCCGATCGGAACAGAGAAGGCGCTGAAGAATGGGTGGTTCTTCACCGGAGATGTGGGGGTGATTCACTCGGATGGATATCTGGAGATTAAGGACAGATCGAAAGATATAATCATAACGGGAGGAGAGAACGTGAGTAGCGTGGAGGTTGAAGCGGTTCTGTACACGAATCCAGCGGTGAGTGAAGTGGCGGTGGTGGCGAGACCAGACGAGTTCTGGGGAGAGACGCCGTGCGCGTTTGTGAGTCTGAAACCAGGGTTGAGTCGGAAACCGACGGAGGAGGAGATGATAGAGTACTGCAGGAAGAAGATGCCAAGGTATATGGTGCCTAAAACGGTGTCGTTTAGGGATGAGTTGCCTAAGACTTCGACGGGGAAGGTTATGAAGTTCGTGCTTAGGGAGGTTGCGAAGAAGATGGGTTCGACGAGGTTGAGTCGTATGTGAAAATTGGATTTTGTAATTGCAATTTGAAGAAATTTGATACTTGGTCAGCGAATAAACGTTTGTAACGGGGTCTCGTTATTTTTTGTCAACTTGTGAGATTATGTTTTATTTTGTAAACTTGTGAGATTATGTGTTTTTTTTATTCAAATAAATTCAAAATATAAAATTTATTATCCTTAGTTCGATTGGTTGAGCATTTTGGTCCAATAACGAGATGTTTCTCTGTGTTATTAAAAAGCTACACGTAGTATGAACCGGTTAAACATTCAACTCAGACCGAACCTGAAATTGAAAATGCAGACCCCACCAGAGTGTTTAGATCAGTAGAAAATGAGGGTTCGAAGAAAAGTGGAAAGAGTGAAAACCTCACACTCGGAAATAAGGAGATCATCGTTTCTGGGTGTCGCGGCGCTTTTTTTTTTTAATCAAATCTGGGTCTGGAGAAGATGGGATTACTCTCAAACCAGATCTCAAGAGATGAACTGAAACCAGGAGACCACATCTATTCTTGGCGTGCCGCTTATCTCTACTCCCATCACGGTTTGGTTCCATCTCTTTCTTTCTCTCTCTCTCTCTATATATATACATGCAGATACATTACATTCACAGCTGTTTTCATTCAGTCAATGATGGGTCTGAATCGAGTTTTGGTGTTCCTATTATTGGAATTCTCCAAAATTGGTAGATGAAGTAAGGCAGAATCTTTTGATTTTGCAATTTCGTAGGAATCTACGTAGGTGATGGGGAAGTCATACATTTCACCTGTGGAGGTGGTCGAGAAGCCGGAACTGGAACATTCTTGGACGATATTATCGTTAGTTCAGTTCCGCGTCACGGGGGTGAGAATCCATGTCCTATTTGCGGAGACCAATCGAAACTGGAGGGTGTAATCTCTTCTTGCCTTGACTGCTTTCTTGCCGGAGGAAACCTCTATCTCTTCGAGTACGGTGTCTCTAAGGCTGTCTTTATGGCCATACCACGAGGAGGTAGCTGCACAACAGCGACTTCAGATCCTTGTGACGAAGCCATTTTCCGTGCGAGGTACCTCTTGTCGCGCAAAGGGTTTGGTGACTATAATCTCTTGAATAACAACTGTGAGGATTTCGCCATCTATTGCAAAACTGGTTTGATTGTCTTGTCGAAGCTGGGAAGCAGTGGTCAAGCCAATTCTGTGAAGGCCGCACGTAGCGTTTTCTCTTGGTCGATCACAGGGGTGGTCAAGAGTGTCTCGGTTGGTTCTGCTGCAAAATATGTTCTCTCTGGATTTGGCGGTGTTGGTGCTATGGCCCTGGTGGGTTATTGTGACTACTGTGTTGGTCGTTTGAATTTCGACATTGGTGTGAGAAGCGATGCTACCAAAATTCCTGTGGAAGAGCTCGTTGCGGTTTTAGCAATTATGGAAGGCAGCCAGGACAACAAGAACAACAACAAGTGTAGTTAGTTAGCTAACACTTGCTTTGGGATTATTGTGATTATTATTGGATGTTTGATGACTGATTGTTTGGTAAGAGATATTCTGCTGTTTCTGCTTTGTTTCTACTTTGTACTACTTTAAGAAGTGAAAAATAACGTTATTGTGATTATTATTTCTAAGAACTCAAGTCAATTTGGACTTATATATAAATCTGAACTGAATGTAAGAATTTAAAAAGAATAAAAGAAAAGAAAAGTGGAGGAAAGATCAGTTTGGCTTTGGCATCTACTTGGCTGATCTGGAATTCTTATTTTATGTTATGATGTGGATTGGATATTGATAGCGTCACAGAACTGTTTTATGAAGTTATATGGGCGATAAGTTGTCCACTAAATATGAAATTTTTACCCTTATTTAATACAACTTCTCCTCCTTGACCTTGCTTTATCTAGCCCAATTCCAGCCAATACACGTAAAAGAAAGGAAACAAACATAATTTAGGTTTTGTTTTGGGTCAAAATTTCAGAAAACCCCAAAAATTAATCCAGCAGAATGGAATCCCTTCTTCTCGAGAAGATGGGATTACTCTCCAACAAAATCTCCAGAGATGATCTGAAACCAGGAGATCACATCTATTCATGGCGCAACGCTATCTACTCCCATCACGGTTTGGTTACATACATCTCTCTCTCTCGATCGATATAAATAGTTAATTCTGGGTTTCAGAGAAGATCCCAAAATTTGGGGGTTTTTCTAACGCAGATTTCTCTGTTTGTGAATCCGTAGGAATATATATAGGCGATGAGAAAGTCATTCATTTCACTCGCGGAGGTGGTCTAGAGACAGGAACAGGGACCTTCTTGGACAATATCATCGTTAGCTCAATCCCGAATCACGGAGGAGACAATCCTTGTCCTAACTGTGGAAAGCAATCAAGTCTCGGTGGTGGTGTGATCTCTTCTTGCCTCGATTGCTTTCTCTCTGGTGGAGATCTCTATCTCTTCCACTACAGCATCTCTCCGGCTATCTTTATGACCAAACTCCGAGGAGGTACCTGCACAACAGCAACCTCAGATCCTTCCGATGAAGTCATCTCCCGTGCGAAACTCCTCTTGTCGAGGAATGGCTTTGGTGAGTACCACGCTCTAGAGAACAACTGTGAAGACTTTGCGATATACTGCAAAACTAGTTTTGTGGTCGGGAAAAGCTATGTGTTGGGAAGGAGCGGTCAAGCCAATTCGGTGAGTGCGGCTGCTTGCGTTGCACGCATGCTTAGTCCTTGGGCCAGCAATGCCATCCGTCTCTTCTCGGACATTGGTATAAGAAGTGATGCTATTAAACTCCCCGTCGAGAGTCTCCTCGCAAGGGAAAGCTGACCTTTGGTTTAATCCTGTTTTGTGTGTATTGATGTTGATGCATTATTTTCATGTGTAAACGCATACGCAAACTTAAGTTTGAAGCAATTTATCATTTTTTTTCGATTTTCAGGGATAACTCCTTTGAGAGAGAGAAAAAAAAAACATGTGGAAAGTCATTTTCTTTTCAAGTAAAATGTCTGAACAAAAAAATGATGTAATTAGTCTTTCACCGTTTCCTAATTTTTGTGAATTAATGAAGAGTAATTAAAGACTTTCACCCTTTCACATCTATTTAATCTATTGTGGAACGCATATTGTAGCATATAGACATGGCCAATGGACATGTGATTCGTTTCTTCGTATAGGAAAGGAAAGCAACATTCGTGATTTTGCTTTGCTTAATCAAGAAGGAAACACGGTTTTTATACGTGTGTGATATTTTAAACGTCAGATTTTTTTTAGTAATAATAATGATCACATTCAAAGTTAAATTAAATTATTAGACAGCTAAAGTTCTTATTTAGTGATCCGTACTTGAATAAAACTTTTTAAAAATGTTAAAATTTATTTGAATTCAAATTCAATACGCTTCTAAACTTTGAAATAAATTAACCACAAAAAACGAAAACATTTTTTTCCCCAAAAAAAGGAGGTACAATAATATTTGTAGCTAGAATTATTGTAGTATAAACAGTTGTTTCGTTTTATATTCAGTTTTAATTTTTGTATGGAAAATGCAAAACAATCCTCAAATTAACCAATATTGGCAATATAAGACTAAAATACGAAAGTTACAAATTAAGCATTCAATCAACTAGAGAAACTATATAATGTATTCAATAAAGTTCTTGACGTTAACAATAACACCGTATCATGTTATAATAACGTATCGTAAAAACTTGGTAGTTTTTGGTTTACTAAAACTTAAAAAGACATACGATATGTATATGTTACAAATCTGCGTGACATATTTCTACATACATACAGCCTACAGCTGTTTGTTAATTCATTTGATGGCTGTTTTGTAGTTTACGTAGTTTGGAGGTTATTTAACAAATAATGGAAAGTCCGAGGGTATATATGAATTTTCTCCCAAGCTGTATATGAGCTAAGATTATAAATTAAGGAAAAAAAAAAAAGACAGAAAACCTACAACTCATTAAGCAAAATCGGATATCTTTCCTTTGGCTCGTCTCTGGCTAGAACAAGAAGATGGGATTATTCTCCAACCAGATCTCGAGAGATGAACTCAAGGCAGGAGATCACATCTATTCATGGCGTTCTTATGTCTACTCCCATCACGGTTCCATCTCCTTCTCTCTCTCTTTGACATCACACTCGATACAATTAGTTAAATCTGGGTTTTATCTCAAATCCGAAAATTGAATTTTTCTCCCTCGGGTGATAAATGAATAACGCGATCTCCATGTTTTGTAACCCTTAGGAATCTATGTAGGCGATGCGAAAGTCATTCATTTCACTCGTGGAGGTGGTCTAGAAATTGGAACCGGAACTTATCTGGACAAGATCATCGTCAGTTCAGTTCCGAATCATGGAGGAGACAAACCGTGTCTTGATTGTGGAGATCAGTCGAAACTCGATGGTGTCATCTCTTCTTGTCTCGACTGCTTTCTCTCCGGAGGAAAACTCTATATCTTCGAGTACAATGTCTCTAAGGCTCTCTTTCTCGCCAAACAACGAGGAGGCACCTGCACAACAGCACCTTCGGATCCTTGTCATGAAGTCATTTCCCGAGCAGAATTCCTCTTATCGAGAAACGGGTTTGGTGTGTACGATCTCGTGGACAACAACTGTGAAGATTTTGCCATCTACTGCAAAACTGGTTTGATTGCGTTATCGATCACCAAGTCGGGAAGTAGTACTCAAGTGAACTCGGTGTGTGCAGCAGGTAGTTTTGTTTCTTTGACGCTCAAGGTTTTAGGTGTGGGAAAGAGTGGTCAAGCCGCTTCGATGGCGTCTCCAGCTTTGATGGTCTCTGCTGCAACCAATGCTCTAACTACGACTCTTGGGCTTGTGTATAGTGGGTTTGGTGCTATGGCTGTTGTTGGATATGGTAACTACTGTATGGGTCGTCTGAAATCTGACATTGGTGTGAGAACCGATGTTATCAAAGTTCCTGTGGAAAGGCTCGTTGCAGTTATGTCAATTATTGATGGCCGCTTGGACAACAACAACAACAACAAGTGTGAACTTAGTTAGCACTTGGCTTCGTATTATGGATTTTTGCTTTTGCTTTGTTTGTAATTGTATTGTGGAAACTGTATTGTCATTACTTGGATTCGGATGCTGAAAAAATTTAACAGAACAGTGTATCTACTATCTACTATGTCACACGCATAATGTAACACGCTTTGCTTCCCTACTCAACGAAACGTCACAAAGAGCTGTTCCATTTTATGTTTCCGTTAAACAAAAACAAAAAACAATCTGCTTTTTACATTTACATGAGACAAGTCGAGAGTCAAAGACCACATTTTCCTACAACGATAGAGATGCTCCTACTGAGAATAATAAGCAGGATGATATTGAGGCGGCAACACAAATCCAATTTGCTGACCATACAAAACAGATTGAGGAGTTGCAGCAGCTGAGCCATAGATCCCAGCTAATGGGTTCACGTAAGGCACAACACCACCACCGCCAAGTGTTGGGTTCAAAAGACCAAAAGGGTTTAACTGTAAGCCACGATGATGACTATGTTCAGGCATAACACCGGCTTCTGGTCTATAAAATAGCTGCTGACTCGTCGCTGGAACTTGTGTACCACTGCGATCTCGAGGCCGCTTTCTCCCCTTTGGCTGTGGCTCTTGCTGGGTATTAGCGGCGGCGTTGCGTTTCCTCAGCGCCTTTTGTTTCTCCAGCTCTTCCACACGCTCCTCGAGTTTCTCCTGAGCAAACTCGGATTCAAGGTTTTGATCTCTGATGATTTTGATCGCTGCTTTCAAGGCACTGACTTCTTTGTCAGTGGCTTCGTTCAGTGACTTGAGGGAGTGCTTATCTCCAACGCAAAGTCTGTGAGCAGCTTCTCTCGAGTCCTTGATGTACGTTTTCAGAATGGGGATTGGTTCGAATCCATCACTCATCCCACACTCATACATGAACTTGACCGCCAAGATCGGTTTGCCAGAATCCAAGAGTTTCTTGATGAGCTCGCAAACTCTTTCGCTACCTAAACCGATCTTGTTGCACACCGAAGTTGCTTGTTTGTACTTGGCGATCATGAAAACGTAGTCACAAAGCTCCTCCGAGCTGAACTCGGATCCCAATTCGAAAGCTGCGACCAAATGAAGAAACAGCAACGCCTCGAAAGGCTTGACATCTATCTTCGTTTTCCAATCGCAGGCTAGTTTCTCGGCCCTCTCTCTCGTATCAACCGTGATCTTCGCATCGTTCTCGATCAAAGCTTCCATTAACAAAACGAAAACCCTCCTTACATCAACTGATTTCCCCGATGACGGAGTGTGGTTCGAATTCGAACCCTGGATTGCGTCCAGCACCATGGACGCCGGATCCGGAGAGTACCGAAACGCTGCAGAGAGCTCCAGGTTAGGGGTTGCGTCATCATCCCAACGATCAACCAGAAACTTGCTCAAACCAATTCCGTCCATCGTCTCACACAACGCTCTCAGCTCCGGCCGAATAAACGTCGCCTCCGACGAGGTCTCTGCATCAGCGATGTCGAGCCTACACGAATCATCCGGCAACGGAGCTGCAGATTGGAGGAGGCGGAAACGGTTAGAGAGGGAGGATTGGAGAGAGGAAAAGTGGGAGTCGATCTCAGACCAGGAAAGCGAGAAAGACGGTGAAAGGAGAGAACGGTGTGCTTGAAGATCGTCGAAAGCTTTCTTCAGCTTTTCCTTCTTCTCATCAATCTGATTTATCGCGGCGGCGATCGTTTCACTCGCCGTCATCGTTACAGCCCTAGAAAATCTATTGCTTTTCACCGGCGATCTGATCGCGAAGCTGCCGATTACTTTTATATTATTACTTGTACAGCAGAGCCGCATAGGAAATTGAGAGTATTGACATTCAGCAACCGGTCCGGTTCGATCATATTAATAAACCTAAACCAAATTCTTTTTTTCGTCAACAGAACCGATTTATTTAATGTGGTTCTGATTTGGTTTGTTCGGTATATTAAAAATCAAATCGTCTGGATTTTTTTTTCAATTTTGTTTCGATTCGGTTTGTATGCGACCGACGTGACGATTAGTCGAGACGACACCAGTGTTGAGTCAAACAACAGTTTATCGGAAAGACGATGGATTCGAAGGGAGATTAGCGAATTTTGGGAGAGGAATCCTAATCTCAAACTTCAATCCCATCTTCATTTGTTTTGTGCGCGGCGAGTCATCGTTAAATCATGTCTTGGCTCCCTGTAGAATCTGATCCTGGTAACTCCCAATTTGGGGTTTTGTCGATTTTTTAGTTTCATATTGTTTTAGGCTTCTGAAAAGAAATTTCATGTCCTGCTACTCTTTTTAGGGTAATTTATGTTTCTCATTCTCCAAGTTACTCTGAAATTTTGTTCATAGTTGTATTGGGTTTATATATATATATACATAGAAGATGGTGTCCGGAACGAGGCTCGGTTACTCGATTCTTTGTGATAATGGAGCAGTAGAATCTAGATTTATGGTTTGAGTTTTGAGCAAAATTAGAAGCAAATAGTGTTGAAAAAAGAGTCTTCTTGCAACCAAACATGGCGAAAAAGGATAGTTGATTTTTTCATGTGTTAGGATTAGAATTTGAAAGCAGTGATGATTTCTGATCAACAATGGATTAGTGTCTATATTTCCTTCTCTCAGGACACAATTTTCGCTACCTTGTTTGTTTATCTGTAATTTCACGGTGTTTATATGTTTTAGGTGTTTTCACTGAGATTATACAGCAAATGCAAGTGAAAGGTGTGCAAGTTGAGGAATTGTATTCCTTGGACATTAACTCTCTGGATGAAATAAGGTAGTTTTCCTCATTATTGATCGTCTCTTGTTTCGAAAAGAAACTAAAAATAAATCTTACTATTTTCTGTCATGAACTCTTTGCAGACCTGTATATGGACTGATACTGCTTTACAAATGGCGTCCTGAGGAAAAAGAGAACCGTGTCGTAATCACGGAGCCAAACCCCAATTTCTTCTTTGCCAGCCAGGTCACTCACTCACTGTCCACATTACATTGTCTGACTTTTGGGTTAGATTATAATCGTAATTTTGCGAATTTTTAACCTTTTTGTAGAACCATGCGTTTTGTTGCAGATAATCAACAATGCTTGTGCTACGCAAGCGATACTATCCGTCCTCATGAACTCCTCGAGTATCGAAATTGGTTCGGAGCTATCAGAACTGAAAGCGTTCGCCAAAGACTTTCCACCTGAACTGAAAGGTTTAGCCATCAACAACAACGAAGCCATACGAGCAGCTCACAACACATTCGCAAGGCCCGACTCATCTTCCACCACCACGGAAGAGGAAGAACTAGCTGCTGCGAAAACCTTAGACGAGGATGATGACGTGTATCACTACATCAGCTACTTACCTGTCGACGGCATCTTATATGAGCTAGATGGTCTTAAAGAAGGACCCATTAGTCTTGGACAGTGTCTCGGTGAGCCAGAAGGAATCGAATGGCTCAAAATGGTGCAACCTGTGGTACAAGAGAGGATCGACCGGTATTTGCAGAACGAGATTCGATTTAGTCTCTTAGCCGTGGTTAAGAACAGGAAGGAGATGTATCGAGCTGAACTGAAGGAGTATCAGATAAAGCGAGAGAGGATATTGCAGCAGGTAGGTAGTTTGCAAGCTGATAAGTACGCCGAGAAAAGCAGTTACGAGGCTCTGGACAAATCTTTATCGGAAGTCAATATCGGGATAGAGACTGTTTCGCAGAAGATTGTAATGGAGGAAGAGAGGTCTAAGAACTGGAAGAAAGAGAACATGAGAAGGAAACACAACTATGTGCCTTTCCTCTTCAATTTCCTCAAGATTCTTGCAGATAAGAAGAAGCTGAAGCCTCTCATTGACAAGGCTAGACGTAATAATACCTAACTCAATGGAAACCGATCTGAAAACCGCAGAACTATATTATGTATGAGGTTTGATTGTATTTTCAGTCTTTTAAGGATTTTTGTAGAACCAAATCTCTTACTTAATTACATGTTCCTTATAAAAATGGCATATAAGAAACAATTAATCAAAAAATCTATTACAAAACCTGTTTTCCTCGTTTATGTAAAACCCTCGTATAACAAAGATATATGGTTCATGAACTCAAATCAGCTGCTGCGTTCATCTTCTGCGTGTTTCATAACTTGGGTCGAAAATGACGGTTTAGCCACAAAACCGAAGATCATCATCATCACTCAGACCTGAAGGAAGAGAGTAAACCGGAAGAAGGCAATATATCCCCAAATGTGGACATAGCGGCTGCTGATCTATCCTTGAATATTCCCACTTGCCCATCAGTTAGTATTGATCCCAGTTTCAGCGTGCTTTCCCCAAATCTACTACCAGCCTGAAACATTTTTTTACATCATCTTTCTTAAGATTTTGAACACATCACAGAAACTATTGCGCCATTAATAAACCGAAGACTCTTACCTGCATGAAAGACTTTAAGAACGGAGAAGCCACACTGAAACTGGAGTTATCCTCCAAATCACTCGTTTGAGAAAGCTCGCCGTTTGTAAATGGCTTCCATGAGTTTCTTGACGAAGCTTCATTTAATGTTACTGGAATAGAGACCTTATTGGTACTTCTAGAAGACAAAGCTGGAGCGCTGCATCGAACCCGAAACAATGATGTGAGAAACCAATTTCCCAAAATTTAACAAAGGCTACAAACAGTTTCTGGTGTGAGTAAAAATAAATTCTGACCTTATGGGAAGGTATTTGAAGCGGGGAACTGTGGAGCATGGCATGATATTTGACTCTGAATTAGTTGGTAGTTTCTGCGCCGTGTCTGTGTACATTCGGTTTAGTTGCACAAAGAATCCAAAGAGTACAGCGTGGCGTAGGTATGACTGCTTTTCGTTCTCCCAGAGATAAGGCTCGTACCTTTTTTTTTTTTTACATCAGAGAAACGATGAGTGAATAAGCGATTATGAACTTCTTAGGTTAAGATTAAAACAATTTCCACAAGCCAAGATAATAAAGATATATATCTCTAAGGCAAAGTTTAGGGATACGGTTCCTTACGTGAGCCAGTCTATGGGATCCAACTTTTGGGTTAATTGAGAGATCACTCCATCAATGCGACCTCTATTGACAGACGTTATTTTCTTTTGGTCCTGCTTTCGCCTATAAGCTGATCTATTCATTGTGTTCTTTGGTAACTCCACGTTGGTGCTTGTATCACCCCCAGAGAGAACATCAGATGCAAATCTCAAATCCAGCAAAATCTGTAGAACTCCTTTCTCTGAAATTTGGGGTTCGTTGGCCTCCCTGGCAGATAAGAAATCCTCATAAATAATGGTGATCTGCATCGTACAATGGAAAATTGGAAATAAAAAAATCATTCTTATACGCAATCACCAGCTTGGAGATATCATTGATGAAAGGGAAAAAGTGCCAGCAGGAAACAAAATAATTCGAACCATCTTTGAAGAGAACCATTACTTGCTAGATAGCAGACAGAATATTTACATTGGAAAATAAACAAACAGAGACAACACACCTTCTCCAACAGGCTTGAAGCAAATTTTTGCAGAATAGACTTATCCAGTACGTGACCTCCAATTCGATGAATTTCTTCTGATGCCCGACAGAGAAATGAAATCATATAGAGCGAAGGCAAGGATGGAAGCGATATCTTCAACTCAGATTGACTTTCCCCCTGCTCTTCCTTGACTATTGTCTCTTCCCAACCCTATATTATTCTTCAAAGATGAGTAAGGGCACCAAAAAATGAACCTTGCATGATAATCGAAAACATAATGGGAAGTCTATAAACTATCTCACTAAAACTTCAAAAATTCAGGGAGTAGAATATAACCACCTATGTACACTTAAAATCAATGCAGGAGAGACAGCTTAGCAGAACGATCTAAAAGACAAGAAAATGCAGACCTCTGGGAGCGTAAACATATACTAGTAACAAAGCAAAAAAAAAGATAAAGGATATGTTTTCGTTTACCCTTAAAGGAGTTGTAGCAGACAATCCATCATCAATCCTAAGATCACGCAAGAGTATAGCAGAAAGCTCATCAGATAACCACTGTATCCACAATGTATGAGCCTTGATGCACAGATTTCGCATAGTTTTATTAAGCTCTTCGAACTTTGGACTTGTCTTCTCTTCTGCTCCAAGTAGTGCAGCAACAGCTAACGAACTCTGCTTTCTAAGATCGGAATGAAACTGCTTTCCAGGGCTGTCAGCAGTGACTGCACTATTTGAGCCAAATCTTGGTTGCCTCAACAAGGATGACAACTTATCAGAAACTGCAGTCAAAGTTTCTCTACACCACAACCTTGGAGAACCGAGAATTAAGGGAACGTGTTTTGAGTGGTTAAGCAATGCAAACAAAAGGCGTCCCATAAAAAGAGATTTCTCAATTATTATAGCAGGTGGAATTGCTTCACCGTCCTTGTTCTCTTTCTTCATGGCAGCACAGAGAAATTCGAGTTCTTTATCTACATCTGTAAGAAGTGTTGAGACACTGTCATAACACTTATTCTGCACGTATGGAGCAAGATCCTTTAACCTCGGACTTGCCTTTTCTGACTCAAAGAAGCTTAGGAGGTCTTCCAAAACACTCTGGCAGCGCCTATCAACTGCATCTCTCATTTGGCTAACTTGAGGACCAAAGTACGCAGTTAGACAGCTTTGGAAGTCGCTTTCTTCGGGTGATGATTTATTTCCGGCAATAAAACCAGGTTTCTTTGCGTTAGGCTCAATGAACCAGACACCACCACCTGTAGAAGGTCTGTTTAAGTATGCTTGGAAGTTGATCTTCTCACCAGTGATCTCGCTAAAGGCATGAACCGACTCTGCCACATTGACAGCTTTAGCCAAATCCTCAAATCTGGAGTCAATAATGGATTTCATTCTGTCCACAAACGCCTTCTCAAATATTTCATCCCATAGGTTCAAATCGTCTGCCAGAACAAGCTCCCGGATTCTATTCCAAGGCAGCTCAATCTCAGACCCGAAAACACTTTTAAGCCAATCTAAACTACCCCTCAAGACATCTTTGCTATCCATGGTCTCCCTTATCAACTTCTCGGCTGATCCAAGCTCTTCCCCAGTAACAATAGCTTCAATCAAATGCTTCCCACCAACTTTACCAACAATCTGCCCGCCGCATTCCCTCAACCAAGTCAGGCAAGCCTTAGCGATTTCAGTTGTATCAAGGATGACCATGACGGCTTCCAAATTATCCCTAAACGATTTCCACAACCCAACCTCCTCTTCTGGATTTGGAATTCCACCAAACAGTTGGGAAGCTGGAGGGGTACTCAAGACTGTCTTATAAAACAGAGGCATGTCAGTCAAGGCTTGGAAAAAGAGTTCCCCGACTTGTCCTACTGTGACCTGAATCACACTCAACACATCACAAAACACTGAAACGACAGCACCGGCATCATCAGCAGCACAAGCATTCAACTTTTGCAGAATCCAAGTCTTCCTTGAGTCGAGAAACAACTCAAGCACTTGCTTCGGATCAAGCTCATCGACCACTGAAACGGCAGTTAAGGCGTCCACGTAAGCACCGAGTCCTAAATCCGGATCCAGAAGCCGCTCATGGCTCCTCTGCGAAATCTGAGCCTTGAAACTCTCAACTATCTGCCATTGGTGCTCCAACAGTGGAAAATTCGCCAACAGCTTACTCTGATCCACCTCTGCTGCACCACCACCACATCCCTCCAGCTTTACCAGCCTCTGCTGAACATGCTGAGCACGCATGTACCTCCCCGCAGCTTCTAGAAACATCGACTCATCAAGGCATCCCCATATGTTCTCCGGTGTATCCACCAGATACTTAACCCGGCAAGCGATCCCATAGACATTGACTCGGGCTGGGTTAGGGCTAGCAAGCTCGGGAGTTTCCGCAACGGAAGAGGAGGAAAGCGATCGAATGTTACCGTGGATCGAAGAGATGTTGGCCGAGATCGACTCACAGAGTGATTTCATGTGCACGATCGAGTCAGCTGAGTCGATTAGATCGCGGTACCTAGTCCCCACGAGTTGCCGGAGCTCCTCTTTCTTATCCTCGATGTTCTTCCTAGTCGCCGACTCCACATTTCGAATCTCCGACATTGGTTTCGTGCGAAACAGAGACTCCGCATCTCGTTGACCACCTCCAGTACTGCCAAGGCTCACGGCGGCAGACCGGTACTCCGAGGTGGAAGCCGATGACATTCTCATGGTTTCGCGCGCTTGCCTTGGTGCGTATTCTCTCTAGCAATCCATCATACCTTCCACTGACTGAAGAAGAAGGAGGGAAACAAAGCAGATCTGATCGGATCTGGTAAAGCTTTGCGTCAGATTCAGAAGTATAAATCCCGCGATTAAGATCTGATTTTTTTTTTTTTTAGTTTATGTCCGAGTTTCTGCCATTGCTGTGGGAGAAGGACGACGAGAAATGAAGCGTTTCCTTCAAAATTACAAATTTACCCCCCTTTATTTGGGTTCGCATAGAAGAATTTTAACAAAAATAACAAACCGGTCCGGTATGGTATTGGTATACTTTTAATTGGATTAGCTTAAGAATTAAGATCGTATGCAAAATACTGTATCATTTCTGCCACCAAGTTTATACACGTCTTTGAAAGCTAGTAACAACTGATAGACTTAGAAACATTGTTTTCGATTGGAGAAAAGCATTCAAAACTAATTTAACTAAACAAACATAATCTTACAATTATTTATTTTTAGTTCAGTAAAAAGGTCCTCCCTATAACAACTCCTTGAAACGCTATGACTCGCGAGGGAGAAATCAAACACAGATGATGAAGAAACAAGGTGGAGTCCTTGACGAGTTTCCAGGAACAGTGAAGCTTGCGGCAAGTTCTCTGCACAAGAAGTTCGTTTTTATATAACTCAGATGATGCGAGACGACAATGCACGATGATGCATCTTTGATTGCTAGAGAGATTATTAACCTTTGAAACTACAAAGGAAGAGAGTATCCACGAAGGTAAGTCGAATCCACTCCAGATTCTCTTACCAATGCCACTCTTCCTGTCCGAGCCACCTTCATTTCTCAAAAAACACACAAACCATAAGTATCACCAATAGCTATTGCGCTTGTGAAGACAAGAGGTAAAAAAAAAAATAAGAAGTCTGTTTTTTCGTTTAACCTCGCAGATTCCATAGACCTCTAATTGCGTTTGTAGTGCAGCCATTTTTCTGATATCTCCCGTTACCTACAAACCGATGATTTCATCAGCTATAAAATCCTATAGCTTATCTCTACGATCGAAAGAATCTTTTTTCTTTTTGCCATCACCTCAAGAGTGATAGTATGATCAGAGACATCAATGGCTTTAGCTCGGAAAACTTGAGCGATGTCAAGAACATCTCTCCTCGCAGAAGTATGAGCGGCTACCTTGATCAGCATCAGTTCTCGCTCCGCAAATGGCATGTGGGTTATATTTTGGACCTATAAAACACGATGAAACATTATTAGTAGACATATAAACCGAAAACAAAAGTAGTTCGTTTTCAAACCATTTGCTCACCTCATGAAGATCAATCAACTTCTGAAGCTGCCTCACCAATTTGTCGATATTTTCATCTGTTCCGGGGATAACTGTCGTAATCCGAGATAAGCCTTCTTTCTCAGCATGACCAACAGCTAGACTCTAGAACAATAAAAGCGAAAATTCTCACAAACTCTTGAGAGAAAAGAAAAGAGCAGTATACATATACATCATGAATGAAACTAAAAGCAAGAGTGTGTGCTGCATAATAACCTGGATGTTATAACCTCTCCTGGAGATAGCTCCGGTTATTAGATTGAGAACTCCGGGAACGTTGGCCACAAGTAAAGATAACGTGTGGGACCGGAGACCACTCGACTACAATAAGTTCAACAGTTTAACGTTCATTCTGACATCAAATAGAAAACTCTGTGAAACGAATGCTGTAACCGAGCAACGTATCTTACATCTTCGTCGTAGACTACTCCCCAATGAGCGTCAAGTACCGGTTTGAAATCATTATATGGCTCCACTGGATAAACGTCACCCTAACACAACGTCAATCCAAAGATGCTTAGATATGTAGAAGAGAAAACAAAAGATATTAAGCTAATGGCATATATATATACCCCAGATGATGCCTTGCCGTTTCCAGTCAATGCTAGCTTTGTTTTCTCTGCAACAGTCTCATGAGATGATTCCCTTACGAGATGTGGGTATGACGCCGCTGAAAATCTCCAAAATGGAGCGGTTTCTCCCATCTTTTCCCGTCTCAGAGCAATCTAGAGTTAAACAGTGAGGCACAACAAAGATTAGGAGTGACAAAATCTGATTCCTGAAATTATTCATTATAAATTGACTACATGGAACAATGAATGATTCCATATTTGAGATCAATTAAACTAATGAGTTTTCTTGTAGGACGTTAACATGTCATTTAAAGATTAAACTGGAAGTCTCATGTAACAATGGCTGTACCATTTAGAGTGCCCTGAGATTTACCAAAGACATTTGGGTTCGCGTATTCGAAGTGTGACATTGCAGACAAACATAAAGTAAAATAAAAGCTACAAGTGGCTACAAGTATTGATACTTGTGAGTCCAACTGTTCAAAAAGAAAGCTTTTCAAGACAAATATAAAATAAAATAAAGGCCACAAGTGGCTACAAGTAGAAGGATGGAGCCAATAATTAGTTGCTTTTGGAATTGAAAGATTACCTTCCCTGTTCTCGCAATTTCTTTTATTCCAAACTTCTCTAAGTTCGTCTTCAGTGCAACCATCTTTCCCGGGTCTCCAGTTACCTACAGAATGAAAAACAAATATGGGATTGTTCGAACCATCTTGACCATTTGATATGAGTACATATATATTGAAGAATGGGACTGACCTCGATCGTTAGAGTGTGCTCCGAGGTATCAACGATTTTTGCTCTAAAGATATCCACCAACCACATGATCTGTATAGTACATGGAAGCATTATAAAATATAACTTTCTTGAAAACTTATACAACAGCTTCTATATCCTTGAGGTCTTAATGCGAATCGAGTAATCATAAGAAGAAGAAAAGAAATCCCCTTTACTGTAACTCAGGACTCAGTTAATAAAAAGGAAGACCGCATCTTTCCATCCATATTCATTTGTATCCTTGAAATTTAATGCTATTCGACTAATCATTAGAAGAAAAAGACGATCTTTCGCTGTGAATCAATTAATCACAAGGAATAAAAGCCTCCTTTCATCCATATCCATAAAGTTTTTCGAATGTGACTGAATTAATCATATCATATCTAGAAACCAACTTCAAATTTGACCATCTAACTAATATTCAAAGAAAATTAAGTTCCGAGTGTAGTTCATTTTTGCAAGATGAGCTATTTTTTTACCTCAGAGCGGGTGCTTGGATCAGCGTTAAGTTTAACGAGCATCAACTCACGTTCTACATGCGGCTCCTTGGAGAGATCTTCAACCTGAACAGACCACGACGAGTGAAAGATTAGAGTCACATGATTTCATGAAACTATACATGTTATAACGTTGCGTGCTAAGCTCGAAGAAATGAAAGAAAGGTCGTTAACCAAAGCAGTAACTTGTAGCAGAGATTTTGTCCGAAAGAGAACGAAATCAAAACCTTGATGACATTGACGAGTTTGTTAAGCTGTTCTACTACTTGTTGCAAGACTTTGTCAGTCCCGAGAACAACTATAGTAAACATAGCCTTGTCTTCGTTCAATCCAACAGCGAGGGACTCAATATTGTATCCCCTTCTAGCAAACACTCCAGCTATCCGGTTTATTATACCGCTCTCATCACCCACGAACACCGATATTGTATGCCTCCTTGCTCTACAAACGAATGGTGAAGGTTTTCAATCAGACTGAAAATATATTGAAGATTGAAGATTGAAGATTTTAGCGGTCAAGTAGTATTATCAGATGAAGAAATAGTAACTTAAAACATTTCCACTGTTCATTGATAAAAAGAGGAATCAGAATCTTATTTGATGTTGACCACATTTTCGATTCCAATACTGGAAAAAAAAAAAAAAAAAGAGAAGAAGATCTGCACTAATACTGTTCACGCCAGGCCAAAAGAAATTGAGGAAACAAAACATTGTTAAACAACACAACAACAAAAAAATGTAAACAAAAGTCAATTTTCGATTAAAAATGTAGAAATTGGATGCGAGACAGAGAAAGAAACGAAGGACCTATTTCGAATCAGTGAAATCGAAGCTGCAGAAAAAGAAAAAGAGGCAATTTTTCTGGACGCATTAACGAAATTAACAAAGCGTTTTTTGAATTGTAAGACGCGCACCTATCACACGCGGTGGGGGAAACAGGCTGACCAGTGGTGACGGCTTTATCGGTGGAAGCAGCGGAGAGAAGAGTGGCATTTCTCATCTTCCTCCCGTCGGTGATTTGGGCTACTTGCAGGGAGTTTGGGGTTTTCGCCGGAAACCCATTAGCCCTGTTCTGATTCTGGAAGTGGACATGAGCTGAGTACAGTGAAGCAGCAGTAGCCGTCGTAGTCGCCGCCATTGCTGGGGAGAGAGTAAGATGGTTTCGCTGTGAGGCGGAAAACAGCTGAAGAAGAAGAAGAAAGAGGAAGAAGGGCACACTCTATATTTGGTGGGCTGCGAGTGGGGGAGAAGTTTGAGAAGTCGTCGTATTAATAATAATTCGAATTACACACACACAGACCAAAACATTTAATACTCTTTCCTTTTGTCTTATTGGTTAACTATCTTATTGGTCTGAGATGGATTTTAATATAGATAACCTAGTGGTTTGTACTAGAGATAACCACGGAGAATTCGATTAACGATTTGGTTAACCCATTCGCATTTTTACTTAAAAGCTTTCCCGAACGTGGTTAGCTCCTTGATTGCGTTTTTTGCCTACCATTTCGTGAAAGTGTCTTTTATGTTTGTCTTTGTTTATTAACTAAAGTTCGGTCATTGTTTACGAGTTAGTGATTACCATTCACATATTTTAAAAAAATCTAAAAGGTTTTACAGGCACGACATGGTTTTTGTTTTTATTATAACGTGTCCTTAATATTCTTGTTTTTTATATATAATATCACGTTTTTTTGTATTTCCAATAGTCTTTGTTTAGTGAAGTAAATAGTTCAGTCTTTGTTTACTACTGTATATATAAGCAATCGTCCTCCACCATTATTCCATTACTGGAAAATTATATTTTGATCAATCGTATAATGGATGAGCTCAAATGAAAATGAGTAAGTTAAAAAGTTATCTTTTGTACCTACTCATTTAGCGGTCACATAGTTTGCATGAATCGGACATCGTATCTGTCTCGAACACAAACGTAAATTCCGGTAACTCTGAAACAATTGGTTCGTAAATAATTATTTTAATTTAGGCAGTTCAAATATACTAAATCCTATATAACTGAAACAACTGTTTTAGTACAACTTATATACAAGTTTTGAGTTTGACTCTATCAACTGTGTTTTGGTCATTTTTTTAAATATTCATTCTAATGAAAAGACTTTGAAATCCTATTTCGGCCGACATTGCTTTTTTTTTTCCTTCCCCCAGATAAACAATTGTTCTGATTAGACTTTTTTGACACGTGTGATGGACATAAACATATCATTTTCAACTTAAATTTTATAAAAAAAAATCGACATCTACTACATTGATCCCGTTTTTATCTCAACTTTAGCATAATATCGGTGGTTTTTGTCTTGGCCACAAACTGCTTAACCATTTCATTAGGGGACCACAGCTACCTATAAATCATTCTTCAGCAAAGATTTGTAAAAAATTAAATAAGTTTCCATTAACGATATTTTTGTTATTCGTTGAGTGTGTTTTGGATATCAAATAAATAAATTAATTAGAAATTGAGATAATAATACACCTACATCATTATACACTTTTGTTTAAAAAAAATGTGCATGTAAAACTCCAAACTAAGAAGAAAACGATTGGCATCTCTACATTTTGCGACTTACACAATTCCGACTCTCGCTCTTTCTAAATAATGCGGCATGATTGCAATTTCGACATAATTAAGGGGGTAGGTATGTAAATAAATAAATTAGCAGATGAAATTGTTTTTGCTTTTGTTTTCACGTCGCTCGACTCTCCTCCAATCGACTTTGCCTACATCTCGGCCTCTACGTCGATCTCGATCCCAATCACGATCATCCTTCCATTCTCCGGTGAACTGCACCGTACACGTTGCTTTCTCCGTTTTGTTTACTAATTCATTTACCGTGATTTTCAACCCGATCTCCATCAATCCCGGCGGCTGCCGACGACGGCGTCGTAGCTCTGATTGGCTAAAAAGGAGGAGATCCAAGTATTGCTTCGCACTGCCTCCAAAATCTATTCGAGCTGACATCGTATCAGAGAGAATTTTGACATACAGTGAATCGATTTGAAGAAAATCGGAGAGAGTTAGGCGGAAGGAAGAATGGTGGAACCGGTGAACTCTTCGCTTGGGAAAATGCTATTGGAGGAGGTCAGTCCAGTGGTCATGGTTCTCTGCACGCCCCTTGTTGAAGAGACTTTCGTCAAGAATGGGCTATCATTTGTGGAAACGCTCAAGCCATTCTGCAACTTCAGTAACATCGATGGTGAGTTCTGATTTGATTTACTAGTTTTGATTACCTTCTGCATTTTCAAGTGTTTACTTCCCCGAGCCGTAAAATTTTCTGTGCAGTTCCTGTTCGGACCTCAGGCGATCAGCTTTACCGGCTGAAGAAGTTTACGTTGAGATTGTTCTATGCCTCCGATATCAGACAACCAAACATACAGGTATGTAAATCTTCTCCGGTATAATATGTTCAGATTCGAACAATTAAGATAGTTTAAAACTAGCTCTTACTCAGCAACAATGCGGATGGATTTGGATTAGGATTAAGCGTGTGCTTGTACTTTTAGTGTTAGAGGCTCCTCCATTCGTCATCTTTGGTGGTGAGCTCAAATTTGATTTATGTTTACTTAATGGATAGGTTGCAAAGCAACGGTTAGAACATCTTATCACTCAAGCTGGGGAGAAGGATTTTCAGGATTTAGAATCTGACCCTCCTCAAATTGCTGATATACTATCTAGTAAGTCTCTACTCTAAAGTATGCTTTTAAGAGTTTTTTCTTAACTTCATGCACTTTTTTTTTGGTAAAACAATCGAGAAGGTGAATTCTCTAACTCTTTGCTTTCCTAATGCTGACGTATTTCCCTCCCTGCAGATCCAGAGTCTGAAATTGCACCCACATGGTTTCAGCATTACAATAAAGAACTTATACGTACATTGTCGTTTTCAGACCATGAAGCTTTCGACCATCCTGTGGCTTGTAAGACATTAAATGGGTTATAGAAAATCGTTGTTGATGTCTTCTCTCTTTTTAAATTAGATATCCTGATCTATTATGCTCCATAGAGTTTTCTTTTGTGTGCCAAATAATTCCAAATGTGCTTTTCAGGTCTCTTGGTCGTTTCATCAAAAGACGAAGAACCTATCAATAAATTTGTAGATCTTTTCAATACCAATAGATTACCTTCGTTGCTTAATGATGGTGCGATGGACCCAAAGATCTTGAAGCATTACCTGTTGGTTCATGACAATCAAGATGCAACAACAGAGAGGTAGTTGTTCCTTACTCCATTGTTTATAATATGAACCTCATCATAATTATGTGGGTGTCAAATGTAAGGTTTAGCTGACTGGATGTTATTCTTCTGTAGAACGTCTAAAGTTCTGTCTGAGATGAGAAGTACATTTGGAAATAATGAATGCAACTTACTTTGCACTAATTCATCTAAAGAGGGGAACATAGAACATCAGGCTAATCCGTGGGCTTCATTTGTAAGTCACTCAGCAGAACTTTTATCCAGCATATTATTCAAGGTTCATATATCAGTCCATGTACATTTTGCGAGTTCCACATGTTGATTACCATTTTTTTCTGAAAGAAATCAGATGTTTCGGCCGACAAACTTGGATGTGCTCTCACTGGCGACGATATTGTGGAGGTATATATAAAAGATTCTGGCTACTAGTTCTATTGCTGATGATATTCACGCCTTTCAACCATTTTGAAATGTTTTAACCAAACATCATTAATTTTTCTGGCATATTCGGAGCAGATCAAAGATCTGATGCAAGAGTTTGCATCCAGGCATGTAATTCCTTACATGGAGCAGAAAGTTCGAGAGCTTAATCAACAGGTTAGCTTTAGATCATACAGTATCTTACTTTTTCAGTATGCTTTACTTAGGTCTTTTTTTCTCTTTCCATATCCTTTAATTTGCATTTGTTGTGTCACTAGATTTCTGCAACAAGAAAAGGACTTAGAAACCAGATAAAAAACTTATGGTGGAGGAAAGGAAAAGACGATGTCCCGGACTCGACTAAAGGTTCTATGTATGCTTTCTTGAACTTATTACTCCTTTTATGTTATCACTGACTTCATCATAAGCTCTAACGGTTTTGCTTTCACTTTTGAAGGTATACCTTTAGCTCCACCGAATCTCAAATTAGAATTTTGGGTGACTACGCCTTCATGTTGCATGATTATGAACTTGCATTGTCAAGCTATCGCTTGATATCAACAGATTACAAGCTCGACAAAGCATGGAAGCACTATGCTGGTGTTCAGGTAGCTTCACATCTTTGTAATTATGTCTCTGTAGAGGTGTTCAGATGATATTATTTTTTAATCAATATTCGTCTTATATTTAGAACCTTACGTATAATATAGGTTTGCCAATTTGTCAAACTGATTGTTCTGGTCTTTATATATTATTGTTCGTTACTCGTGGTCGCTTCAATAACTCATCTTCTCATGCATGTTTGGAAGGAAATGATGGGACTAGCATATTTCATCTCAGACCAATCAAAAAAGGAAGCTGAGTACTGCATGGAAAATGCATTCAGCACTTATATGGTATGTCTTTATAATCCAGTCTTTAACCTGTTCTTTTAGTGAATGTCCCATGGTACTTGTATCTTTAGAAGCAAAACATGAAACTGAAATACTAATCGATTAACTTAAGCAAGTGACGTGGTCGTGCATGCTGTAACATGTCTTTAAAATCTCATGCAGAAACTTGGGAAGTCTGGCTTCCAAAATTCTACGAGATGTGGGCTCTGGTGGGCAGAGATGCTAAAGGCTAGAGATCAGTACAAAGAAGCTGCTTCTGTTTACTTCCGCATATGTGGAGAGGTGCTTCTCTTCTTATGCCTTTAGAACATATCTACCCTTACACATTGCTAACTATATTAATTTTGCAGGAACCATTGCACGCTGCAGTCATGTTAGAGCAAGCTTCTTACTGCTTCGTGTTAACTAAGCCAGCGATGCTACACAAGTATGGATTTCATCTAGTTCTCTCAGGAGACCACTATAAAAACTGTGATCAGGTACATTCACTTTGCTGAAAGGGCTCAAGCTTTGTAAATGCTTTGCATTCTAAAGAATACACTTTGTTTGCCTTTTCAGGTTAACCATGCAATTCGTACATACAGAAGTGCAATCTCTGTTTATAAATCAACTACATGGAGCCATATCAAAGACCATGTATATTTTCATATTGGACAGTAAGTTTTGAATATGGTAAATGTTGGTCTCGTAAGACGTGATGTTTGGAAATTTGTGGTCTTAACACTTTCTATGAATTTTTTTGTTCAGGTGGTATGCAATTGTTGGGATGCATGAAGTCGCAGTTAGAAACATGCTCAAAGTACTGGACTGTGGCTACCAGTCGAAGGCAACCCAAGAGATTTTTCTCAGGGACTTTTTCAACATTGTTAAGGTGCCTAGCCTATACTTGTGGTTTGATACGCTCTACTGAAGCTACAAAAAGATAGTGCTTCGAATAATTTTCCCTGGTCTCTATACTTTGTTCTTAGTCTACGCAAAAATAATTTTATTTTCATTTTTCTGTCATTTTGAAGAAAACTGGAATGAAGCACGAGGTGGTGGGACTTCAACTACCAGTTATTAATATGTCGTCTCTTCAAGTTATATATGATGACCACCGCACTTATGCATCTCAAGCTTCTGTAAGTTACAAATTCACTCTTTGGAAGTGTATGTACATGTTGCTACCCATCATAAATTTACTAGGATGTATTGCCTTTATACTCAATTATGACCAACATAAATTGGTATAAGTATTCCTGGATTACTTGCAAATAAATAATCTTTGTGCATCATTGAATTGTTTCTTTTTCATTAATGGTGAATTTGCATCTCTTGTGTGCCTGATTCACATGTCATGGTCAGGCTCTTGTAGAAGAGAGCATCTGGCAATCACTGGAGGATGATATCATTCCATCATTAAATTCTGGCAAGTCAAACTGGCTGGAGCTACAATCAAAGCTTTTGCCAAAGAAATACAAGGAATCAAATGTTTGTGTCGCTGGAGGTATGCAGGTTGTTGTTAGCTGCATTTCGCTCTTTACCTGAACCAAAAGCTTTTTCTTCTTGATTATCCCGCATTTAACTTATGCTTGAAGTCTGAAGGGTAAAAAGATGCGATCTAGTCCAGCTAAAATAGGCACACTTGCATGCAAAATCTGGTTTGCCTTGTGGTGCCAGCAGCAGGACATTTCATTTTGAAATATGGACTTGATATGACTGGAAAATATATATCTTTAAGAAACTAGATATGATACTTTTGCACGGATATGGAAGAGAGAGAGAGAGGGAGTATCAGATTTCTTTATTTTTGATATCATAGTGTCTGTAAGTGTTATCACTCGGGCCTGCCAAGGAAGAGAGATTTCTTTTGGTTTGGCAATACATTCAGGCCATTTTGTTGACTGTTGAGGACATGATATTATGTTTGAAAATGTTTGTCATTGTGGAGTCTTACTTGTACTTCATTGATTTCAGAGTCAGTGAAAGTGGATCTGGAGTTTAGGAATCCATTGCTAATCTCTACCTCCGTAACAAGTGTTTCTCTCATCTGTGAGCTTACCCCAAATTCTGATGACCTAAAATTAGGTAAGCTGTTTCTAATATTTAATATCCACTTAAGAAATTTTCTACATCCTTCAGTTTGTAAATTTAAAATTTATTTTCACATTTGGATTTTATAAAGTAGATAAGGAGCCAAGTAGCTCAAGCTTGGGGCCTGAGAGTTCCACAGAACATAATCAGTAAGCAGCTAATCTCCTCAGCCATGTTTCTTTCAACTTTTTTTGACCTATATTTGAATGATTTAGCTGTGGCATCTATGTCAACAATACTACAGGGGCACAACCTCCGGTTTCTCTTCTTTCACTTTGTCTGAAGTGGACTTCACATTAAGTGGAGGCGAGAAAAAATTGGTGAGTCTGTTACATTGGAGGATATTTGGAATTGATTGATATATTTTAATATTTAAAGCCTTCCTCTATCTGACATTATCCATCGTCTTGTGTTTATATAGTGAAACATGTTTTTAAAGTCTTGATGTTTCACCTATAATTGTTTTCTGTACTCTGCTTTATCAGGAATTTGAATTGCATGTGTTTAATTAGCTGCTGATTGTTTGCTACGTCTTACTTATTGATTTGATTTTTTTTTCTAGGTGAGACTCACGGTTACCCCCAGTGAAGAAGGTATCCTCAAAATTGTCGGTGTGAGGTGGGAATTATCTGGCTCCATCGTTGGTGTGCATCACTTCCAATCTGTGCCTGCAAAGGCAAAAACTGCCAAAGGAAGAAAGAAAAACAAACTTACTCCTACTGATGCCTTGAAATTCTTAGTCATCAAGGTGCAAACTTTTCCTCTATAATTTTGTTTTATAATAATCGTTGCAATCTCTGAAGTACAAAAAAAATTGACTGTGCAGAGTCTACCCAGGCTTGAGGGTTCAATGGATCACCTGCCTGAGACATTGCATGCTGGAGATCTACGTTATCTTGTTTTAGAGTTAAAAAATAAGTCAGATTCACCAATAAAGGTAGTTTTCTTTTTCTGATCAGCCCTAATCATTTTATGTTCTCTACCGTTTTGCCGATTAATTCATCTTGTTCTACTATCGCGTGGCTGTTAATTGTCTATAAATTTAGTTTGTTATGGTCTGGTTTATCATATTTTTTCTTGCTTGATGACCGAATAATATGATGCACTAAAGTATCCGCTGCATTATTCTTGTGGCTAACAAATTTGTATGTCCTCATAGAATCTTAAAATGAAGATTAGCCATCCAAGATTTGTAAGTCCTGGGAATAATGAAGAAGAGCTGACAACCGAATTTCCAGATTGCTTAAAGAAGGGCGATGGACAAACTATTGTTCAGCATGAAACAAATAGGACAAGTAGTGTATTTGCATTTCCAAAGGTCCGTGGCAAACCTTCTCTTCAAGCCTCAAAGCCGAATGTACATGTCAGGTTATTCTAACATTCTGCTGCTCTCTTTCAGGATATATCCCTGCAAGGAGACAGATCTCTGAAGTGGCCTATTTGGCTTCGAGCTGCCATCCCAGGAACGATATCTTTGTATTTTACAATATACTACGAGATGGAAAATGTATCAAGCATCATGAAATACCGCACTCTGAGGATGCATTATAATTTGCAGGTGATGAATCTTCAGGCTGCAATTTGTTTTGTTCTGTTTTAAATTTTGACTATAGGCAGATTTGCATTGACCAACACGTCTAACCATTTCTATATCGAACATTGGCATCTAGGTTTTACCATCTCTAGAGATATCTTTCGGAATCACCCCCTCTCCATCAAGATTGCAAGAATTTCTTGTGCGTATGGATATCGTAAACCGTTCGAAATCAGATTATTTCCAAATTCGTCAGTTGTCAACAGTTGGGTGCCGGTGGGGTATCTCGTTGCTTCAGCCAGTTGATACAATCTTACCTTCCAAGTCTCTACTCGCTGGGCAAGCTTTATCTTGTTTCTTCATGATAAAGGTCATTGGAACTTAGTTCAATTCCTTTAATGCACTTCTACTAGCTACTACTTGGTCTTTCTCTTTTCCAAGTCTGAAATTAGTTATTGTTCAAATTTCAGGATTGCAAAAAATCTGAGACTGAAGAAGATAAAACCATGTCCCTTCCTCCCAGCCAAACGGACGTTAAACTTTTTACTCAGGATGACGATGAAAAGCTTTTCGATATCGTTAACTCACCTTTAGCAAGCTTCCATGAAAGCGAAAGGTCATGTCAAGGAGCCTCAGATCAGGTAAGCAAAAATCGTAGTTCATGGACAATAAATCTTAATCTGCTAGAGAATTTTTTTTTATAGTATATGTTACTCTCTCTTAAACTTAACTGATAACTTTCTATCATCAGAACTATAGTGAGCTCATATATGGATTAATGAAACAGGTAAATCCGAATACAGTCGACTTCATTCTAATCTCTCGCCTGGCAAAAAGCAGCAATCCATCAGCAGTGCCCGATTTACCAAAGATTCTGTCACACCATTCATGTCACAACCGGTACGAGTATCAACAAAACGTATCTTCCTTCTTTTTAAAACCATTTTCCCCCTACTTCTAATCACACTGTTTTTCGATTACAGTATCAGAAGCTCAAACCCGCTCTCGTGGTCACTAGACGGTCCCCAAACCATATACCACGACTTTTCAACCTCCTTGTGTGAAGTAAAACTAAAGATGATAATCAGAAACACATGTGATAAATTAGCAACTGTGAGCATCGAGACTAATGATTACCTACCAGAAGCAGCAGCACCAAGTCCTTCCTCCGGAAACCAATCCGGGTGGCGATACGTGCCAACGGTAACAGAGGAAATGAAACTAACTTCAGATGTCATGGGAAGCCGTCTGGGGAAACCTCCATCCTCCATGGAAAGCTCACCTCCTTTCATATGGTCAGGTTTAAGCTCCACAAAGGTCCCAATCCAGCCAATGTCCACGACCGAAATCCCGCTGCAGATATCGGTTTTCTCTCCAGGAATCTACAACCTCTCTTCCTATAAACTTAACTGGGAGCTTTCTGAGCATGAAAATGCATCATCGTCGTCATCAGGGACATGTCAAGGCTATCCTTACCACCTTACTGTTCTTCAGTCTGAGTGAGCTTTTATAGAAAGCATGAGAGTGTTCTGTTATGATGTTTCATTTGTCCTCTGTGTATTCATTTTGATGGTTTACGTCTTGGGTTTTCAATTTTGATTGTAGCCAGTTGTTTTATTAAGAAATGGTTTGGTAGGAGGAATATGAATTTTTTATATTACGGCCAAAGGGATTAAAAAGATGAATCTTTCTTTTGTTTTGTGGAATAAAATATTTTACTGAGACTATCCTGATCCTTGATCAATGGTTTTATGTTTTTTAAAGTTTAATACTATTTAGCTGAGAAAGATAAATTTGAGAAAACAAATTTCAAGTTTTTTTACTGGAAAGGAAAATATCGCACAAGAAACAAAACATAATAGAATATGGAAATATTATTATTCAATAAGAAAATGGTTCGTCGGTACTCTCAAGTTCAAAACCACAAACAGGAGAACTTCGGATATCCAAAGAAAATAAAATTAGCATCTCTCAAATTTAAACTGGTGATGATCATAAGGTGGCACCAATTTATATACACGTACAACAACTCATATATATATAACGATAAAACAATGACAAACACCAACCTCTCCAGCTACTTGGATGGTTAAGCTACAACACCATTGATACTATTACTACTACATTGCCTTAAAAAAAAGGAAAAGTGTATATAACTTTAGAGAAGGAGAATCATTTCGGATGATATTTTCGGGTTGGACCAAACTACCTATCTGCAACTATATGGCTTGATCTTTTTCTCCATCTAGAAGATGGATTTGGTGAGTCTTGGTCGCGGTTTTATGATGATACTTTCATAGGGCTTGGCTTGTTCAACTTGGATGTAATCTCTTGTTTTCAAAACCTGCAAAATTGGCGAAGAAAGAAAAACAGATCAAGTTTAGGAAGAAAATGACCATACAGAGGAAGACCAAACTTTCTTCTCCTGTCGGTTAAAAGACAAGCTGTGTGTGATCGATGCACTAAAGCCGAATATTTACACACACGCTTACATTAAAGATCCTAACTTAGACATGCTTACACTAAAGATCCTAACCGTAAATTGGAAAACTTCCACAGAACGCAGAACTACTTAATCTGGAGTTGAAGCTTAAAATCATAAACTTGTAAGAGTCTAGGCATTTTTATCCATTACTTGTGTGAAGTTGTTTGTTTTCTCTAATGCAAGATCAGAGCTTTTTTTGTTTAGGGTCGAATTATGGATGTACCAGGGTTTCGAAAAACATTCTCGATGCTTCTTTACGGGTTTTCCCAGCTAAAAGTTTGTCTGCCACAACAACATTCTTCCCATTCTCAGCTTCTTTATCAAATATCGTCTGGAGATACTTCGCCACAGCCCTATAAGAAACGAGAAACAAGAATCTTCAATCCCATCATGTCTCTCACGTGGTAGTAACTAGCATGTGCAGAAGTTTCGCTTATGAAATGTAGAAATTTAATTTATGGCACAGACCTAGTACGAGAAGACCATCCACTGTTCTCTAGAAGACGAGTCTCATCACCATCTTGCATGCCATCGTCTTCATGGTCTTCATCTACTTCATCATCATCCACGTTCAAAAATCCTGAAGACACAGAGTGAAATAAACTATAAGCAGAACCGTTGAGAGGATACAGACCATTTGGATAAATTAAACTAAAATTTAAAGAGACTTCGAACCTGTGTCATGTGCCACTTCCATGGTATCCATTTCCTACAGCATAAGATAACAACAAAAGAAGATTCAGAGGTATGTCTTAATTGATTATGGAATCGAAGCCACAAAGAAACTTACATCATTATCTCCCATAAGACCATCACGAGAAGTAGGATCTGCATCTTGTGCACTTTGCATATAAGCCTCCTCATCAAACATCTCATTATGTGGTTCGTCTTTGTTACCAGATTCTATCTCTGGATTCACCCCATCATTATTTTCTTCCACAAGATGTTCGTTGCAAGTTTCCAAAGCCAGATTACTAAAATCACCAGCTTCTACGCTTTCAATAGAACCAACTGTGTTATCGCATGGAGTCCGGTCGTCTATCCCAATCTCGCTAACTTCAACTGATGCCTCTGTCTTCTTATCTTCACAAGGAAGTTCATCTTCAACTTTCAAGTCTGTCTCATTGAGCGTGGCGTTGTTATCTACATCGCCTTCAGCAATTTCGATAACATCACTGCAACTTTTTTCGTTAACGTCAGCACTAACATCTTCACCGCCTAGCCCTCCATCACGGTTTTCATGGCATCCTTCCACCTGTAAATCCTCTACACCATCGAGTTTGTCCTCAAAAGGCATTTGACTGATCTCGTCATTTACTAAAAGATTTACTTCATCAGCAGCTCCATCGCCTTCCTTTGCAACTTCCACGTCACAAATCTTTTCACCAAGCTCGTTATCATCTTTCCCTTCTTCCTGTGGGGGAGTATGAGCCTCAGCAGGTTGCTCCTCAGAATCATTTGGACGAGCTTGAAGAGCAGAGCTTTCTTCAGTTTCATTTTCTTCCACAGCCTTAACAGAACATTCATTATCTTCCACCACTCCAACAGAAGCATGACGGTCAACATTCTCGATTATCACGATTCCTCTTAGATCATACGGCTCATTGTGCAGAGATACTAATTCCACTGACATACCTGAAAATCATTGACACATATTCCCTGTGTGGCTGCAGTTTACAAGAACAATTGATAGAACTTTTGAAGAACGGTCAACTTTTTAACGTAGTGAACTTACCAGTTAATATTGGCTCCTTAAAGAGTCTATCCTCCATAGCCTGCCTTTGAAGCATTACGATTTCAGAAATGGTGCAAGGCGCCTTCTTTCGCACACGGCGTATACCTTCAGTGTTTGTCAGCTGTTGCCGTATAACGCTAAATAGAAAAGTTAGCAAGATCAGAAATCAGCTAAAATCCAAGACAAAGTAAATAATTTTTTTGTAGACACAGTTACACACAAGCATGAGACCTAAAAGAAGACTAAAGTTCAATTTTGTACAAGAGTGGAGAAAACATCAGCATCTATATATTTTTGGCCCAGCAAAACTAAAATTCACACTATTGTACAATTGACTTTAGCTGTCTTGCACCTAACAGAAAAGCAGAGTGCAGCTTAAACAAGAACTTCTATGAAAAATGCCCAAGCAGCAATGAAATAAAAGCTAAGGTATTTAATCAAGTAAAAAGATTGATTAAAAAATAGTTAGGTAAACATACTCGCCATGCAAGACCATAGGGTCATCCATTAAAACCTTCCTCTTCGTGGCAGTAGAACGGGGAGCAGATCGCAACCGTTTTGTAGATGCTACTTCAAGCACAGGGGTAGGCCTCATCTTCAGAAAAGATGACTTTCCCACTGAAAAAAGTAGAATGATAGTTTATTCAGAAAGTTAGCTCAAAGGGTGAGCTTAAATTAAAACCTCACAACCCTTTCGCACTCCTTATATAGGCAAGACCAATAGATGTATAAGAGGACAGACAAAGCAACAACAAAAAAAACTGATACCTAAGATAGAAGACAACAGATCATCGTCATCAGGAACAGATTCTGCAGTTCTCTTCGACTGAATCAGTCCAACTGACTCAATAGAGTTCAAACTTTCTGCAGTTAGTGTGCTCTCAGTAAAAGTGCGTTTTTTCCCAGTAATGTTATTGGTTTCCGCATCCTCGTTACATGTACGAGGGTCTTCTTTATCTGGCGTAGATTCCACCATGAAACCATTTTCATCCCCCAGTCTGTTAGGTGCTGCTAATACCTTCTCAGGTGCAGACAAATCAGACTCAGTAAATCCAGTCAGATCTCCCAACTGTTCATCAGTTTCGTGTGCATTATTCAGCTGCTCATCTGGTCTACTAAACACTTGCCCATCTCCTTGTAAACTAGAATCTGTTTCCTGATTGGCCTCAGTGGCAATGGCATCTGGCAGAAACAATAAAAAAAATCATAAGTATAAGGCAGGCACTAAGACTTTGCATTAGGTTAGATCCATAACTCAGGTGATTGACAAACCTCGGTTTTCTTCTCCAGGATCTTTTGGCCCTCCAGGAGACTCTACTGGAGGAACAGCATCTGACTTATCAGCTACATCGTTATTAACATCGGTTCCTGCCTCAGTCGTTACTTGACCAAGATCCTCCATCTCCGTTGTGATGTGAGAACAACATGGCGATGTAACATGTACATGCTCTGCCCTCTCCTCCTCCTGCTCGTTTTCTGCGTTGGCATTTTCATCTATCAGCGACTTATCCACCTCCATGGGAGTAACTGCTGATTCTTCGGCATTATATTCAGCGGACACGTCTTCATCACGTTTATGCACCTCATTAGCATCCAGTTCTCCAGAGGCCTTCCTACCTTCTTCTGCATTCAGATCCTCTACCTCCATGTGATCATCGCATGCCAGCTGCTCTCTGACACTAGACGAATTTGGCACCTCAACTAATCCAGGAGTTTGAGGAGCTTGTGCATCTTCAACGAGCTCATTCCTCATAGCACGATCATCCACCTATCAAAGATATAAAAATTAAACACAGTGACTCAAGTGACAACTGTTCAGCAACCATTAATAATGCCCTCGTGCATTATCTCTGATGGTACGCACCTGTTCTTGATTGAAATCTCTGGGCATGGCTTCAGAAACTGTCACCGTTTCATCCTTTATCTCCGGTGTTGCCGCATCCATATATGCATTGTGATCATTGCTACCAACAAATAAAATATCTACCATAAGTAAAATTTGATTGGTGATGTGAAAATTCAAACTATACACCACATCCAAGAAGGATAAGACACACAGAAGCGCAGTTATAACTTCTAACTCACAATGCACTCTCAGAACAAACAAAAATCGTGGATGACATGGGATTTTAAAAGCATGGTTGCATAGCTTGAGAAAAAAACATCTAAGCGCCAAAACGCAAGGCTTCTTATCATTAAGTCAACTCGAGTTCTCCCTTGTTCTAAAACTCATGTGAAGCAATAAAAAATCTACGATAAAAAGCTGCCGTATTGCACAGCTCCCGAAAAGAAGACCAAGCTACAAATTTGATAAGTAAATCATAGGGAAGCAAATATGCAATGCTACAAAATATAGAGCATAGATTATGAACAAAAACTGACCCTTGAACTCCCTCATCCTCGGATCCAATAGCATCCTTATCCTGGAATACTTCCTGCAGAACAATACATGGATGAGAAGAAGTTCCGATTTCAGATATGCAAAGCTTCACTAGGAAAAGAAAACATCAACATCATCCTGACCCTACGCCATGACGGCATGACTACAATCTGACACTTCAAATTACAAGCTTTTCACGGTCTAACCAAACCATGGAGAAAAAGAAACCCAAAAGCCAGAAGCAAATATAAATCTACAAATAAACCAAAAGGCTCTCTGCATATTTGCATCTTTCAATATGGTTATCCTGTTTATGAACACGAAATTACCTCGTCAAGCTCCAAAGCAGCTTGAGAAGTGTCGCCATCACCAAATCGCTCTGAAAAGAAATATAAAAAAGTGAGCTTTCTTATTTAAGACACAGCTATCAATAGACCAAAGAAAAGTAAGCATGTAACAACCACTGACCATCTAATCCGAATTGCGATGTTGAGTACACAACACCATCCATTGTATCCTGAAGGGTGATCTGCTCTCTTGTACTAACATGATGATCAACGTAGTTACTGCTAGACAAGAAAACAGGGAGAAATGGATAAATAAACAAGAAAACCGGAGTATGATTTATAATGCATAATGGCTTAGGGCCCTGGAGGAGAACAAATCAAAACGGAGCTCATTCTTCAAGACTCCAAATACCATAAACGAGTGCTAACTTCAAAACATCAAGAAACTAACCCCTGAAAGAGTTCATTGTCTGGAAGCTCAAAATCATCAAGATCAAATGTCTCCGGCAGCGTAATTGAGTGATAAGGCGCTGTGGATTCCTCAGGAGGTAAGTCAACCGCAGCAGAGCGAAAAGCTTGCTTCACCTTAAGCAACGCCTCGCTGCAATCATCAAATAGGTAATTCACCTTTCTTGAATAAATACGAACCACGCCAAGCAGAAGATGACTAGACAATCGCAATGCGATTGGAGCTTCCGGAAAGAGAATAGAATCTGCTCAGAATAGGAAAGAAAAAATCAAAAAAAAATAGTTAGATTAGGAAATGTTTTGATGGGAGCGTATATATATATATATATTGGTTAAGTGAAGATAACACATTGATTTAGTATCTCAAACATAAAAACAACTCTCATGAGCCACATAACCACTACAGAAACGAAATAAACTGACGAATGCTAAACATCATACAGTTCACAAACTGAGAAAAACTGAAAGAATGAAACTTTAGCTTCTTGTAATCCTAATCTGGTAACTAAGATCTGAGACAAAAAAAAATAGCAATGACTCACCAACGGAGACTCCGATGTCAGTATCAGCCACCTGATTCTTTCGAAGCTTCCTCTCCAAATGGGCCGCAATCCATATTGTCCCAAGTGGCCCTTTCTTGGCTAATATAAACTGCGAATAAAACATTCCTCGTCCTCGACACCTATACAAAACCCTAAAATTTCAACCAAACAAGGAACCAACTTGTCAGAATTTCATCGTAGCAAATTGAGCTTCGAAAACTGATTACAAAACTAAATCCTTTCCGACCCAGTAAAAACAAAAGAGGAAATCTTCAACCCGAGATATGTGTTTAGAGAAAGTCAGAAGTTTCCAACTTCGGACAACAGAACCCAAATTAGCTGAAACCCGACAACAAAGCCTTAAAATTGCCACGGAGAAGAGACTCTCGACGTTCCTAAACTACTCGATGAGCTCCGAAAGTAGAATACAGAGTAGAAGGTAGATCAATTACCGCGGAATTCACCAATCTAAGCTCAAGAACTCCAACACCTCGATTGAACAGAGTACTCGTGGAAACCCTAATTTCACAGAAACTTCCCAATTCAGTAGAAGCAGAATCTTCAGACACAATACTCTTTGATGTTAGAGATCAGACACAAAAACAGCTAACTCGCCCAGAAAAAAACGTGAGAAAAATAGTAAAATTTGTGGAAGAGAGATGAATTGCAATATGCAAAAAGTTTCGAAATTTGGATCTTTGGTTGATTTCTGATTAAATGAGGGATTTGGTGCGGCAAAGGAACACGAGTTTTCGTGCACATACGTCGTGCCCCTATTGGTTAGGACACGAGAGGGCCCTACATAGCTTTAGATTTAGATCATTTAGTCCAACAATTTTTGTTTTTGTCAACTATCCCAGCAATACTTAACTGCAACTAAATCATTTTCCTTTTTCCAAAACATTTAAACTGGGCGCCTTCTTTGCCTCGTTGCGGGAAATATGAAAAAATTTCGAACTTTTTAGTTACAACTAAAAGAGAAGATTCTATTGTTCGAGATGTAATAACATTCTTGTGTGAAATTATGAAATTTAGACCGAACTATTGGACTTGGTAATAAAGCCCATTACTAAAGAAAAATCAGAATCATTCAAGTGAAGTCGTCGCATGAAGCTGTCAAGCTGAGAGTATCATCACTCAACAAATGGTGCAAAAGAATTGATTTACTGTAACATTTTTTTTGTAACAACTGAGTAAAGCTGTAATTTTTATATAATAAGATACGAACACAAGTGTTTAACTACATGAAAAAGTCAGTTTTCAAAAGTGAGTCATGTTATTTTCCAAATCTTCTTAACTAAAATAGGGTATTTTACGAAAGGTCCCCCAAAGATTATTGTGATTTCGTTTTTATTCAGCTTCGAGTTCGGCTGCAAACTGATCTAACCGTTCGGCTTCCAAATCAAAATCTCGAACCGCGGCATGGTTCACTGACCCATCGTCAATGCTCGCATGTACCTGTCTCTTTGCATACCTGCGTTCACCCACAAACAGAAGTAACAAATTCAGATCCAAGACCGACTCTAATGGCGATTAAGCGGAAATGAGGCAACGGGAGAATCTGTACCATCGATTGTGCATTGCATCTACGCATTTCTGTGCATCTTTTCGATCCTTGAATCTTACAAGAACAACACCCTGTGGATGATGCTCACATACCTGTAAGAGTAGAAATCGATTGTTAGTTACTCCGAACTAATCTCAACTTCCAACAAAGACAGCAAGCATTACAAAACCAACAAGCTCAAGAATTCAAAAAAATATATTACCTTCACTGAATCAAACGGTCCATGCTTCGAACTCTCTTCTTTCACGTCTTCCTCTACCTCGGCACACAGACTCTCATCACTCTGTAAACAGAGAAACGGTCAAGCTATAATATCAGGTACCAAAAATGGCAACATCTCTCATATTAACATTGAGGATAAAACCGTACCCTCATCTCAGCTGGACTGAACATATAGCGCAGAACAACCGTTGCAGGTATTGAGATCTTAGCATCATCTCTACCACCTATGCCAAGAAAAGAGACCAAGGCGCCATCACAATTAATATGAATCCACTAGTGAACAAATCCAACTTAAAAGATTTGAAAGGGCCACTTTTTAATGCTAAAATCAACTAGGAATGGTCGGAAATAAAGACCAGTCAAACAAATAGAGAGTATCATTCGAGACAACTAAATGCTCCCTTTCGCTCTCACGCTTACGAAATGACCACCAAGAAAAAAAACTTACCCCATCCAAGCAGCTTTTGCTCGACCTTTTTGAGCTTCTTTTTCTTCTTGTTGTCGGTTTGCTTAGTTATAAATCTCTCCCCTGAGTGAAAATAGTAAAAGCCAGTAAGAACCATAACCCAAATTTTTGTAGAAACCAAACCAAAGCCACGGATGGGGAAACTGACATGAGGAGAAACTGACAAGTAAGACGTAATACAACTAATGTGCAACAGTGTTCACCTTTCTGCTCGAATTTAGCTCGAGAAACTGACATGAGGAGCTTGTCACCAAGACGTAAAGGAGCTCCATCTAACAGTTGAATTGCCAGATCCACTGAGGGCTCCTAATGAAAACAAAAACAGATACACATGAAAAGAACGGAGACAAAGTTTAAGAATCAGAACCTTCTAAATCCCAGGAGGGAAGAACTTCAAATACTATCACTACCTTCATATACGTGATAAGAGCATCGCCTTTTAAGTTTCCTGTCGCCTTGTCAGTGTAAAGCTTTATGCGATGCTTGCCAGTGTCATCCTGCCATGTTTATCAGATCTACATTGTTAGGAGAAACTCACACAAGACTCCGAAATACCACAGCAAAAATCACAAAGTACTGAGATTTACCTCCTTAATTATGCCGCATTTAGAAAAAACTTCAACTACCTGTCATTGATGTCCCTGCTATCAGTCCATTTCAAAGCTTAAAGATATTCATAATAATAGAAAAGGCAACGGCCACAACTTACTTCGTCGAGAGTGACATCAGTGGGCAGCCCAGTAACATAAATATGTGGGTTTACTTTTAACTCAAACCACGACTCCGGAGGCTTGTTTGCTTCCTGAAAATTAATTTGAAACTTAGAAATGCTTGCAGAAATTTTCATGAAGAAATGCGTCTTAATTTCTTTGATTTGTACAACACAAACAACCACTATTGGTTATTACGAAAAATGAAAGTAAATGTATTCTCCTAGTCCTAATATAAGTACGATGTCTAAGAACCAGAAACAATTTGTTTTTTCTTCCCCTCTACGATGTACCCAATACAATTCAGCAGCTGAAGATAAATCAATGATCTCCAATAAAAAAAAATCCAGTCTTCACAGCTCAAGGTCAAAAGATTGTGAACAAACATGATTTGGTGATAAATCCAGCATGCATGACGTCAAGAAAGAGAAAGATGATTAATGGGAATAAAACGAAGTAGAAAGACAAAGACAAAACCTTCTTTTCAGTTTCTTGTTCTGGCAGCTTTCTCTTGCGGTTAGTGTTTATTTCAGCGGTCTCATCAGAGCCATCTTCTTCTTTCTCACCAGTCAATTCATCCTCCTTCTCAGCAGAAGTATCAAGAATGTTTATTGCTGGAAATACTTCGTCTTCCGTAGCAAAAGTCATTTCTTCAAGTCCATACGGGTCAACGCCACCCGGTGGATCGTCCTACAATAAATAGCATCAGCACTTGCGATACATTAATGATATCTTACTCTTTCAGAAGCTGCTCCACAGGAAAACTTCAAAACAATTTAAGGAAGAAGATGATAGATATTACGAAGAGTAAGCTTCATACGTTTCATTTATAGTCAATCTTGATTAACGCAAATAAAAATATGGAAATGAGCAATTCCTCGGATAAGGTAAAGTCAAGAGACTCATAACCCACCAAGCAAGATGACACATGTAAACGATTCCACTCATTACTTAAAATTCCAGGCAGACAACCTGAATTCCCATTAAAATAGTAGAATCAGGAGAAAAAAACAATTGATTCAGTGGACAGGAAAAGCCTCACCTGAGGAGCCCATACTCTAAGAGTTTTGTCCCACTTGTATCTAGTTCCAGCATCTGTGAACTCATATTCCCCATCAGGTGGTGAAGAAGGCCTGCCTTGATCATCTTCAACAAGCTCAGTACCAAAGCTACTAGAGACAGACCCACTTTTCAATCTTTCAGCCTCCGCTTCTGCTTCTTTAATCTCTCTCTGCCATTTCTCTAATTCATCCTCGATACTAGTAGAGGCTGCACAGACACCATAATGCGGTAAGTGTCACCCTCACTTTGCAAATCATAACACTAAAGAATTCATTTTTTATTTCTAGAATAACTGACCAGGTTTATCTTGCTTCTGTAGCTTGGTTCCAGCATTAGATCCGTTTAGCGACCCAGATGCACCTGGTCGGATACCAGATAGTAAGTGCCATAGATCTGGGAATCAAAACTTTCTAAGATAAAATTGCGAGAATTCAATTACCTTCAACCTCAGCTCTATAAATCGTAGAAGTTAGCTCAGGGATGGCAGAGATTGGTTGCCACTCGCTTCTTCCCTCGGCCCAGGCTAGGGTTGTTTCTTGTAGGAAACCATTCCTGAAATGGTCTGCCAGTCAAATCAAACAAGTCGAAATCTTTCCGTTAGCCCATTACACCAAACGAAACTGTCTTTAAACCATGCGACTGACTGCTTGTTTAATAGAAATCTGTGAAAGACATTCTTCCATATCTAATTTCATAGTCCATATAAATACCAATATAGCTGGACTTGCACTAAACTGTATAGATGTCTTATAAACCTTAATACAGCAAGTAATAATGTTTACATGGAACACTTACCACATAGCTCAGAGAAAGTATACGGGCCCAGGTTTTCCTGGTTTTCACCAAGAATGTACCAACCAACATCAGTAGCTGCAGCTGTATGCCCATCAACAACTCCTGCCCCTACAAGAGAGAAACTACAGATGATCAATTAACCTACAAAAAAGCATTGACTGATTTGACCATGACACATGTTGTAAACAAGGCATTAGTAAACCCTCACATACCCAACTACTTAAATTCACAGACTGGAAAAAAAAAGCATCATACTACACCTTCAGAACATCTATGTCATTATAGGGAGCATATTTTAGAGTAACAACATTCCAGATGATTATTGGAACCGAGTTATTCACAGTGAAACACCAAAGCAAAGAAGAGAAACACTCAAACACACACTCAGCTTCTTATGTTATTATAAAACTTCTCTTCTAAAATATTCCAAACTAGAAACTACAAATTATGTTGAACTAAACGACCACAAATATCCCAAATATTTCATCTTGGATTCATCTCTGATTAATCTCCTCCAAACCCTAGGAACTCTCTCACAATAAAACAAATTCCAAATTTCTTTTTCAACAATTCTTGTTCGACACCGCTATTTTTTAGTAACGCATGCCTCGCGGAAACGCCAGAGAAGTTAGTAAGCCCTGAATTGATTAGAGAGAGAGAAGAAGGGTTTCACCTGTCGATGATTGTTGAAGCTGTAGATTATCGGAGTCGGACATTGTTATTTTGTTTTTCTGATTAACCTTCGAAAATCACGAAACCAAAAAAAAAAAACCGATTATAGAGTGACGCCTTCGAGAGACACGGAGGAAGACTGTGGAAGACCCTGACCTTGTTTGGATACATAGAAAGTCTTATTCTTGTCTTGGATAAACTGAGCCCACATACGGGCCCGTTGGGCCCACCTGATTAAAACTATTACAGTAGAAGACAAAAACAAAACTAGCCGTTCCAGATCCAACGGTCATATTTAGAAACTTGACCGTTTCGAATCCCTCTTTACGCTTCTACATAAACAAACTCCTTGTGCTCATCCCAAATCCTCACATCACACTCTCTTCTTCATCTTCTGATCAGCACAGAAAACAAAAAAAACCCAGTTTTCAAATTCCGAAATTTCTAAAACCCCTAATCGGAAAAACTCAAAATCATCATCATGGGTTTGAGTTCCACTTCATCGGTTGAAGAATCTCATTACCATACCCACAAGATCTTCCTACTCTCCAACTACATCCTTCTCGGTGCCGCTTCAAGCTGCATCTTCCTCACACTCTCTCTCCGTCTAATCCCTTCGATCTGCGGATTCCTCCTCATCCTCCTCCACGCCACCACAATCGCCGCCGCCGTCTCAGGCTGCGCCGCCGCTTCCTGCGGGAAAAACCGGTGGTACGCTGCTCACATGGTGGCCACAGTGCTCACAGCCATATTCCAAGGATCCGTCTCCGTTCTCATCTTCACCAACACATCGAAATTCCTGGGGAGTCTCAAATCGTATGTGCGTGAGGAAGATGCTGCTGTGATCTTGAAACTCGGTGGTGCGCTCTGTGTGGTGATCTTTTGCTTTGATTGGGTCGTTCTTGTGTTGGCTTTCTTCATGAAGTACTACGCTTATGTCGATGGTGGTGACAGTCGTGGAGGTGTTGCGATGAAGAGAAGCGGTAAAGTACAGAGCGAGGAGAATCCTAAGGATTGGCCATGGCCGTTCCAAGTTTGAAATGAGTGTCCTTTTTTTTTTCAGTGGTGAGAGATGTTGAGCTATATCAGTATCAAATGTTGGTTTTTGATCTGTTTCTGTCGGTAGTATTGTGATTTGTTCATTTGTTGTTGGGTGTTTGATGTATTCTCCAATGATTTTACTACATATATATAATATGTTTCTTACAGATTGCTCTTTACTTTGTTTTTTTTCTTCATTAACTTGTAACAAATCTCCAGACCACAAACTTAAGCACAGAAGATAGAACAAACCCAAAAAAAGACTAGAATTTGATTCCAAAAAGCTGAACATTTTTAAAAGTAACAATTAAAATACCGGCCATTTATTAAGAAAGTTGAGGCTTTTACACATCATCATCATGTCCTTTCTCTCTCAACCACAAAGGAAAGAAATTTGAAAGTAGAAAGAACAAAAAACACAATGCTGCAAAGCAAACGTTTACATCACATATTATTCGATCTGAGGGACAAAACATTGGAGAATTTTGGATACACAATACAACGAATAGAGAACCCGAAATAAATAAATAAAATAGCCAGAATAAGAGCAAATTCGTTTAAGGTGATCCAGACAAGGCTAAACACAATACTTTATCTACACATGTTCGAATACATCATTCTTCTGGCTCTAACCACTTACTCGGGGCTTATAATGTGGAAGAGATTGCATCATACTACTTCTTTTAAGCCCTGATCTCTCGACCGAAAATCCAGCTGAAAGGTACGTTTCTTGCAGCGTCTTTGCCTCTCCCTTGAGCCCTCTCTTCAATTTTGCGGATCCTAGCAGGCAATCCACAAAGATAGTCCTGTTCCAAGCAATAATACAAATCCAAAAGTCAGAATAAGGATTTCTGATTCCATTTCCTAATTTGATGACTAAACAATCCAAAAGTTTCATAGTTGTAAAATGTAGTTTACCTGAGCCCTGTGTCCTTCACCAGAAAGGCCTACCAGGTTCTTCACATTCCACCGTTTCACAAGAAACTCCAGAATATCAGCATAGTCCCTGGCAGTGTAGACACCAAGCCTCTGGGCCACGGACGAGAAGTGCTCAAATAGATTATCATCACGACCATCGTACATCAAATGAGCAGGCATCGATATCTTTTTCTTCATCATGTCAGCAAATCCCACGATCGTGGTGTCAGGATCGATCTCAAAGAGCTTTTCAACAATCTTGGTGTAAGCAGTCTCATGGCGCTTCTCATCAGCAGCTATGGTGCCGCATATCTGCGCGAGCTTCGAGTCCCCAAGCTTCTTTGCCAGCGCGGCAGTGTTTCCATGGGAGATGAAGGTGGCTCTTTCTTGGAAAGAAGTGTAGATGAAACCCAGGTAAGGATTGTTCTCAGTTTTTGGATCCTAAGAAACAGAGAAAAACAAAATGATTGAACTGTCACTACGAAGAAGAGAAACGTACACTCATAAAAACTTTGGACTATAGAAAGAAATGCGACTGATAATAAAGGAGCTTACCATTCCAGAGCCAATCAGGTATTGAATTGTTTTTTCAATCTGCCTCATGTCAACTCTTCCAGAGAGATAAAGATACTTGTTAAGAAGATCACCATGCCTATTCTCTTCAGCAGTCCACGCCCTCGTCCACACAGCCCAAGGAGTAGGACTCGCTCCCGTCTCATCCCTAACACCGTCCAGTGTGTTAATCATGGTCTGGTAAGTCGGAAGAGCCTCCTCTGTGATCATGTCACCAATAAGCACTACAAAGTAGTCATCAGAGAGCTCGTTGCACCGTTCTCTTAGCTCCTTGACTTGGTCATAGAACCCTTCTGACTCGGCTTCAGGGAGAAAATCAGTCGGCTGCCACGATTTCTCAACCGGTTTAAGGTAAGCCAACAAGTTCTCATCAGCCCATCCTTCTAATGACTTGAAGATCTCCAGCTTCTGTGGCGGCATCGAATACTTCACTTGAGCATGCGCATTTTGTGGATGGTTATACGGTTTCCTCCCATTCGCAACCTCTCTGGCAATCCATCAAAGAAGATTCCGAAATTACCGGAAGGTAATACAGTAAAGAAGTCATAACAGAATCGAATCTTGAATAAGAAATTCCAAAGACGATATGAACTTATTAACACAACCAACAGGATTAGATGATAAGGTTCCGTGTTCTTCAGGTAACCAACTTGCAAACAAGTTACAGTCTTTAAGACACTTCCAAAAAGAAGATCCCAACACGAGAATAGTCAGTTGTTGAAAGCAAGAGAAAAAATACTAATGCTCGAAAATCAACATAGATGAGAAATTACAGTACAAGACAAGCATGCTCTAAATTACAGATCTTCTGACCAAACCAGTAGCAGCACCAAAATAACAAGCAACACATGAAAAACTTCAGACCTAACTTGACCAACTCAGAGCATGTACACTTATAGATTGTATGCATATGCATAGACATAGAAGAGGACACCCCATCTACCAAGAGCAAAGACTATTAAAAAGGCTTTTAACCTTTTTGTGGAATATGATTTATTAATGGCCTTTACTTACACTAGCAATAAATTAAGAGAGATTGAACATTGTAGCCTGATTGGCCAACAACCAGGTTAAATGATATTTTATACTCATAATTTAAAAAACAAAGGGTACAATCCATGCATGCATTTGAATAGTTTCATATTTTTGAAGAATTAAAATTGTAAGAGAAAACGACCAGTTGAATTTGTAGAAGAAAGAACAAAGAAAGATGCAGATTGCCATTTCTCTATCAAATAATTATATTTTGTAAGAAAAAATGAACATTGAGAAATCGTAGGTTGAGCAGAGCAGAAAGCAAATGGAATTGATGTATAAATCATATTAAAGATAAAAAAGTGTGCTCAGTGATCTGTTCATATACATGTTAGGAACAGAGCACATACATGTACGAAAATCCATGTCTACATTAACAATCACAAAACGAAACAAAAAACAAATACAATTTTACGGAAACAGGGTGTATCTTAAAACCAATGTAGATCATGATTATCGCTGCTCGATATCAAATCCCCCAGAAAGTTGCGAAAAAAAATAAAACAGATCATGAAATAAAAAAATCTGGGGAAAAACAGAAATGAAGCGAGAAGAAAACTCACGTAGAGGCGGGACGGAGAGTGGAAGCCATGATAACTCTGGAAGATCTGGATCCGTGAGAATGAGAATGAGTGGAACGATGATAATGGGATGAAGGAGATAAACAAGCGATCCGATCCATAGCCATAGCCATAGCCATTTAACAAACGAAAAGGCAAAATCAGAAGAGAGCGAGAAGAAGAAGAAGAAAGCCGGGAGTACAAGTTTTCGATGATAACAAGAGTGAATCGTATGTATTTAAGGAGGGAAGAAGAAAGCCCCAAGGACGAGAAAGGTGAAGAAACAAACGAGCAATTTCAGAAACTCTGCAACGTGATGTTGATATTTTAGAGTGCCATTTAATGCAAAAACTCTTTTTTTACTCTTAAAATGTCCCTCTAAGGTTGCGTTATTACAATACTGCCATTATTTCTCTGGATTCTTCTCCTATTAACCTATTTCTGACTTTTGTCATTATTATTTTTCTAAAAGGCCCATGGGCCACGTTGATATATAATCCATCGATTTGGAGCCTGATGGAGCTTCGCTTGCTGTATCATGAACACTTGTAGTTTGTAGTCATGCGATCGTAGCAAAATCATATTACGCAACAAAGATCTTTAGTATGACGGTGGTTTACAACAAACAAACGAGAACAGAAATTCACTTTCACTCAAAATGTCATGACAACAATAAAAAAATTCATCAAAAAAACTATTGGAAAATATAATAACTTCGCTAAGTTTTGTTGAAAATACGATAGAATACATAGAAATTGATTGACAATTTGAATAATCACAAGTCAAAAGTTCACGAGTCACACACACAACTACAAGTCATATTTGTTCACAAACATTATTTATTTATTTGTTTGGTAATTTTTATTATTGTTTGTTATTTGAAATTTAAAGTCTCTCTCTATAGTTTCACATCTCTACCGAAGATCCAGCTAAATGAGACAGAGGGTTTTGACCCAAGTTTGACCCTATCGTTGGCTCTTTCCTCTAACCTCTTGATTCTCTGCGGTAAGGTGCACAGGTAATCCTGTGCTCTCCTTCCTTCCCCTGATAACCCTGAACCCAAACTCTCCACATTCCACCGCCGCAGCAGAAACTCGAGGATACCAGCGTAGTCCGTTGCCGTGTAAACCCCGATTCGCTGAGCCACGGCGGCGTAGTGATCAAAAAGATGGTTATCTCTTCCGTCGTGCATAAGATGAGCCGGCATCGTGATCCGCTTCTTCATCATGCTCGCCAGCGCCTGAACCGTACCGTCGGGATCGATCTCGAACAGCTTCTCCACGATCTTCGTGTAAGCCGTCTCGTGACGTTTCTCGTCGGCGGCGATCGTGCCGCAGATCTTCGCGAGGGCTACATCGCCGTAGGTCGTGGCTAGCCTCGCCGTGTTTCCGTGAGAGATGAAAGTCGCTCGCTCTTGGAACGAAGTGTAGATGAATCCATTGTAAGGGTTGTTCTCAAATTTCGAATCCTATAAAAATTTCAGCAAAACATTGCGAAATTTCTCAAATTAATATTAAAAAAAACATTGCAACAGCAAAAATAATACACACAAACAGAAGGAAAAAAATAAAAAAGGCATTAATTTTACGTCAAGTATATGTATTGAGATTTTTTAAAAGTGTATGTTGGAAAGAAATTTCTCAAATTAGTAGTATTGAAAAACTCCGACAGTGAGTCAGTAACAGTTATAAACTTTTGATTTTCACTAATATTTTGTACCAATGAAAGTCGAATGTGATTTTTAAAACCGAAATTTTATTTTAAAACTATTTTATAAATAAAGTGATGCAACAAGAAAATGATATATAGATCGAATACTTACCATACCAGAACCAATTAGATACTGTATAGTCTTCTCAACATGTCGCATATCAACACGACCACTTAGGTAAAGATATTTATTAAGCAAATCACCGTGACGGTTTTCCTCCGCCGTCCACGCTCTGATCCAAACCGCCCACGGCGATAAACTCCCACCGGTTTCGTCTTTAACGCCGTCAAGTGTGTTTAACGTCGTTTGATACGTCGGAAGTGCTTCTTCCGTGATCATATCTCCGACAAGAACCACAAAGTAATCGTCAGGAATGTCCTTTGTTCGATCTCGGATCTCTTTGATTTGGTCGAAGAATTCGTCGTCGGTCTCCGGCGCCGGCAAAAAGTCTTGTGGTTGCCACGAGTCTTCGACCGGTTTGAGATAAGGTAATAGTTTGTTTTCTGCCCAACTCTCCATGGATTTGAAGATCTCGAGCTTCTCTTGTGGTATTGTGTGTGTTATTTGGTTATTTACTTCTTTGATAGGACGAAACTGATTGTATGTTTCGTTCTTATTCCTATAAAAGAAAACAAATTAAATACCAACAGAGATGGGTCCTTTGTACGTGCTAAAAAGATCTGCGATATTTTCTTTAGAGTACAAAACTATAAAAGGGTAAATGGCATAATTAAAGAAAAAATGGATAAGTGTATAAAAATAACCATGTAACTAACAAGTAACTTGACATTCACTTGCATAAACTCCTTCATATATCATTAATTTTCAGGTTAATACTAATATTATAGAAGAAAAATAAAATAATTTGTTAATCTGAAAAGAAGTAATTATTTCAGACGTTAATTGCAGTAATTGTGTCCTGGAAAATTATTATACATAAAAATAAACACTCTGTTTATTATATGATTGGTCCATTCATGTTTACTTTTAGGTGTAGTGTAGAGACGTTGGGTCACTGTTTTCCAGATTGGAGATTGGGAGTTCTAATTACTTTAGTAAGGTTTTACTGGGACATGAAAGATTTGATTGACATTCAAATTTATATTTCAACAATATATCGTTTGTCTAATAAATTTGCATGGTGGGTAAAAAAAAAAAAACAAAACAAAAACTCAGCCTATGGAAAGTAGAAAGGTACTTTGCCTGACAAAATATATTTTACCTAACCGGCTAACCAATTTGCGATTTCAATGTTATCTGTGAATCAACCGTAATAATTTACCGTGAAATGATTTTTTTTAAAACTAAAATGATAGTATTATTATTCAGACAATCAATCAAACTCATAGAGTCTTAAGGTCACCTAATATCATGATCCGTGTTAAAACAAACACCAAGCAATGCATGTGTACACACACACATAAAGTATAGTGATTCTGCAATATAAAAAGAAGTTTTCAAGTGGACCAAAAAAAAAGTTGACATCATGAACATGATACGAATAATGGGATTAATTAGCAGAGATGCATGGAATCCAATGTATTTTAAACAGTATTATATAGTCCCATTTGATATTAACAATGATGACCTTAACTAAACGTTAAATGTGTATGCTCAGAGGTATATAATAAACATGCCGACCTCCGATTGTGAGTAACAAAAATCTTGAAAAACAAAAATATGAAATAAAACGTCTAACTCAACTAAGCAAACATATTAAGGAAAACGCAGAAATATTTTGTTTCTGCTATTGTTTTGTGTTTAAATATGACGGAATGATATAGACCCTCATAATTACATGATAAATAGAAAACAGCGAAATCGAGAATGATATTCAGGATTTCGCTGATACCCTACCTAGTTTATGTTCATGTATATATATGGTATAAACAAAACAAAAATAAAAGGAAAAAAAATGAAATCGAAGATCTAAAACAAAAAAAAATAAAAAAACCATGAAAAAAAGCGAAGAAATAGTACCCAGCAGGGTTCGTGGAGACACACGAAACTCGAAGAGGACGAGAAGTAGAAGATCCCAAGCCACGATCAGGAGAATTTATCGCCGGCGGCTTCTGCTTCATCGCCGGCGAGGTCAAAAGCAAAGCTATCGACATCTTCACTCTCTCTCTCTCTCTCTCTCTCTCTCTCTCTCTCTCTCTCTCTCCGCAACAGATCTCTTTGAATCTTTCTTTCTCTCTCTCTCTTGTTCTTGTGCGTTACAAGTAGGAATATCTCTCTCTATATATATACACGAAGAGTTGACTTGAGTTGGAGTGTTCTGTCTTCTCATTGATTATTTAAGTCATTAATAATTATAAAACTTCTTCGTAAGCAACCATGGACAACTGTTTAAGTAACTTTTAATCTAACTAGTATTATAGTTCGTTTGTTTAAAATCGTTTGTAGGATTCATCAAACCACATAAATAGTTTTGATGTTTAACTCCCGTAAGAAAAGTCATTTTTCTGTGAAAAAACAAAGGCACTTTGTCGACCAAAAAAAAAAAAAAAGGCACTTAAACAACATTAACTAAAAGACCTCCATAATTATTATTTTTCTTAGATTAAGAACTATATAGAAAGTCGATAAAAAGTCATTGTCACTATTATAGCCGAATTAAAATATCTTCATGGTGGTAAAACTAAAACCATGGAAATTCGTTCTCAGATTACAAATGGACAAAACAAATGGAGACTTAAAAAAGTAGTTTAATTTTTTTTTCTTCACAAGAAATGTAATGTTATTGAGAGAAAACGCCATAAGATAATATTATTATCATACAAAGTAGTGAACACAGTTCGTAACCGACGGTCTATATTGGATGTTGCTCGAAAGTAAAGTTGTCGTAAAGCAAAGTTTGGTTTTTGTACCATTGATCGATTGAATAGTGAAAGTACAAAACCAGAAATGATAAGTCACCAAATACCATAACTTAACGATATTGATCGATTTAATATCCCATTATAACGGTCGTTCTACTCTACGCAGAAACTACCAAGTAATACTATCATATGAGATTTCTTCTCTTGCGCTTAATATCCCATTATACCGGTTGTTTTAATTTATTATTAAATAAGTATTCACGATATTTGACGTTATGTTATATATATATAACACAGTTGTGTTATCGAACATAAGAACAATTTTGGCCTTCTTTTTAGGTACTGATGATTCTTTTAGCAAAGTTTATTGTGATTCTATAACGTATAACCGTTACATAAATTTAAAATTTGTATATATTGATTTTGTAACGGGTATGCGTTATGAAATCTCAGATCTTTGTTCTGCAATTGTAATAATTTGTAAAATTTATATGAAATTTTAATCCGATATTTTTAAGTATTAAAAAATAGAAAAAAATGAAAAAAGCAACAACAACAAAAATCTCTCCAAAAAATGTTACAGAGTCATTAATTAACATCTACAAATTAATTAATTCAACAATTAGTTTATATACTAACAAATCTCTCCCTCTGTCTATGTATAAAGTTTTTAAGTCACCTGTTTTAAAAAGTTCTTAGATAACTCCAATGCTATGTATATTTATAGACTGAGAGAATCTTGAAAGCAAGTATAACTTTCTTTTCATTTTATCTACAATTAGCCTTTTTGTTATATATAACACTTAGAATCAAATGTTACTTAAACGATAAATACGAAACGGAAAACATGAAAAGAAAAAAAATAGTCCTTAAACATAAAACATGGACTTGAAAATGCCATTTCCCTCCCCAAACTTACGACAAGAAGTAATGTTTGGATGAAATCTTAAACAAAACAAATTTGCCAAAAGTAATGACTATAAGAAGCACATTGGTTTGGTAGCCAAAATCTCGAATCTTTTCTCGTAAGTAGTATTTAGCTATAGAAAGTTAGAGACTCCACACGGCAAATTAACCATTTTTCATCGGTTTATGGTAGAAAAACACGAAGGCACTTGGTCTTGATCTTTTTAATAAATGTACTTTGGCATCGATCCACGCTGTGTAATCAGCCAAAACATAAGTGAAGTACAGCGTTACTTGTTCCTGAATCAAGCCAAGAAATAAAAATTATATCAAACTGAACACTAAATAAAAAGATCAATTATGATTGAACTAATTAAGACATCCAACTTTATATAATAAAATACCAAAATTTTGTGTCATCTAGTAGTCTTTTTTGAGTTAATTACGTTTACAGAATTAAACAAAAAGACTAAACACTTTTTAAACGTCTCACGACTTTTCTCGAGCATTTACGAAATCGCCTAGGCACGCACGCACACACGACGAATTTGCCTATTTGATCTGAACCATCCACGTGTCTCTTATAGCTGACTAGTCTACTCAATCGCACCTCTGATTCAGTTAGATCCACGCTACGTATCGCTGCACTGTTGCACCTGATTCCTACCACCGTCACTCCCTTCCGGAGAGATTCCTCGGCGAGAACACCGACACGGTATGGTGAATCGAATCCGATCGCGCATCAGATCAAATCGATAGAATTTGTGAATTGCCTTTTTCCGAATGCGCGGGTGATATTGGAACGAAGGAGGGGTTTCCTCTGATTGGGATTTAAGGCTTCCTGTAGAAACAAAAGCATGGACGCGGAGCGATCGTCGTTGTGCAACTTTGTTGTGAACTTCCTGATGGAGGAGAACTACCTCTTAACGGCGTTCGAGCTTCTTCACGAGCTCCTCGACGATGGCCGCGATGCCCAGGCTATTCGCCTCAAGGAGTTCTTCTCCGATCCTTCTCGTTTCCCTCCCGATCAGATTTCTCGGTATAATTCGATTCGAGGTTCGCCAATTCTCTGCCTCGCGTTTGGTTTATATACCCGCTGGTGAATTTGCGCCTCACATTGTTGTTTTGTTCTGTTTAACACTTAAATTGTCAGATCGTCCTTGTAAGTAGGGTTGAGCTGCATTACGTTTTAGAGAACGTTTTGATCATTCTGTTGTATAATGTGAATATATTAGCTCCATTGTTTTGGTCTTACTTAAGACAGAAAGCAGTTCAAAGTGTTGAGGTTGGGTCATGAACATGTTTTCCTAGTTATCAATAGGGTGGATTCATGTTTCTATTCTGCATACAGTTTGATGTTCTTCTCCATAGTCTAAGTTTCTCTGTAGTTCAGCTTGTTGAATGGGGGTGATGTTGTGAGTTATGACCAAGAACATCCCATGTTGCATTATGAGGTTTTTGATTTATATAGTTTTGTTTTGGTTTAGCTTCAGGCTTTCTTAAAACAACATGGTTGGTAGCTAGTAATTGTTACCCTGCAATGCAGTTGCGGACCCACAAAGTTTGTTGGAGGAGAAAGAAGCGTTATCGGAGAAGCTAGCCATCAGTGAATATGAATTTCGTCTAGCACAGGAGGATATTACAAGATTGAAAACTGAAGGACAGAAGAAATCTGATTGTTCGATTGACAAGTTAAAAGGTATTTTTATTCGGTGATATTTATTCTACTCTCCCTTCTCATAGTAAATCCTCTACCTAACTTAATTAACATGCTCCAGCTTCATAGATCTTAGTATCAAGTGCAGACACTTGAATGCATCTAGAAGTTTTTTCTGCAATAAGTAGTTGCTAATCTAGCTTTTAGTTCACTTTCGTTAGCCATCTCCTTTTGTCTTTTATTTTTCTCCATGGAGCGATTTCTGCGTAGGTATACTCTATGCACTTATGCAGCAAGCATCATATATAATGCATATTAGTTCCTTTTTTTTGTTATATCATCTCTCGGCAGAAGCAATTATATCACCAAAATATGTCCTGATACTGCTCGTTATTTCTCAGAGCTAGAGACAGATGAGTTTGGAGACAGCAGGCCAGAAATTCAACGGAAAAAGAAAGATTTTTCCTTCACTGATATAGGGCCTTTGAAGAACAATGAGCGTCGAGACTTAAACTGTGCAGTGAAAGAATATCTTCTTCTAGCAGGTTACAGACTTACCGCAATGACATTTTATGAGGAGGTACCTCATTCTTGTGCCAATATGTCTATACCTCTTCTTGCTTGCTTAGATCTACTTAGTTTAGAATTGTTGATATTGTATTATAACAACTTCATAAATATCATGTTTGGTTTGTTTATCTCAGGTGACAGACCAGAACTTAGACGTTTGGCAAGACAGTCCAGCGCGCGTGCCTGATGCCTTGCGCTATTATTACTATCAGTACCTATCATCAACGTCAGAGGCAGCTGAGGTTATATATAGCTTAATTTGCATGTAGACACTTAAAATTGAACTGATGCTTTCAGAAAGATCACTACCTTGAAACTTAGATCTTTGACGTCATTGTCTTATACAGAACTCACTTCTCTCTCCTGTTCCCTCTTCATTTTTTTCTTTAGTTATATTCTATATATTTGATGCTATTCTGATTGTATATGTAGAGCGGGATCTTGCTTTTAAGTATAACTTTTTGTATTTGAGAATCGTAGTGACCATTTAAGTTACGCATTGAGGATCTGTGAGGATAAAATCCACCAACGTGTTCTATATGCATTATGAATTTGACTTCTCATGGTTCACAATATTTGGATGCAGGAGAAAATAGCCATGCTTCAGGAGAATGAATCATTGAAAAAAGAGATTGAGAAGCTAAACAAAGAAAAAGATGGTCTACTTAAGAGCAAAGAAAATTTCGAAGAGCAAATCAGTGCTTTTAACAAGTCTACTGAATCACTTCAGAAGGATCTTAGGGACAGAGAAAAGCAGGTAGCCTTAATTTTTATAGAATGGATTTCTTAGAGAAGCAGGCAATTCCATATCTGGAAATGTAAAAACCTGAAATGACACTGATAGTATTCAGGTGCAAAGTTTGAAGCAATCTTCAGAGCATCAGAGGAGGAATCTCAATGACTGCAGAGCTGAGATTACTTCTCTTAAAATGCATATCGAAGGGTCTCGTGCTGGTCAATATGTGTCAGCTAGTGAAGTTGATGGTTTGCAATCTCAATCCGTGGAAATTGTTGAGAAACAGATAAATTCTCTGCCAGAGGAAGTTGAGAAACCAACTGTGGAATCGGATGGTAGTTTGATCTCTGAGAGTTCTATTTCTGTTGTTAAGAAAGGGCACACGCAAGCAGAAGACGTTCTGGTGGAGGAAGAGGTTAAGAATATAATTCCCGATCAAAGAGGAGGGGCAGCAGAGGCTAGCAATGTATCTTATAAAGACTTGAATAGTACTTCGGAGAACCAGAAAGAAGTCTCCAACTATTTGTTAAGTCCATCAAATGGTAAATTTTCTCCCAGAGACCTTGAAAGCATTTTGAAAGTGGATTC